GCTCACCATCTCGCGAACACCCGGTATCATCACTATTTGATGGTGATTCTTAATCACATATTATATTAGTATAGTCAGGATTATACAGTCGACTCTGCTTTTGGCAAACAAATTTCTTTAGGAATATACGGAAAGGTATTTGACGCTTTTATTATTCAGATCCATGGTCGTCACATCAATCACTTTACAGCAGGACTCATATGTCATTGGGCAACAAAACATGTCCACAGTCCTTTGGCCTGCTGTTTCGCCAAATCTATCGTCGTCATATGAGGGATGAAATGAAACGCCGCGTAGACCGACTTCCAAATCAACTGGTTGTCAAGCCGTTGTCAAGCTTGTGTCACTGCTAATGGTGGCCATACCCAATACTGACTTGTGAAACTGACAATTGACTGCACGCCACTTTCAGCCTGACATGACGTTTTAAGAGGACATGTGTTTACTAAGTCATGGTGAATTCATATTTCATGGACATCAATAAATTGTTCTGTTGCAAAGTCGGTCTTTGTATGCGTTTATTTTTTAATTTCCCACGATAGTCAGCAATGGGTTTTTTCAGCTCTTATATAAAGCCGTATAACTGGAACGAGTACACTAAATTCTATAAATCTATTCTCACTGTTCACTGTAAAGGGCAAAAAATGCGGCAATTTATGGGTAGTTCTCCATTGTATATTTTAAAGTTAGTCTATGATATTTTACTTAAGCAGTGTAATAAGGGGTAATACACATTGGTGGGTAAGGTTGAAACTATGTCATTTCAAAATGAATCTGATAAGTATAGATGGAGCCTGATAGTTAAAATAAAATTACTTTTTATTTGCAGATTATTTTGCCAGGAAGTAGCAAGCTTTGTTTGTATAGTAATATTAAACATGCTTAGAATTGAATCTGGAAGATATAAAAAATATACTGTTAATGAGATGATATTGTGAAATTTGTAAGGAATATAATGTTAACAAAAACTGAAGACAAATATCATTGTATACTAACTTGCCCAATATATTATTGCTACATTCCTACATACTACTGGGAAAAACTAGCACGTCTACATTTGCTGAAATTATGTCCAGTATATCTCAATAAAGTATCATAAAGTTATGTAAATCTATAAAATATGCATGCAATTACTGATTCTCTGTCCTGTCCAAATATAATGTTCATGAGAAGATGAGTCACATTCTAATCTGGTCTATTTCTGGTCCTTACTTGATCTGTTTGTTGTGTGTAGGTATGAGTGGACTCCACTCCAAAGTAGATTACTCATGTGCAGAGGTGCATGAGTGAGATTGAGAGAGAGAGAGAGTGAGTATGGTTTTACGCCGCTTTTAGCAATATTCCAGCAATATCACGGCGGGGGACACCAGAAATGGGCTTCACACATTGTACCCATGTCGGGAATCGAACCCGGGTCTGCAACGTAACGCGCGAACGCTTTAACCACTAGGCTACCCGACCGCCCCCAGAGGTGCATGAAGTGGTGTGTACACGAAAACAATACATTCTGTAGCTATTGGTAAACTGTCGGGCAAAAGAAAGTATACACTTGAAAACTGGATTTGACCCCAAAAGTACAAACGTTATCAGATCGTTATTAGACTAAAAACAGTCACTGAAAAGCTGCAAACTTGAGGCCCAAAAGAGAAATATGTTACCCGTATCAAATACAGCACCATCGAAAAAAGAAATTCTTTTTGGTTTCATTTAAGCCACCATCAAACATTGGTGTGCATGTATACTTTCATTAGTCGCTGTAGGCAAGAGAAGACCTATTAACTATATAATACAGTGATAACTCGAGATTGGTTGAATTTGGAACTGGCAAACAGGTTGTCTGACGCCATCTCCAACTTATGAACACTTCTGGTTATAGAGCATCTCGCCCGAGTGTTTTTATATATGAAATATATCAACACGAGTTGATAATAGTGGAAAGACTCCAAGGTTTGCCGATACGGAGTTTTTCCACTTTCATCAACGAGTACTGATATTTTTTACATCAAAAGACACGAGGTCGCGATTTTATTTATCATCCAACATCATTCTTCCAACAATGTAGATATCGCTTGATCTCATTCAAACGATATCTCCCGTGGGAGCCAGTTTTGGATGATAATAAATATTGCCTCAAAGCAATATGAAGTGAGATGCAGTTATTCCCATGTGTTAAGTTCAAATTGTTTCAGTAAATTACCTGTATATATGATGAATAACTCAGAACAACCGCGATCTGCGTCGGCCTATACAACATACAGTACAAGTTACTATAAATGCGATCAAGAGAAATATGTAACGTGTACTGTTAAAGCAGGTTAACCCTATATCACATGAGGGGTACCCCACACGTTGCCTTTTTAAGGCTCCTCTTTTTTCCAAGTCATCATGTGGAAGATGTTCAATTATTCAACGTCAGTTCTTCACGGGTTTGTCCATGTAGTGTGTAGTTTGCAGTGCGAGAATATATTGACGATGTATAAACCTTTTTCAGATTTTACGCCATAGAATCGCCAAAGAGGAATTATATGGATTAGTATATTCATGCGAGGTTAACAAGGAATGTAAGACAATGGTAATTTTGATAGATTTGTATTATATATTTCTTGCGGGTGGGTTATCAATTTTACGACATACCGACAACGCGCACCTGTTAACGGCCGGTTTTCGGCAAACTGTAAACAAGTGCATGGCGACAGCGATTGTTTTGTCGGCTTCCTCAAACAGATTGTCAACCGATGACATCAATGTACAAGTCAGTATATATCCCGATCATGTGACGATATCGAAACATCATTTTCCCAATTTCAACCAAAGTTGCAATGTGTATGCCATCCGATCACACGGTAGATCGAAATATAGATATAGATACACAACCAAGCTGTCATTGTCAGATCCTGTCATATGTTTTCGGTGGATGTAACGAAAACGGCCCATTCGACAATTGCCCCTTGTAAAATGTGTTGATGATCGTACTCATTTATTGGAGAATATTTTCAGGAAAAAACAATAAAGTACGAATTAAATATTATTTATTAAGAATACCATATTAAGTACTCAAACGAGCGTTCACATGTCACTTACTCAGAGACATATAAATTTTGTTTGACCGAATATATTTCCCATTCATATTAAAAAAAAAAAAAGCGTGCATAAAAATTTGGGATTAAACAATAAAACTAAAACATGTTTTCCGTGGCAACATCGTATGATCAGCTTCTGTAGAATTGCACTTTTTGGAATCCTATATGTCATCTTCAAAGGAATACAATGCTCCAACTCATATAGCTGTCTAGCCAGCGCCATTTTAATTAATTAGCCCACGTCATCATCAGATGCAAACAAACTGAGCTTCCGACCAGCGATGGGGCATCCCCTTGAATCCTCCCATTTGATTACAGTTTTGTAGTTTAGTATACAGCAAATACTTGTATGTGTTATTTTTGCAACAATGAAGTTCAGCTCATATATATACTCAAAACAGCATTGGCCGTTATTTAATATGTTCCAGGCAAATAGCAACAATTACTATTCCCTTCTTGTCTTCTATGTTTCATGGTATAAACCAACACCTGTGTATTTGTTGTCATTCACTTCATGCTCAGTTAACGACTTTGTTACAGGTATTATTAGGGTAGAACCACTCAGATTACCAGACAAAAAAAGTGCAAAATAATTCAATATTGTTGACCTGGGTTATAGCTAAAACAGCACCTCAGCAAAATGTCACTGGGCGAAAGCATCACCAATTGACGAAAACATCACCTCGCCTCAAGGGAAAACGGTTACTATTGCCTGGCGAAAACGGCACCTTATTTTTGTTTACCTTGGTCAAATAAATGAATTAAACTTGCATGGTAACTTGCAAACACCAGTAATTGTGTAATGTTAAAACAAGTTTACATCAGAAATTAGCCTCTACACCAACTATATTCCAAATTAGCCTATACGCAACTCAACTTATTGTGAAAACATAACATCCTTTGAAGTAAAATAAATGAAATTAAACTCACATCGTCTCTTACAAACACAGATAATTGTGAAATGTTAAAACAAGTTTACCTTAGAAATTATAGCCCCCTACTCCAATTTACTCGCTGACTCTGATTGGGCGGCGCAGCTAACTTATTGTGAAAACACTGTACGCCTTGTAGTTTAAGTGCCTTTACTCAATTAAACTTAATGTCAAGAGGCCTAACATGGTGCTGTCAGATCACAATTTTGGTGCCTTTTCAACCAGCAAAATGATTGGGCCATTTTGGCATGTGGCCATTTTAGCCAGCCCTGTTTTGGGATGCCTTTGAAAAACATATTGCTTCAAACACAAACACTTCCCAAACACTGAATAATCTAAGAATCTGAAACATTGATATGACCCATAGAAATATTAGTGGATAAATATATGTTTATCATGTTTATCCAGTATATTAAGAAAAATGATAAAAAAATATTTACAGTGAGCCTTTATATATAGCTGGAATATTGCTGAGTTTGACATTAACAAATGTAAATAGTACAAGGCCTGTTACCAGAGATCTTCTCCCTGCCTGGTAGCTAAAGATTTCACTATGATTGTACTTGGTTTCCAATCTTGTAATGTTAACCACTTCCTTAGTTTCATTTTCTTTTCTTATTTAGAATTGTGACAAATGAATAAAATTCAGTACAGAAGATATCTTCAAGGAGTTTAAACCAGTAAGGAAACCTTATCTGTGACCATGGATCCAAAACCTCCTTCAAGACCTTCATCTGGGTCAAGGTCACGCCCTGGCTCTGGAACAAAGGCTAGGGCTCCTTCTGGTTCAAAGTCTTCACATACAAGTGCACGTCCATCATCAGCCACGCAGAATGCTGCCCTTGCCCCTGGAAGTCAGTCTCCAGCACCCAAGCCTGCTGTCCCAACAAGTCAGTCTTTATCTACCAAACCCACTCCAACTGCTCAGGCACCCCCACCCCCTCCAGGACCCCCTCCTCCTTCAGCCCCACCCCCACCCCCTCCAGGACCTCCTCCTCCCCCAGGTCCAAGTTCAGCCCCACCTCCACCCACTCCAGGACCCACTCCTGGTTCTAATAAAGCTACAGAGCCAGCCCCTATTACGTTAAGACTACCTGAAGACGAGCAGCCATCAAAGTCAAAGATGGGAAAGGGTGGTTTTCAAAAGAAGAAAGCTATCTCTAAATCAACAGCTGAAAAGCGTTTACAACAAGAGACACAGGCGATGTCTTCAGAGGAAATCACTGCTGATATATTTCTTGATAGTGAACAAGTAGCTGAACAAGAGACTGAAGCCATAGACAAGAGCATGCCTTTGACTGAGAGTAGCAACCTACTGATTGCCCTGGATAAGAAGAAAGAATTGGGAGTGTCCAAGTCGGATGTTCGTCCCACTGTGTTCCAACCCGAGCAACTTTTGGCCCAGAAGAGACGCCTCAGAAGTGTCAGCACAAAGGCAAGATTTAATCCAGGTGAGAAACGGGAATGTTATACTGCTGGAAATACTCCATCTAGGCTCCGTCTTCTGTTGTGCCCGCGTCTGTCCATGGGTGACTGTGTGTGTGCATGTGTGTGTGTGTGCGTGTGTGTGTGTGTGTGTGTGTGTGTGTGTGTGTGTGTGTGTGTGTGTGTGTGTGTGTGTGTGTGTGTGTGTGTGTGTGTGTGTGTGTGTGTGTGTGTGTGCATGCTCCGCGTTAAGTAACAATTAACAAATAAACCATCTTTCATGCATATACTGTGTCTTTTTGTAGTTGTGCGTGTATGTGCATGTGTGCGTGCATGCTCAGCGTTAAGTAACAATAAACAAATAAACCATGTTTCATGCATATACCGTGTCTTTTTTCCTCACAACTGTGTGTGTGTGTGTGTGTGCGCGTGTACGCGTGTGTATTTGTGTGTGTGTGTGTTGGTGTGTGTGTTGGTGTGTGTGTGTGTGTGTGTGTGTGTGTGTGTGTGTGTGTGTGTGTGTGTGTGTGTGTGTTGGTGTGTGTGTGTGTGTTGGTGTGTTGGTGTGTGCGTGCATGCTCAGTGTTAAGTAACAATAAACAAATAAACCATGTTCCATTAACATATCTGCTCAATGATTCAGTTAAACTGGGTCGGCGAGACATCCTGCGTGACTATGACTGGAACATGGACTTCCTCCCTCTGCCTGCTGTGTCGGTGAGTCCAGTTTAAGATTTAAAGTTATGATCGTTATGATTAATTGATATATGATGAGTTAACTGATTCATGATATTTGATGAATTAATTATGATATATGATATATGATATATGAAGTATCAATTATGATTCGTTGATAAATGAATTAAAATGTTTATGTTAAGGGATGAATTATTCATGACATATGAAGAATTTATTATGATGAATTTATACAGGATGAATTATTTAGGAGGTTCTTCATCTATGTTTCTCTTTACAAGAAGTCTCATGAAGACCCGGGGTAGTATAGGTCTTCACCAACCAATGCTTGCCATAAAGGCGACTAAGCTTGTCGTAGAGGCAGCCAGGCTCACTGACTTGGTTGATGCATGTCATCGTACCCCAATTGCGTGGATCGATACTCATGATGTCAATCACTGGATTGTCTGGCCCAGCCTTGATTATTTACAGACTGTCATCATACAGCTGGAATATTGAGTGCGGCGTTAAACAACAAACAAACATTGACAAAAGCCTTCCTCATTTAATCAATGACCCACTAGGACACTTGTTGACCCTGCAGTCTCCAATATACGTATCTGCTGTAGGACTCGATACGCAACGAAGCAGTAACATCAGACCTTGTCTCCCTGGACTTCACGGGCATAGAACAACTCACCGACTGCCTTTTCTTCATGTTCAAATCTACAAGATCAAAATTCCCCTCCATGCAGAGGTTCATTACGAATGGTGAGTCTACGGAAATTGTACAAGACTCTATTCTACAGTTGTCCAAACCCTAAATCCCCCCACAGTGTGAACAAAGTTATCATTTCCACCTCGTTTTGGACATGTTTGATTTGTTAAAAAAAAATACCAAACCACAAATATTCCTTCGATAGTACATTCTTGAGTACCGGTATAGTGTGCACTTTTTTTTCCAAAAACACAGCTGCGTAGAAGGGGGTGCACATTATACATGCAGTTTTGATGGGGTTTTTCCCCTAACGCAAAGACATTACCTTGAGCACGTAACACCAGAAATACCATGTCAACAAATCCATACTGAAGTACGCAAATTAATCATGTCATAACACTGTCTGGCTATAAAAAGTGTTCATTGTATATCTGGACTTATGTTTGTAACTTATTTCATTAATTTTATTCAAAATTCCTTTTAATTTTAATTAATTTTGGCAAAATCGTGTGTGAAGCGATCAGAAGTACGCACAACTCACCATTATTAACAGCAAACATGGTCAGATTACCGCTATTGATGCCTTGAAACAAACTTTAGTTGATGAGGGACGTTCAATAAGTTTTGCAACTTCACCTGCGTGGGAATCTAATTGTTCCATGTGAAAAAAATAACCGACAATAGCGATCAGCTGCTGCTACACTTAGGGTTATTATTATTTGAAATATATTTAGTAAAAGCTGCAACTAAAATAACAAGATATTGGAATATGTTATTCCTGATATAGTTTCAGATATAATTTTTGCCGATCCTTGCATTAAAATCCTGTATCACTGGGTGTTTTGACCGAATCATCGGTAGATTCCAAGAAAACGTGCGTACAGCTGATTGCTGTTGCCGGCTTAGTTTACGAGAAAATACACAATGTTATCTTAATCCCTGGATTCAAAACAATGCCTAGCAGAACAAAAAATACAATTTTAACAGCAAATCAACATGCCTGGTGATTTTTTTATCTCAAATTTCAAATTTGTACTGACAAAGTTTCCTATCACCTATTCGTATACCAGAAATTGCTGAAGGGGTACGGTGTAATATTTTTCTGTGCATAATATTCACACAAAAAATCCAAAAATACTGAATCAGCTGGAGGGGTTAGCGCATTATACTTGGGTGCGCACTCTACTCAAGAAAATACGGTACTTCCGTTTGGCTGTGGATGCCATGGTGTCAGAAGCAATAGTGTATAAAATTTCCACAACAAAGAAATGGCACAACCTTAAGCCCCCGTTACACTATCAAAAGCTATCATTTTGACCAAGTTTTTGATAGTGTAACATGCCGTCAAATACTTTGACAAACCGATCCTAACTGTGATCAAAGTTTGATGACGTTGATTTAATTTAGCCAATCAGACTGCAAGGAATTTTACCCCTTTTCAACCGGAAGTGCATTGAGTTAAGTCAAAATGAGTCAACTATTTTGGACTGACGAGAATTAATTGTTTGTTTCAACAATGAGCAGCCATTCTCGGGACCAAATCTGCCTTTGCCTACGCCGCCTTCTCAACAGGCTATACACAAAATACTGTATTCACCGTAATAAGCGCCCCGCTCTAATGAGCGCCCACGGCGATATTTGCTAATATATTGGCTAGTGAACAATCCCAATTAGCACCCCTTCCGATTGATCAATGTACAAAAGACTTATTTATTCGCCTATAATACGCACTCGTGAGTTATATGCACCCTTAATTATGGGCAATTAAATTCTAGAAAAATATAACTGTCGTATATAAACATTTCAGGCTGTCAGCATAAACCACAAAATTTATCTTTCAACTCTCTTTTTTTCACCAAAATACTATTCTAATAACAGCCCCCTATTTCTAATTTTGAGAGCGCCCTGGGCGCTTATCACGTCGAATACGGTACATATGACAACAGCAAATAATTCCTCATCAGTAGCATCCACCTGGGCAAGATAATTCCAACCAAAACTTTGACGGCTTGTCAAAAACTTTTTGACCAAGTTTTTTATCAAAGTTTTTGATAGTGTAAAGGAGGCTTAAGTAACTTACTCTCCATGATCCTGGTGCTGGTCATCTCACCTCATTCTCTACACACAAATGAAATACTGTAAATCTTGAAATTAACGCAAGCTTGAATTAAATGCGAAAAATGCGAGTGGCCTTTGTTGGCATTAATGAAACTTCACATTTGTGTCTCTCTCGCTCCAATCAGTGAACTGTTGTTGGTTCTATTATTTTATTGCCTTTGAACTTCCTCTATGCCAGTCAACAGAATAAACGTATAAACCGTTCGTTGTTTTTAAGAAAACACTGTTTATTGTTTTTACGGAAGTGCTCTACTCATCACACATATGCGGTGCTATTTGCTGTTTGATTGGATTAAAGATAGGTTGGATTAAGGTAGGATATATATCATTCCACTGGGGATGGGATGGGGGAGTCGCATTTTTGGTTAGGGGTCAGTAGTCATATTAATTTGGAGACGCATTAATTTCAAGATTTACAATATACTGATCTGAATGCTTCGCTCACTCATTCTGGAATTTGGAAGCCTCGACACTGTTTGGCTTATTAGGAAGGAGTGTCCTCAGCCCTTCAGCCACAGAGGAATAGTATTGGAGTCATAGATCTGATTTTAATGATAGTGGGGGAAAATTGCATTTGGTAGTGAGAAAATATAGAATTGATATTTTTGTTGAAAATATGTCGACAAGATGATTTAGTTATTGAGAACCATTTGATTACGTTTTTATATGCTTACATGTTAAGCGGGGTGCATTCAGCACCTCCACACCCCTCACCGCCTCTGGATCCAGTGTGTATAGGGTGTCTCCTTCCTAGCTGTCTGTTAAACAATTTGTCTTGGAGTGTTGCTTTCATGAGCTGCCACGATCTGCTATTTATGGTTTGAATGTGATGGGAGTGTGGGGTATTTTAGAAATGATATCATATCGTGTCTGAATGAACAGTGGGGTCAGACATTTAGGGCGCAGAGTACAGAGTTATGTCCCTTCTACATTCCAGAAAGCAATATTTCTGTTTTCTCAAATATATATCATAGTGAAGCAACAACACATGTAATAAAATTACAGATAATTAACATAACAGCTTTCTCACAATGAACACACTGCCAAATCTATTGAAAATTACATGATAATAATCAGTGATATCTGAAATCTGTGGGGCAGTTGAGCAGCCTAGTGGTTAAAGCGTTCGCTCGTCTCGCCGAAGACCTGGGTTCGATTCCCAACATGGGTACAATGTGTGAAGCCCATTTCTGGTGTTCCCTGCTGTGATATTGCTGGAATATTGCTAAAAGCGGCGTAAAACCATACTCACTCACTCACTCACTATATAATAAGGCAGTGGGACCTCTGCTCAGTTCGTCACTGATTCCCTCTTCTCTCTTCATCAACTTCCGAAGTTAAGGGGTTACTAAAGCTCACAAGGTATGTCCTGATCCCGAAATCACTGCGATTGTTGAAGGCTTTTACAAAGAAGACCAGATACGAAAATTATATCACTGACTGACTGACTGACTGACTGACTGACTGACTGACTGACTGACTGACTGACTGACTGACTGACTGACTGACTGACTGACTGACTGACTGACTGACTGACTGACTGACTGACTGACTGACTGACTGACTGACTGACTGACTGACTGACTGACTGACTGACTGACTGACTGACTGACTGACTGACTGACTGACTGACTGACTGACTGACTGACTGACTGACTGACTGACTGACTGACTGACTGACTGACTGACTGACTGACTGACTGACTGACTGACTGACTGACTGACTGACTGACTGACTGACTGACTGACTGACTGACTGACTGACTGACTGACTGACTGACTGACTGACTGACTGACTGACTGACTGACTGACTGACTGACTGACTGACTGACTGACTGACTGACTGACTGACTGACTGACTGACTGACTGACTGACTGACTGACTGACTGACTGACTGACTGACTGACTGACTGACTGACTGACTGACTGACTGACTGACTGACTGACTGACTGACTGACTGACTGACTGACTGACTGACTGACTGACTGACTGACTGACTGACTGACTGACTGACTGACTGACTGACTGACTGACTGACTGACTGACTGACTGACTGACTGACTGACTGACTGACTGACTGACTGACTGACTGACTGACTGACTGACTGACTGACTGACTGACTGACTGACTGACTGACTGACTGACTGACTGACTGACTGACTGACTGACTGACTGACTGACTGACTGACTGACTGACTGACTGACTGACTGACTCACTGACTCACTCACTCACTCACTCACTCACTCACTCACTCACTCACTCACTCACTCACTCACTCACTCACTCACTCACTCACTCACTCACTCACTCACTCACTCACTCACTCACTCACTCACTCACTCACTCACTCACTGACTGACTGACTGACTGACTGACTCACTCACTCACTCACTCACTCTGAAAACTGACATGTGACATGTGACATCACAAGGACTACCCCTACCCCTCCTTGTGGGTTCACAATGTTGGAAGCATTTAAGATTTACATCACTTCGAGCTTTCCTCTCACATCAACCTGACACACAGCAATATAGCTGAAATACTCCCTGTGAAGGAAGTTTACAGTTTACCTACTTTGAGCGCAATAACAAGTTGCTATTTGTTTCAGGGTGTGTTCATTTCAGTGACCAAGGGCTGTCATGGGCTGCGGAGCTATTTCCGAAATTATTAACGGTAAGCTTTGAAAACAAAATATTTTGGTGGGGAACCTGTACATATTGTTATCATGGTAATGAAGATATATATACACATAGCATGAATTCTTTGTGAAGGTAAAATATATTTTATCTAATGCTGAGGATGCAGAACACAACTGTCCTCATTCACTAACACAAATTTACAGATACTTCAGTAACCAGATAATCTCCTGGCTATTCTGGGCTCCTAAACTGAGGCATGCATCTGAGTATGATTAATTATTCATTTACATAATGAATTTACTTGGATTCCAAATGTATCTAGGACTTCAAATTAACTCGTTCACCAGCAGACAAACTATTTTTGTTATTGAACATATTTATCTACAACTTTGTGCAATGCTTACACAACAACAGTTGTTTTCAAATTATTTTATGTCCTTATCATTGTGTACACTATGACTTTTCTAACTTCAAATGTTGCAATATATTCCATCAAACGTGCTCTATGTAAACCAAATCATCCTTAGTCTATAAACTACTTGCAGCATCAATTCTGTATGTCGATGATCTATATTCAGCAGAGAAAGGAATCTATATGTTTCTAGGCAGAGTTTTACGGATGTCCTAAGATAACGGAGAAAGGGATCTATATGTTGGCCAAGAAGTGTCATAAGCTGATCAACCTGTCGATAGTTGGGACTGGTGTTTCCAAGCTGCCATCACAACTATGTAAGAACATTACTGTCAATTTATTCTATTCAAAGATATACCCATGACCTGTTACGTTGATAGTGTAGCTCAGTCTGGCAATGGTATCCTGTCACAGATGCCATGGCTACTTTTAATGTGTCACTTGTTGAGGCTTGTGCAGATGTAAGATGGAAATAAATGTAGAAACGTGTCTGGCAAACCTCACCCCTAATGGCTGAGTCTATATCCATCACTGAGAATACTAGTACAGTCCTCCTTGGTTATGATGGCCCTGTTTATAATGCCACCCTCGTTATAATGCCACATTTTTCTCAGAATGGATTTCGGCAGTGCATACTTTCCTGGTTATAATGCCAACCTTGTTGTCATACCACTGCTAGTGTATTTCATGACAAAAGTTCCAATTCCCTTGTTATAATGCCATTATTTTTAACAGAAAAACAAAGCTGTGTGATGTGTGATGTGCTTCACCTCATCATACCGACTTCAGTTCATAGGAGGCCTATTTCAGACAGATCTGGACATCCTTCTGGTTCCCCGGGCTCCTGCCCCTCCGCAACCCTTCACACTTCTCCAGTGGCAGGTGCTTCTGGGGCTGCTTACAACGGCTTACGTCGGCCCAGGACCTGACCATCAGAGGACACCTACACCTGCATCCCATCCAACAGTTCCAAGTGCCATACATCAGATGTCAGGATCTTTGTGTATCCATCCCTGTACAGCCTCACCTCAGGCTGCATCTCAGTTGGTGGAAGGTAGAGTCGAACGTCTTAGGAAGATTCTCCTTGCCAGAGCTGTCACCATCTGTTCATAGATGCCTCTCTACAGGGTTGGGTCCGCATCTAGAGGACCAAACAGCTTCAGGACTGTGGTCTGACTTGCAGCGCACATGGCACATAAACAACCAGGAATTGGATGCACTCATCCTTGCGACATCACACTGGCAGGATCGCATACAGAACACCCAGCTCATCATCTCAACCGACAACATCGTGGTGGTTTGGTGGCTGCACAATCAAGGGACAACTTGCTCTCATTCTTTGCTACAGCAGATGTTCCAGTTCTTCTATCTGGTGGATCGCCTACACCTGCAATTCCTTGTCCAGCATATCCCAGGATGTCAGAACATCTTAGCAGATGCTCTATCACGGCGAGACAAGGTGGCTTCCACAGAGTGGAAACTTCATCCGAAGGCCTTCAGTCTCATATGTCAGTGTCGCGGTCATCCAAATATTGACCATCCGATTTAGATGCATTAAGGAGTAATGCAGGATAAGTAAAAAATATGGTAAAATCTAAATCTTTTTACATTTGTATACTTATCCTGCTTTACTGTGTCTGAGGGGCCCACCTGACTCTGAGCTGCCTCCCCACGATGTCCTCAGACTCCGAGCTGCCTCCCCAAAATGTCCTCAGACTCCAAGCTGCCTCCCCACGATGTCCTAAGACTCCAAGCTGCATCCCCACGATGTCCTCAGACTCCGAGCTGCCTCCTCACGATGTCCTCAGACTCTGAGCTGCCTCCCCACGATGTCCTCAGACTCCGAGCTGCCTCCCCATGATGTCCTCAGACTCAGAGCTGCCTCCCCACGATGTCCTCAGACTCAGAGCTGCCTCCCCACGATGTCCTCAGATGTTACACTCAAGAAGTAATGTGAAGATACATGACGTTATCATTTCCATGGTCACGTGTGCGCTCCGCGATGTTGTCTGCCTCACAACTGGTTGGAACAAATTCTTCTTCAGCTGGACCTCACACAGCTTTGTTTTTCTATTAAAAGAAACTAACCGCATTGATTTCATTTGTTTTCACAGGTAATCTTCACACAGAGAATCATTCCCTTTCCTCAAATAACAAACAAATTAGTTTGACATTAATGATTATATCCTTTCTATAGGCTTAATTAAATTAGTACTTCTTCATTCCCAATTGATCTCAGAATAAATAGCTTGGATTGAGTTCATGTGTCTCGGTTCTTTATTAATCTTCCATAAACATGTATCATGTCAGTAAGGTTTGGTCATCACCTCCCTGGTTATAGTGCCACCCTGGATATAATGCCATAGTTTCCATTGGTCGAAAGGCAGCATTATAACCAGGGAGGAGAAAACAGAACATCACAAGAAAAGTTCTGTAACATTCTTATTTGAGTTACAAAATTTCTTGCCTAATGTCTTGACATCGCTATGGGCAAGCAATAACACTGCTCTTGCTCCCCAGGTGAAACGAAGGTGTCCCAGGTGAAGGTGTGTGCCTGTCCTATCATCTCGGGCTCCCCCAGGTTTCCCATGACCCCAAGTGTTGCAAGTAAAGGTAGGACAAGGGTCTCTCATTGCCATGGAGGGAGAAGGATAAATACTAAAAATATCTGTGAATTTTGTTTGATTAATTTTCCCTTATAAAATTGTTCATTTATTCAGCATTACATAACGAACAAAAAGTTGGAAATACGTAAGGTTCTATGTACTACAATATGGTTGATGCATGTCATTGTATCCCAATTGTGTGGATCGATGCTGATGATGTCAATCGCTGGATTGTCTGGTCCAGACTCGATTATTTACAAACTGCCATCATATGGCTGGAATATTGCTGAGTGCAGTGTTAAACAACAAATAAACAACCAAACATTGACTTTGTCATTATATTGTTTTCTTTGTACATTCATCCCACCATATTTTGTGTAAACATCATGATATGTTAACATATTGTACTCTATGCACTTACTAAGCATTCACCTGATGACGGAGCGTCCTACAAATAATAAAAGAAGTTGCTATCAATAAAAAATTGTCATGTATTCCTATAACAGTTATTGGCAGAATTTCTGCAAGTGAACAGTGCATAATTTGTACTTGCGGGAAAAAGTTACTGTGCTTCATACAAAGATCAAAATTAATTTATTCTGAAATTAAATAATGTATCTTTCAATAAATATTAATGAATACTTATCCTCGACTTTAAGGGTGTGAGTGACAATCTTACGTGCATGTTGATGCACAGCACATAATTTGAATGTTTGCTTGTTTCTTGGGAGCATGATACTCACACATGTAGATTTTTTAATGTGAACAGCACACAATGATTGATTAGCCATGAGGTGCTAAAAAAACACTTTAGTTTGAGGCTTATGTAATGCCACAGCTCGCTGAAAAGCTACGTCTGCACACTGTGGGTCAACTGCAAACAGGAATGGTGCAGAACAAATTAGCCCAAGATTTTAATGTTCATCAAAACACAATATCAACATCATCAGTTTAGAGATGGAAGTGTAATGGTATGGGGTGGCATCACAATTCATGGGAGAACACAACTCATTGTTCATGGCAATTTGAATGGCGTACACAACCGGGATGACATCATTAATTATTATTTTCTACCCTTTGTGCAAATGCAGAGATGTAAAGTCACTTTGCAGCAGGATAATTATCACCCACACGTTGCACTTTTTGAGGCAGCATAACGTTGCTGCACTGCCATGGTCTGCTGTTTCTCCACATTCCTTTCCATAGAACATGTCTTGGATTAGACAAGCGGTAACGCTTGCTCAGTTGGGCCAACCTTTGGGTGACATTTGGAACAACACCCTGGAGGCTGTTTTCTGTCATCTTATGTCTTGACTCCACCTGTATCAATGCATATGGTGGTCACACCCAATATTGATATTGTTAACTGAGGTGTCATAGGCAGATCCAGAGGAGGGGTCCAGTGGAGATGTCCAGGGGAGGGGTCCAGAGGAGGGGTCTAGAGGAGGGGTCTAGAGGAGGGGTCTAGAGGAGGGGTCCAGAGGGGTCCAGAGGGGTACAGAGGGGTCCAGAGGAGGGGTCCAGAAGGGTCCAGAGGAGGGGTCCAGAGGAGGGGTCCAGTGGAGGGGTCCAGAGGAGGGGTCCAGAAGGGTCCAGAGGAGGGGTCCATTGGAGGGGTCCATAGGAGGGGTCCAGAAGGGTCCAGAGGAGGGGTCCAGTGGAGGGGTCCAGAGGAGGGGTCCAGAAGGGTCCAGAGGAGGGGTCCAGAGGAGGGGTCCAGAGGAGGGGTCCAGAAGGGTCCAGAGGAGGGGTCCAGAGGAGGGGTCCAGTGGAGGGGTCCAGAGGAGGCGCCTAGAGGAGGGGTCCAGTGGAGGGGTCCAGAGGAGGGGTCCAGAGGAGGGGTCCAGAAGGGTCCAGAGGAGGGGTCCAGAGGAGGGGTCCAGTGGAGGGGTCCAGAGGAGGGGTCCAGTGGAGGGGTCCAGAGGAGGGGTCCAGAGGAGGGGTCCAGAGGAGGGGCCTAGAGGAGGGGTCCAGTGGAGGGGTCCAGAGGAGGGGTCCAGAGGAGGGGCCTAGAGGAGGGGTCCAGAGGAGGGGTCCAGGGGGTCTGCCCCCTCCCAAATGTTGTATGTTGTTGGCAGTGAAAATGACTGAGAGAAGATTTTGATATTTTGGACACCGACCTGTTAAAAATGCAGGATCCGCCATGGGTTGTTGCACCACCATCTTTTAGGGCGTGTCTCTCTGTCTCCTGTTACCATGTATGGGTTTTTTCCAATGAATTTGTTATGATAAAACATTAATCAGACAAATGACCAAGTATTATGTTTTTTTCAATAACATAACATTTATTCCACAGTAACTTTTTTCCGTTTAGTAGATGATTAACCTTGATTGATAATGAGAACTTGAACACAGTTGAAATTGTGATGATTTTGGCCTGTGACTATGTTGACTAGATGAGGGAGACAATGTAGAATATGTGAACCTCCCCAACTACAAGATTGTGTTGCTACGGGATGTGGACATAGACGTCAGCGTGACGTCGCTGCTTACTGGCTCCACCAATCAGAAGCCTTCCCCTGGACTAGTATACACGAAGGATTGGTCACCTGACCCGGGGATGAAACATGAAGGCAAATTCAACATATTGGAGATCCCCGCAGATAGTGTGAGTGTTTCGTCAGTTTTAGCTCACCTGACTTATGTAGGGTCACACTTTATCACACATAGGTGTGTGAGTACCATAACACTTGTATAGTACCGGCAGTACAAGGTGAAGTACATCTCAGCTTTTGGGTTTTTTTTAAATCTGACAAATGCAAACTTACATGTTCTCACAAACATAAAAGGTCAAACTGCAAGACAATAGGACAAGAAGTTAAAGTACAAATTAGGGCTTCCACGAGTACTCGAGGGGTGAAACTCGACTCGAACTCGAGTACCCGAAAATAGGACGTCCTTTAAGAATATTGGTTCATGAGATCAAAATTGCCATCTAAAAGTATTAAAACATGTTATAAGTATAATTGAACTGCACTGAAATGTAGTCGTGCTGCCAGTGTAACTAAGGATAAGGCCACACAAACGGCATTTAGTTTTCTTTTTAACACTGTCTAAATCAAAATGTACCCACACGTTTGATTTTTTATCCCTCTCCATTGCCAGTGCAAATGGCGTGCTATGGTAACGTGAAACAAGCAAAACAGAGTGATCTCCCCTTATCGAGTACTCGAGTCCTTGATAACGGACTCGAGTTCCACTAAAACCGACCCGGCCCCGAGTACTCAAGTACTCTTTGAAGCCCTAGTACAAATCTGTAGCTTAGAATAGGTTCACCTGGCTTTTGAACTTAACTTTGGAACAAAATAAATAATCTGAAATGTCTTTTTCTTCGTCTTTATTTCCCCAACTTCTGACTTGTATTTTATACAACAACGTCTGTACACCAAGAAAGAAGAGTCTGGCCTTATGTTCCAACTCCAAAAAAGTATTTATGTATTCAAAGTTTATCTCTGCATATAAAACAATGCCTAGCAGAACAGGAAATACAATTTAGTGTCTAGTGATGTTTTATCTCAAATTTCAAATTTGTATTGACCAAGTGTATACAATGTAATTTTTTCTGTGGAAGACAAATACGTATTTATTGCAAATGTAGTGATTGTGTATGCACTTATGTTTTTCTTCATTCCAATTTCCCTTAAAGGGCAAGTTCACACGGAAATGAACCTATTTTTCTTGTACTTTTTCCACATTAAAAGTGTTAACATAGAAGTGTCATAGACAAAAATATAAAAATATCACAATTAATTAACATATTTTTCGCATTAAAACGATTTATATTTTTCACATTTACCAAGTGTTCTATTTCCACAACAAAAACACCATGGCTTATGCCCCTTGCAATATGACGTCATTGGTGCCAATTGATAAACATTATGACGTCATCATGCTTTGTTAGAGCCGCTTCACGTGGTGTAGGTCCAGGTGTGTGATTCTAGCGTCTCAGATGCCAGCCAGCATAGTGTTATGCTGAGTCACCACTGCGCCGGAGTGTGTCGTAGGCCATGTTGTTTTACCGCAAACTGGTACTTGATATCTTTTGCGTTGAGAATAGACAGGGACCCAGTTGAATTGGCACCAATTACGTCATAATCTAAGGGGGATAACTCAGGCCTGTTTAGCTCGAAAAACGAAGGGCTCATAACGGCATATCATTTTCACACTATTGTGAGCTTCCTACGTTCACTGTGAAAAAAATGAGTGTATATTTTCAAACACAGATACTAATTAATTCTAAAATTGCGTTTTGTTTAGAAAAAGAAAGAAAGTGATTTTTGCGTGTACACTTCCCCTTTAAAGACGGGGTATATAAATTAGCATCAATTTTGAAGGCCTTTACCGAGGGGCCACCTTATAGGCGTGATTGCTTAATAGACGGTGATATACAGTATGAACTGTGACTGTCAAGCTGGTATCCCATGTTTCAAGTTACCTGGGTGCCGTTGTTCAAACCATCCTTAGCACTACGACTGTTGTAAGTCTATGTTAAGGTATGGGAGTTACGATCACCTTAGCGTTGAGATTGCTTTGTACAATGACACCCCCCCTGGACCCTGTGTGTGTTTCAGCCCCTGGGGGACCCCCTGCTGAGCCCTGGAAGCATCGTGGTGGTTGCCTACACGCCCACAAAGACTGACCCTGCTGCCCTCAACCTCCGCCTGGCCAGAAGGGTGGCGGCTGCTTTGTCCAAGGTGAGAAGCACTGTAGGGATTCCAAGTCAGAACCACTCCCCTGTGCATCCTGCTCAGGCAAGGGAGTCAACTGACTATCAAATATTAAAGTCCAGTTTCCACCCTTGTCGAACTAGGCTGGATTTTCCAGGTTCGGTCGTAGTGCCACTTATTGTCAGTTTTATATTAATTAATATTTATGTTTTTAAATATAAAGTGTAACGGTAAATAACATTTATTTACATGAGTGACTATATCCTCCGGTCCTTATCATCATGAGGGGCGGTGGGGTAGCCCAGTGGTTAAAGTGTTTGCTTGTCACGCCGAAGGGCTGGGTTCAATTCCCTACATGGGTACAATGTGTGAAATTGCTGGAATATTGCTAAAAGTGGTGTAAAACTCTTGTGATTATAACTGTTGTATGCTCATATATGCCATAAGTCTTCTTGTCGGATGAAAAACATTCCATGAAATAGTAGCGCACAATTAAATACATTGCAATACTACATTGTTAATAAAGATTTCATTTAAAAGTTATATTGCTTGATCACCATGTGTATATATGTGAGTATAGTGAAGTAATTGTTGTTTGTGTCCAGTGTCGTGACATCGTGGTGACGTTGTTGGCTGTACAGTCCGGGAAGACAGCCGTGTCAGCAGAGGACATCTTGACTAAAGTGAAAGAGAGGCTGCAGAACTGGAAGATGGCGATCTACAATCAGCTGGATTATCTCATACAGTGAGTGATTGAGTGAGTGAGTGATTGAGTGAGAGAGTGGGTGAGTGGGTATTCCATTTTAGTGGAATCAATGATTTGTTGCTAAAGACCAAGGATTGGGAAAAATCTGTGACCCGCTTTTCTCCATGTAAGCAGTTCCATACTATGTAACAATGTTATAAGATAGGCCTTATATCCCGTCACGAAGTGGTAAACTGGTGCCTTTTGATTGTTTGGGATGTTTGAAAAATTTATTTTTCAAGTTTCAATAGCCAACAACTTTGACTTAGTCTGAAAATGGTGGTAGTGCTTGTTTCCGGAGCAGAACTTGAAAACTGTAAATATTTCTTGCCAGACATGTCATACTGGCGGGGGATATGAGTATTTCATGCTTGTTTATCTGGGAGTAGTAGGGATCAACACGATCATATAGTGATGGACGGAGTGGTCAACCTGTTCCCATTAGCTACATGTAGTCTGTGTACTGTGAAACAACAGCCGGACATTGTGCTGGGGTGTATGGGGATGGACAGGATGAAGCTGACACTGGTGGACCCTGCTTCATTGGGTAGAGTAGTATCATCAGTCACACACTCACGGGAACAGGATGTGATTATTGGGATATACTCTCTAAGATATGTGTGGGGCGGTCAGGTAGCCTGGTGGTTAAAGCGTCCGCTCATCATGCCGAAGACCCAGGTTCGATTCCCCTCATGGGTACAATGTGTGAAGCCCATTTTTGGTGTCCCCCGCCGTGATATTGTTGGAATATTGCTAAACGCAGTGTAAAACCATACTCAATCACCCACTGTAAGATATATTAAATGTATATTAAAACAGTGGTGTTGAAGTAGTCACAAAATCACCATTTATTGACAGACGATCCTGGCGCCTGGAGTGCACTGACTTTGTGGGACAGATCTCCATGGCAGCCGGAGCAGCAGACAAGGAGGCGCTGAAGGAGCTTCAGGAGAAGGACCTCCTCACAACACTCTCCGTGGTGAGTACAGTCAGTGATGAGTCCACACGAAGTGGTGAGTAATGTGTTGATGCTTCACCTGATACCCACAACAGTCCATAGTCCATAGTCCATCTGTGAAACACACAAACATCTGTGAAACACACAAACATCTGTGATATTTGTCAGGCTGCACAGGTATCATTACTGACCACAGTGTGGAACCGTATTCAGACCGGTAATGACAATTGAAACAGTCATCTTGATATCGCCTTCCATGATAAACCTTTAGGAATGAAAACTTCCTTGCACTCACTCACTGCCTTCTTTCAGAGTCAGACCGCCCCGGATGCGGCATCGATCAGCAGCTCAATCTACAAGTCCCTGGCGTCTATGAATGCCCATTTTCCGTGGATCTTCAACAAGTATGCCAAGGAGTCATTGGATGCATTGACGGAAATAAGGCCGCGAACCTACTGGAACTTGGAGCGGGTCTTCTACAATGTTGCTGATGACACGAAGCGATTTCTTAATCCCCACAACAGTTTCCAGCACATTTCGAAGTTGTTGCAACTGCAAAATACCATGGTGAGACATCACAGAAAACAATGGCCCTCTATTCCTAGGCACATGGTGGCATATGGCCCTGGGTACAGAGCACAGGTCACACATAGGAGGAAGTTTTTTGTTTTTTTTATTTGTTTTTTTTTGTACCTTTTGAGTTTCTGATGGTTTTGGTCCTACCCCACACTGTGGTGTCTCCCTGGGCAGATGACTTTGTTCAAATATGCTTCTGGTCACCCAGCAGTGAATGGGTACCTGGCAGGATGAGATGGTAATGGGACTGTTAACCTTCTAGCATGTCAGGGGCAGCTTGGTTAACCGGGTGGTCAGAATCTGTATCATCGTAGTCTGATGGCGTGTGCTCATTCACATGGTAGTAAAGAGTCCACTTGCTACAACCAAGGCCCAACTTCTTGTACAATCTGAAAAATGTCTAGAATGTTGCTACTAACTCACACCCGTGTGACATTTGAAAGATGAAAGTCCTGTAGGGATTCCTGGTGTAGAATCATGTTGACTGTAAGAGTCAACTTATTTCCATCAGGCAGTCTAGCTCTGTGGCTTGCCTGAGTGCGTGTAATAGATTATTTACTCACCTCAGTGATACAGTTGACATATTGCTGACTGTGGCATTAAACAACATTCATTCACTTAATGAATGACGCTTGATTGATTTTTGCAAAAGGCTTTCTTTTTTCTGTCTGTTGATTAACTTAACCAACTTACTTAATAGAACTAATATGACACTTGATGAAAAAAATATATAAGAGGTCTGATACACGAAAAAGCCAACCCATTGACTTTCTTTTTGGATACCCCAGGGGTTTGCACTGTACTTCCCCCACCTGAAGGCGAGTCCCTGTGTCACAGACCTGCCTCACTTCGGGGAGATCCTGCAGCAGTTCCTGTCGAGCACACCACCCCAGAAGACGAGCATCAAGTGCCTGGGATCAAACATCCCAGCCTGGGAATCAAGTCAGCTTAGTAAATACCTGGAGTCCTTTGTCAATCCAACTCAGGTGAGTCCCTGATACCTGTCGATCCAACTCAGGTGAGTCCCTGATACCTGGAGTCATTTGTCAATCCAACTCAGGTAAGTCCCTGATACCTGTCAGTCCAACTCAGGTAAGTGCCTGATACCTGTCAATCCAACTCTGGTGAGTCCTGATACCTGGAGTCCTTCCTTTGTCAATCCAACTCAGGTGAGTCCCTGATACCTGTCAATCCAATTCAGGTGAGTCCCTGATACCTGCCAATCCAACTCTGGTGAGTCCTGATACCTGGAGTCCTTTGTCAGTCCAACTCAGGCAAGTCCTCATACCAGTCAATCCGACTCAGGTGAGTCCCTGATACCTGTCAATCCAACTCAGGTGAGTCCCTGATACCTGTCAATCCAACTCAGGTGAGTCCCTGATACCTGTCAATCCAACTCAGGTGAGTCCCTGATACCTGTCAATCCAACTCAGGTGAGTCCCTGATACCTGTCAATCCAACTCAGGTGAGTCCCTGATACCTGTCAATCCGACTCAGGTGAGTCCCTGATACCTGTCAATCCAACTCCTTGTCCTTTGTCAATCCAACTCAGGTGAGTCCCTGATAGCTGAGTACCTGATAATACCACATTTCTGATCAAGTCAGGGGCGGTTGGGTAGCCTCGTGGTTAAAGCGTTGACATTGGGTTCGATTCCCGACATGGGTACAATGTGTGAAGCCCATTTCTGGTGTCCCCCGCCGTGATATTGCTGGAATATTGATTAAAGTGGCGTAAAACCATGCTCACTTACTCACTGATAAAGTCAGCTGATTGATAAGCATTTCAACATGTTAAGCCCATCAAGGTGTTCCATGTTTGTTATTGCTGTGTTCCAAGACAAGTTGACCAACATACGTCAGTCATGACTCATTGCAGCAAAGCACAATTATTAAGCTTATTCGGTTATTAGGAAGCCATCATGGACGTTTCCCACTATCACTGGCTACATATACAATAATGATGTCAGCTAGTTTGATATCATATCGCCTATAGTCATCCAAGGAAATCATAAAACGGAAAGTAATTGTTTAGGTTATCCAAAAAACAGTAAGTGTGGAATTGTATTTTTCATCCCAAACTGGCTCCCACAGGAGATATCGCTTGGATGAGATCAAGCGATATCTACACTGTAGATATCGCTGCAATGAAATTACATCACAATGCTTTGCAGACCATTGTGACATCACTGGTTACCATGACGTCACAATCAAATGATAGCCTCGGAATTTTTCCACTTTCATCAACTCGTGTTGATATATTTGATATCAAAAGACACTTGGGTGAGATTCTCTATGTCTAAATATTCAGCTAAAATACCAACAATTATGGTTATGGTTACTGGTTAAAGTATTTGCTAAATTCTGTATTACTATTTCTTCCACAAGAATGACCCCAACTGACCCCCATGATGCCACTACCACTGCATCCACAACTTTATTTTACTGTCTTACATATGTAATAAAAATAATGTTACAAGCTGAGAACATCACAGTTGCTGGTTTATATACTCACCACCAAAGAAACGTGAATGTTGGTTAATATATGAAAACTTACTCATATTCATGAGATATTAGATTGGTTCAATGCACAAACCAATGTACTGGTATGTTATGTGAACCGATGCCCATGAACGCATCACATGAGACGTCATTGCTCTACGACTTGAGATGCAGGACTTGCGTGTAAAGTTTCCAGTTTGGAAATTACGTGCAGCATATTGTGATAAGAATAAAGTCACTGTGGTAACACTTGACAGGTGGTTAATTTTGTCATCAAGCGGTACACATTGGAAACATCTCTTCTTAACGTACAAACTTCTCTTTATGATTCTATGGTTCGCGTTTCTTTTGTCGATCAGTATATAATGTGTGTTGATGGTAATATTAAGTCTCATCGTGCATATATATTTCCTTTAAATTCATTGAGAAATAGTGAAACTGTTGTGAAATTGCCATCCGTTATACCTAAACACATGCCATTACATCTAACATGTGACTGCTTAATAGCAAAGACAATCAGAGTGTTCTCCCCTTGGTGAGCCTTAATGAAACCGACCCAGGCCTGAGTACTTGAGCACTTGTAAAAGCCCAGCTGATGAAGCGTTAGCAGGAAATAAGTTTGGAATCAGACCACTTTTCTATATCCCAGTGTAATCCCAATGTTTGTGTACAGGCTGAAGGCTTGCTCCAGCTCCTCCTTAAGCTGGGTCTCATGTTGCCGTTCCCTGCCACAGACAGCTCCTCACAGTGCTACGTCCTGACGTCTCATCTTCCCACACACCCTGCCGTGGAGCTGGTGAGTGGACACACTTTGTTAATGATCATTCATGGGGATATTGTAGGGAACATGCATTATTCATATGTTTATTGTAGGAAACATGCATTATTCATATTTTTATTGTGGGGAACATGCATTATTCATATGTTTATCATGTTTATTGTGGGGAACATGTGTTATTCATATGTTTATTGTGGGGAACATGCATTATTCATGTGTTTATTGTGGGGAACATGAATTATTCATGTGTTTATTGTCGGAAACATGCATTATTTATTTTGTATGAAACATGTTATTCCTATGTTTATTGTAGGAAACATGCATTATTTATTTTGTATGAAACGTGTTATTCATATGTTTATTGTTGGAAACATGCATTATTAAAACTACTCATCTGACAGAAGCCTCTGACAGGCTTATGAATGTATGTATTGGTTTCATGTGCTGTGGCCTGAATGTCTGAGATTGCCTGCTATTATGTTATTACAGTGCCAACTCTGGGAGGACGTCTGCCCACACAGCACACTCCAGGGCCAGAAGTTCTACACATTCCTGCCTGGCCTCCCACAGTCCTTCTTCCCAGTCTTCATCAGGTAAATAGTACATCAGTATGTGACTGAATTCTTATAGGCTCCAGTGTCTAACCCTTCTCTTCATGTTGATCTGTCTAACCCTGGTTCACAAGACAGTAACATCTTGATGAGTGCTATCCTGGTTCACAAGACAGTAACATCTTGATGAGTGTGATCCTGGTTGACATGTCAATAATGTCTTCTGGTGTCTCTAACCTTGCTTTATGTATACTAACAAACCTCCAGTGATGTCTTTGTCTCCCCACTGTCAGTCATGTTATTGTTTATATGGGGGCCTTGTATTCTAAGAATAAAAGCAGGGACTTTCTGCACCATGGGATTTCTATAGCAAGTCCCCCTGTCCTAGAGATAATCTACAGAAAGTCCCCCTGCCGTAGGGATAATCTACAGAAAGTCCGCCTGCCGTAGGGATAATCTACAGAAAGTCCCCCTGCCGTAGGGATAATCTACAGAAAGTCCCCCTGCCGTAGGGATAATCTACAGAAAGTCCCCCTGCCATAGGGATAATCTACAGAAAGTCCCCCTGCCGTAGGGATAATCTACAGAAAGTCCCCATGTCCTAGGGATAATCAATGGAAAGTCCCTCTGTTCAAGAGAAATATTTTGCATTTCACACAGTCAATATCACACACATTACTAATGAAGTCTGATGGTGTCTAACCCTGCACTATATCCTAATGACATATGGCGGTGTCTAACCCTGCACTATATCCTATGACATATGGCGGTGTCTAACCCTGCACTATATCCTAATGACATATGGCGGTGTCTAACCCTGCACTATATCCTAATGACATATGGCGGTGTCTAACCCTGCACTATATCCTAATGACATATGGCGGTGTCTAACCCTGCACTATATCCTAATGACATCTGGCAGTGTCTAACCCTGCACTATATCCTAATGACATATGGCAGTGTCTAACCCTGCACTATATCCTAATGACATATGGCAGTGTCTAACCCTGCACTATATCCTAATGGCATATGAGGATGTCTAACCCTGCACTATATCCTAATGACATATGGCAGTGTCTAACCCTGCACTATATCCTAATGGCATATGAGGATGTCTAACCCTGCACTATATCCTAATGACATCTGCTTGTGTGTTGCAGACAGTGTATGAAGGTGTTTCCCCCCACTCTGTTGTGGAGGACCGGGGCTGTCTTCCAGCAAGGGCCTGTGTGGGTGCTGGTGGAACTACAGACTAACAAGGGCACCGATGTAGATGGTAGGAGCTCTACACAATGCCAAAAAGCAGTTTTGAACTTTTATGTTTATGTTTCAAAGGCGGAAATATTGTTTAAAAATGATGAGCTAGAAATTGTCACACTCAAATGAACCCATATGCTTGGTGTGTGAGATGCCCCAATTGGTATGTTTTATCATCTGAATATGCCAATTGTTTCGTGTGTAATTGTGCCAGGCCCTGCCAATCTTAGCCAGGCCCTGTAGCCATTTTATTTTACCTTATCCTGACTCATACTAATTGCTTACCTCATCTAAAAAAAAATAAATCATCTATACTTATCTTGACTCATACGCTGGAGTACCTACACAGTCGTCCCCTCGGCCCCTGATGTGTGTTTTGGCCGTTAGGTAAGGGATATGAGAGAGTGACGAGTATACCGGCTTGGTCACATGGTTCCAGTGCGCCTGCGCGGCCCGGGGGTTGCATTAGAGTGAGATCTGTTCTCTGGGAAGACAGCACAGAAAGTTTCCACTCCATTTCAGAAATAAGATGAGATAAGCCATTAGTATTAGTCAGGATAAGTATTAATGATATTTTTACTCTAAAAAATACAAATTATAGTGGAACGTCAAATAAACCCTTGAATTTGAAGGTATTTTTCAAAAGTAAACTTGAAACCTTATAAATAGACTCTCATGTGTACGACAATATTTACATTAAACCAAATGATATTCTTTTACCTGGTTTGACTAGTATAACAAACATGAAAGAATATCTCACGTGATCATCCTGCATGTTTCCAGGGTCGCCGGTGATTGTCCTCAGTGCCCGTCTGCCATGTTTAACCACAGCCAACCACACAACGACAGAGTTCTCACGATCAAGCCTCTTCGCAACTCTCAACATTGTCAGTCACTGTGTGGAGTTTCTCATCCGAAAGTTCAATGTCTATGCCTATGTAAGTCTTAATGTCACTGTGTATCATGTAATGCGGAACAAATTTAAAATCGCTGTGAACACCGCACTTTTGGAAAATAGGCATTCCGCATGCAACGAAAGATCAGCTTCCAGGGTAGAGTGGCCGACAGTGGGGTGTGATGCCATGCATGTGGAGTTCATGATATTTGTGTGTTCATCAATGCACCACATCGGCACACGCACTGTCAGGTTGTGATTTATCTTCAGTTTGGTTTGCAGTAGTGAAGGAGCTAAGTTCTCAAGCCAAGTTCTGGATTATATGAAACGATATACCAAGAATGTAATGGAGTGATGTATTTGCAAACATCCTGTTCTTTTCAACACAGTTTGTTATAAGTGTTCCACACATTGAAACTCCACATAACTCCGCTGAACAAAGTTCTGACACATTCCTAGGTGACGACACCCTGTCGGAGCTGTTTTGCTGGGAAGAGTCACGAGATGGCGCTGGAGAGAACACTGATTTACCATTTCAGTGCAGCCATTGTCTTGGCCGGGCACGACCGTGGACTCCACTGTAAATACGAGAAAGAGAAGAGTAACGCAAAGAAACGAGCTGACAAACTGACGCTGCTTGGAGAAGGTGAAATACAGTGCTGGGACTGTGGGATACAGTGTTGGGAATGTGGGATACAGTGTTGTGGAATGTGGGATACAGTGTTGGGAATGTGGGATACAGTGTTGGGAATGTGGGATACAGTGTTGTGGAATGTGGAATACAGTGTTGGGAATGTGGAATACAGTGTTGGGGAATGTGGAATATATTGTTGGGAATGTGGAATACAGTGTTGTGGAATGTGGGATACAGTGTTGGGGAATGTGTGATACAGTGTTTGGGAATGTGGGATACAGTGTTGGGGAATGTGGGATGAATGTCGGATACAGTGTTGGGAATGTGGGATACAGTGTTGGGACTGTGGGATACAGGGTTGGGGAATGTGGGATACAGTGTTGGGGAGTGTGGGATACAGTGTTGGGAATGTGGGATACAGTGTTAGGAATGTGGGATACAGTGTTGAGAATTCGGGATACAGTGTTGGGGAATGTGGGATACAGTGTTGGGGAATGTGAGATACAGTGTTGGGGAATGTGGGATACAGTGTTGGGTATGTGGGATACAGTGTTGTGGAATTTGGGATACAGTGTTTCGGAGTGTTGGATACAGTGTTGGGATTGTGGGATACAGTGTTGCGGAGTGTCGGATACAGTGTTGGGAATGTGGGATACAGTGTTGTGGAATTTGGGATACAGTGTTGCGGAGTGTCGGATACAGTGTTGGGGATGTGGGATACAGTGTTTGGACTGTGGGATATAGTGTTGGGGAATGTGGGATACAGTGTTGGGAATGTGGGATACAGTGTTGGGGGATGTGGGATACAGTGTTGTGGAATGTGGGATACAGTGTTGGGGAATGTGGGATACAGTGTTGGGAATGTGGGATACAGTGTTGGGGATGTTGGATACAGTGTTGGGAATGTGGGATACAGTGTTGGGGATGTGGGATACAGTGTTGGGGATGTAGGATACAGTGTTAGGGAATGTTGGATACAGTGTTGGGGAATGTGGGATACAGTGTTGGGGAATGTGGGATACAGTGTTGGGGAATGTGGGATACAGTGTTGGGGAATGTGGGATACAGTGTTGGGGAATGTGGGATACAGTGTTGGGATTGTGGGATACAGTGTTGGGGATGTGGGATACAGTGTTGGGAATGTGGGATACAGTGTTGGGAATGTGGGATACAGTGTTGGGGAATGTGGAATACAGTGTTGGGAATGTGGAATACAGTGTTGGGGAATGTGGAATATATTGTTGGGAATGTGGAATACAGTGTTGTGGAATGTGGGATACAGTGTTGGGGAATGTGTGATACAGTGTTTGGGAATGTGGGATACAGTGTTGGGGAATGTGGGATGAATGTCGGATACAGTGTTGGGAATGTGGGATACAGTGTTGGGACTGTGGGATACAGGGTTGGGGAATGTGGGATACAGTGTTGGGGAGTGTGGGATACAGTGTTGGGAATGTGGGATACAGTGTTGGGAATGTGGGAAACAGTGTTGAGAATTCGGGATACAGTGTTGGGGAATGTGGGATACAGTGTTGGGGAATGTGAGATACAGTGTTGGGGAATGTGGGATACAGTGTTGGGTATGTGGGATACAGTGTTGTGGAATTTGGGATACAGTGTTGCGGAGTGTCGGATACAGTGTTGGGAATGTGGGATACAGTGTTGTGGAATTTGGGATACAGTGTTGCGGAGTGTCGGATACAGTGTTGGGAATGTGGGATACAGTGTTTGGACTGTGGGATATAGTGTTGGGGAATGTGGGATACAGTGTTGGGAATGTGGGATACAGTGTTGGGGGATGTGGGATACAGTGTTGGGAATGTGGGATACAGTGTTAGGGAATGTGGGATACAGTGTTGGGAATGTGGGATACAGTGTTGGGGATGTTGGATACAGTGTTGGGAATGTGGGATACAGTGTTGGGGATGTGGGATACAGTGTTGGGGATGTAGGATACAGTGTTAGGGAATGTTCGATACAGTGTTGGGGAATGTGGGATACAGTGTTGGGGAATGTGGGATACAGTGTTAGGAATGTGGGATACAGTGTTGGGGAATGTGGGATACAGTGTTGGGATTGTGGGATACAGTGTTGGGGATGTGGGATACAGTGTTGGGAATGTGGGATACAGTGTTGGGGATGTCGGATACAGTGTTGGAGAATGTGGGATACAGTGTTGGGGATGTGGGATACAGTGTTGGGGATGTGGGATACAGTGTTGGGAATGTGGGATACAGTGTTGGGGATGTGGGATACAGTGTTGGGAATGTGGAATACAGTGTTAGGGAATGTTGGATACAGTGTTGGGGAATGTGGGATACAGTGTTGGGGAATGTGGGATACAGTGTTAGGAATGTGGAATACAGTGTTATGAATGTGGGATACAGTGTTGGGAATGTGGGATAGTGTTGGGAATGTGGGATACAGTGTTGGGACTGTGGGATACAGTGTTGGGGAAATGTGGGATACAGTGTTGGGAATGTCGGATACAGTGTTGGGAATGTGGGATACAGTGTTGGGGAATGTGGGATACAGTGTTGGGGAATGTGGGATACAGTGTTGGGAATGATGGATACAGGATTATATACCACTGGAAATATATATAAAAAACTGAAGGGGTCTAGTTACCCTATATACAGTACACCTCAGTGTTAAATCTGGATGGTTAAACAGGGAACAGCACCATCTCGATACGCAGCTCATCACTGTATGAAAGGCAAAAATAACTGTCATTACTATTAACTCAACTGGACCTGTTTTCAATGATATAATACAAGTCATCTTTCCTCAGGAACGAGACTGTAGTTATCATGAATATTATGACATGAATTTGGAACTTTTACCCATATTTGTCTGGATCTGGGGCCGAATATATCATACTCACTCACTCACTGGTGTAGGTGTTAAGTCAACTCTATCAATGTGTCTCCATGTCTTGTGTGCCCTGACAGACATTGCCAGTATCGTCCCCTACCACAACTACAGCTACCTCGCCGCCATCAACCCTGTTGTCGAGACAGGGGACCCGGGAGAGGATGTTGTGGACGAGGGGTCTGCTCGCCGGAGGAAGATCACTGTCAGTCCTCGGATAGACAGGTAGCTCATCATTGTCTTGTCACGTCTTGTCTCACCAGACCAAAATACTTGGGTTATTTTATGCTTTGACTTTTTGACTAATTATGTGATATTGTTTTGAAGAGACATTGCTTGTATACCCTTACCAGCTACATCAACATGTTTATTATTGTTTATTTAGAATTTTCATGATAAGGATGGGTTTTTTTATATTCTTTTTAAAAAGGTGTACATGAAAAATGACTTGTTAAGATCAAAATGTTATTAAATTTCATTAAATTTCATTAAATTTCATAACATTTATATTTAAGACAAATGACAAATATCAGTATGTAGTATTTTATTCACTCCACATATGATGTTTATTTCATCATGGGTCAGCAGCCATACGTCACATGACACCTGCCAGGTGTATCTGTCACTCAGTGTTGTGGGGTGAGTGAGGGAGTAAGTGCAGTCATGGCAGCCGGCTGATATTCAAGTCAGGGTATGAGGCCCAGCACAGGTCATACACTCTAACCACCTCTGTCGGCCGGTTGCTGCTGTGTTGTAGAATAGACATTGTAGCACCAGGACATAGATGTGTGTTTCTCCTCAGGTGCTGCTTGTGTGACGTCAGCTGGAAGCTGCTGTGTTGTAGAAGTAGACATCGTAGCACCAGTACATAGATGTGTGTTTCTCCTCAGGTGCTGCGTGTGTGACGTCGGCCGGATGCTGCTGTGTTGTAGAAGTAGACATTGTAGCACCAGTACATATATGTGTATTTCTCCTCAGGTGCTGCGTGTGTGACGTCGGCCGGATGCTGCTGTGTTGTAGAAGTAGACATTGTGGCACCAGTACATAGATGTGTGTTTCTCCTCAGGTGCTGCGTGTGTGACGTCGGCCCGATGCTGCTGTGTTGTAGAATAGACATCGTAGCACCAGTACATAAATGTGTGTTTCTCCTCAGGTGCTGCGTGTGTGACGTCAGCTGGAAGCTGCTGTGTTGTAGAAGTAGACATCGTAGCACCAGTACATAGATGTGTGTTTCTCCTCAGGTGCTGCGTGTGTGACGTCGGCCGGATGCTGCTGTGTTGTAGAAGTAGACATTGTAGCACCAGTACATATATGTGTATTTCTCCTCAGGTGCTGCGTGTGTGACGTCGGCCGGATGCTGCTGTGTTGTAGAAGTAGACATTGTGGCACCAGTACATAGATGTGTGTTTCTCCTCAGGTGCTGCGTGTGTGACGTCGGCCGGATGCTGCTGTGTTGTAGAAGTAGACATTGTAGCACCAGTACATAGATGTGTGTTTCTCCTCAGGTGCTGTGTGTGTGACGTAGGCCGGATGCTGCTGTGTTGTAGAATAGACATTGTGGCACCAGTACATAGATGTGTGTTTCTCCTCAGGTGCTGTGTGTGTGACATCGGCCGGACGTGCTGTGTTGTAGAAGTAGACATTGTAGCACCAGTACATAGATGTGTGTTTCTCCTCAGGTGCTGCGTGTGTGACGTCGGCCCGATGCTGCTGTGTTGTAGAAGTAGACATTGTAGCACCAGTACATAGATGTGTGTTTCTCCTCAGGTGCTGCGTGTGTGACGTCGGCCCGATGCTGCTGTGTTGTAGAAGTAGACATTGTGGCACCAGTACATAGATGTGTGTTTCTCCTCAGGTGCTGTGTGTGTGATGTCGGCCGGATGCTGCTGTGTTGTAGAAGTAGACATTGTAGCACCAGTACATATATGTGTATTTCTCCTCAGGTGCTGCGTGTGTGACGTCGGCCCGATGCTGCTGTGTTGTAGAAGTAGACATTGTGGCACCAGTACATAGATGTGTGTTTCTCCTCAGGTGCTGTGTGTGTGATGTCGGCCGGATGCTGCTGTGTCATCACTGCGGTATGTGTCGCAGTTGCATCTCCCATCTTGCGGTAAGTAAACTTCAGAATCCAGAAGGCCAGGGTCATGACTTTCTAAATTAATATTCAGTTAATGTCTTTTTTCTGTGCCAGAGATTCTAAATGCGACAAGCTACTTTCATTATTCCATTTTTCATTTTCTTTATTCCAACTTCTGCTACACAACTTGGTATACCAGACATTGACCAATATCATAAACCCCTTCTGCTTCTTTTTCTTCTTTCTGTCTTTCTTACTGTCCAAAGAAACATTAAGCTCAAATTGAGCACAAACTATTTTCTCATTTCAGGAAATAGAGAATTATGTGAAGCCAAGTTTCCTGGGCCCCCACCATATTGCAATGCGGGATTTATCGCGAATAAAGAAAGAGAATATCAGAAAAGATGGCCACTTTATTCTGCAAAATCACATCAAAACAGGCCTCTCTGGGTGTATGTTGTGGCCGAGCAAAAGCATTGAATATCACCTACTTCACCCTCTAACGCCAACATACTTCAATACAGTTACATTTGTGCCAATCATTGGAAGAGATCTGAGCCTGAGGCTGACCATGTAAGTGATGTTATTAAGAAGAGGCAAGCTTTCTATTCCATTTGTCATGTTTGCTTCCAGATTAGAACAGATTTTTTGTCATAATTATTTAAAATATTGAAAAATGATGTTAACTAATAGTGTAACTATTTCTTATCCTGTTGAGACGTTCTGGAATTACCGACTTGTTCTACTTGTTTCTGAATACCATAACACAGTGCCAAAACACTCCCCACCAGAATCACTCACCGCGCACACTCCCATCATGCCATGCACCTCCTCTTCCTCCTCGTCACTCCGACGGGGCAGGGTTATGGGTTGCTCCCCAGAATCCTTTTTTCTTTTTTTTCTTTTTTGGGTATCTACCTTTCCTTTCAGGTATGATTATTTTATTTAATATCCACCCAGGGATGATGGCTGCCACAGAGTGGAGCGGAAACCTAAATGCTTTCTTACCACATACGTTCCAACTGGAAACTCTCCTAACATTGATTTATTTACCACCCGGATCAACAACAACCAACTGCCAGTCTTTTCTCACCTTTTTCGGACCAGCTTGTGAGAACACCCTTACCAGCAGTGATTTTATTTAGGAATCAGTGCAGCTGTTGTCCAGCACTTTGCAAATTCCCTTGGTCTCTATATAATAAGGCAGTGGGACCTGTCTGTGTCTCATGCAAAGAAATAGGTTATCATCCTTTTCGGGCGCTGCTCAGTTCGTCACTGATTCCCTCTTCTCTCTTCATCAACTTCAGATGTTAAGGGGTTACTAAATCTCACAAGATATATCCAGACTTCGCCTTCAATGTGTCTCAAGTCAAGTTTGAGAGACTTCAACATGGCAAGGTGCTTTAGGCTCAAGAACTTTATTGCTACGAATCAGTTATCATGCAATATACGAGGGAGGGGCATTGCCCACCAAGCTGTGGATGCCCGTGCACCCAGGTAGGTGGCCAAAACAGTGACTACCGCCGCGGGCCCAACTGACAAGACAACTCCCGCCCCCGGGCCAATATACATGACAATTGGTTGCCCAACATATTTACGATTCCACGGCTGAAAAGTCGGGACAGACCAGGTTCCCCCTGAAAAGCAGGTAGCCTTAAGCACGAGTACAACTCTGGAAGCAAATTAATTTGTTACTATCAGTGTAGCCCACAAGAACCCCGCACACCTCGACATAGTTTATTGTTGAGACAGGTATTCACATATACACAGCTATTTATAAGGCATGTTTATTTATATATAACAAAATCATTTAAAAAGTAGTCATTTACGTACATACAAGCACCCTGAAAACCTATTATTTACATAGATAATGCATTGTTGAACCATTTTTAACATATGTACAGGTTTATTTACATATATACAATCTGGTCTGCTGGTACCTGAAATAGATGCTCGCTGAAAACAAGAAGTGATTAGAATTCAAGGTGAAAAGGACAAATACCAGCTGAGAAGGAGTGGCAAGCTGGGCGGGGTGGGTGGGAAAGGGATTAGTTACAGTGAAACACATGTACTTGAAGAGAGACGGTGGACCATAGAGATGTAACAAAGGAGGGATGATGCTTGCACGGGGCACGGTGCACGGGGCACGGGGCACGGTGCACGGGGCACGGTGCACGGGGCACGGTGCACGGTGCAGGGTGCTGACCCGGGGGTCATTCAGTTACAAGGGGTGATTAAGTTACGGACGTAATTAGCCAATGGTTTGGATACGTGCGATAAAGTCATTTAGTAGTTAATATTAAATGCAACAACTTGACCAGAAGGACAGACTTTTTACCATTGCACTGTTATCTTCTATTCTCAGGGAACAGGATTTAGAAGGTTTATCACTGTGACCTGATAGAGCGTTACAATGTTTTGTTGAGGTCGAGCCTCCCTTTCAGTGAAAGAGAAAGCATTTCTTTTTACAAAATGGTTGACTATTATAAAGGTCTTCAAGAAGACTTGGGCATCCTGGTTAAGAATTCCTATTCTAGAGGCATATGGACTTTCTGATCTACTGCCACTGGAAGTCACAACTCTCTTGGTATTAGGGCGTTGACTTTGACATTGGCTCTGCAATTTAGGACCTCTTGTGTTGGTTCAACAACTAACCAATCCTCGAAGGAGATGATAGGTACGTTGTTCCCATCTCTTGCTGCACTGGGTTAAAACCTTTTATGGCTTGCCAGGGCGAGTTGATGGGGGTATATTTACAGGGTTAGGGCTGTGTTGTCAAGGACTGTATTCTCATTGCAGTGCCTACCATTGTCTCACCTCTCTACACCCTAGTACACGTGGTTTAGATGGAGACTAGAGAAGAAAGAGCACTGCACAGTTGGACCAGGGTTTAGATGGAGAATGAATTACAGTTAGACCTTGGATGGAGATGGTAGTCTATTACATTCGGCAGTCACCATCTGGGCTTCAGCTTGCAGCTTTTGCCAGTTCCCACTCCAACTGTGTGATAATTGCAGACAGTCTCAATAGGATAAAAAATAATTTGCAGTCATCTAATATTAATGATATTAGGTACTTATCCTGCTAAGACCACTCTCTAGGACCTACCCATCCGTCCTGCTGGAATGCACGGCATGAGGTCGAGCGTGGGCTGTGGTGGCTTTCTGTCAGGAGTGGTTTGGCTCTGTGTTATGGGATTCGGGAACAAGTAGGAAATTGCAGACAGTCTTTAACTCTTAATAGCAGGATAAGTATCTAATATCATTGATATTAGATTACTGTAAAATTGTGTGTGATATGAAAAGGCTATGACCAAAATGTGAATGACTTGAAATAAGGGTTATAACCATGTATTGTAAGACCTCCTTTGGGAAGGGCTACAAATCCATTGCAGCATGTGACCTCCTCCAGGAAGGGCTATTTAAATAAGATATTGCATGTGACCTCCTCCAGGAAGGGCTATAAATAAAATATTACATCTGACCTCCTCCAGGAAGGGCTATGAATCAAATAATGCATGTGACCTCCAGAAAGGGCTATTATTATTTACAGCTAAAATGGATAGAATTATCATTGCCTGTATGTTATCAGAAATGAGCAGGCCACTGTCCACTTGATAATGCCCTCATATTGCTTGACGACAGGCCATTATCACGCCCGTTGTTAGGTGATATCATGGGGATAGGGAAAGGTGACGTCACGTTCAATAGAGACATCATCTGGTTTGTTCTATGACTAAAACATATTTGTAAAAGTGGATCAGTGAAATTCATGTTGATTGCAGTAACTGTTTCAAAACCGTCATTGTTGTTTATTTTCATTTGATAACAAATTCCATCCATTTTAGCAATAATAATCGTAACGCTCTTTTTCAGGGCATTATCATTTGCAGAAGCCCTCAGTCTTTTCAACTGTCCTCCTTCGTCAGGCAGTTAATGGAAGACCTCGGGTTTCTGCAAATGATAATGCCCTGATAAATAGCGTTACTCTTATAGTATAGTATGTGACCTCCCAAAGTAAGGACTATAAATAAAATATTGCATGTGACCTCCACCAGCAAGGACTATAAACTTAATATTGCATGTGACATCATCCAGGAAGGGCTTTAAATCCAATATTGCATGTGACCTCCTCCAGGAAGGGCTTTAAATCCAATATTGCATGTGACCTCCTCCAGGAAGGGCTATAAATCCAATATTACATGTGACCTCCTCCAGGAAGGGCTGCAAATCCAATATTACATGAGACCTCCTCCAGGAAGGAATATAAATTTAATATTGCATGTGACATCATCCAGGAAGGGCTTTAAATCCAATATTGCATGTGACCTCCTCCAGGAAGGGCTATAAATCCAATATTACATGTGACCTCCTCCAGGAAGGGCTGCAAATCCAATATTACATGAGACCTCCTCCAGGAAGGAATATAAATTTAATATTGCATGTGACATCATCCAGGAAGGGCTTTAAATCCAATATTGCATGTGACCTCCTCCAGGAAGGGCTATAAATCCAATATTACATGTTACCTCCTCCAGGAAGGGCTGCAAATCCAATATTACATGAGACCTCCTCCAGGAAGGAATATAAATTTAATATTGCATGTGACCTCCTCCAGGAAGGGATATAAATCCAATATTACATGTGACCTCCTCCAGGAAGGGCTGTAAATCCAATATTACATTTGACCTCCTCCAGGAAGGGCTATAAATCCAATATTATATGTGACCTCCTCCAGGAAGGTCTATAAATCCAATATTACATGTGACCTCCACCAGGAAGGGCCTTGATGATCCTGTGGTGTACGACTTCATGTTGGGCACCATCACTGACACAGATCAGGAAGATGATGAGAGCTGGAAGTGTAGAGATGGCTGCCCGGTGCAACTGGAGATGATGGATGCTAAGGTGGGAACTGTTCCATGTTGTGTAATCATTACATCAATATGTAGTAATAACATGATAGCATACAGGAGGGATGGTAGCAAGCACCTGCTGGACATTTCATGAGAGGAACATCGCCAGAAGGCTTAGTGATGTGGTAATTTGGATCAAGTTGCTTTATTGTATTCACTGTGAAGAATTACTTTGCCTGTGAAAAGCTCTTCTTATTCAGTGTGGGGCACAGGTGATCCGGTCATCTAAGGCGCTGTAATTCACTGTGCAGAATTGCATCCCTTGGGCACACCAGAAACCTATGATTGTAGGTTCAAATCCCGGTTCGCTCCAATTAGGTTTGTCAGCGCTATACCTGTGTTCATAGGTTTCACCAAAGGGGTAACCGTCTTTGACCTGCATTATTTCCGATTTACTCTCGCAGTAAGCTGACACGCCATGATATAACTGGAATGCTATTCATTGCGACATTAACCCCATCTCACTCACTCATCCTTGTTTATTGTAACAGTGTAATTTAGATGGATACTGACTGTCTTCTTGGTATGGTGTTGTAGGAGGCAGACATGGTCGATATCGTCATCAGTTTGTGTGGGCAAGAGATCTGGCGGAGAGCATACAGATGTTCAGAAGCCTTCGTCATACTGAGTTCGAAAGACTCAGGAAGCGTCATCATGCATGCACCTTGTATAAAGGTTTGTTGCTACACTGATAGCACAATGATAGCCTAAATTGTGTCATTAACGTCAAATTCTGGGACTATAGACTGTACGATGATAGTGTGTGGGGTAATGCATGCATGTAATATGATGTAGTGTAGGGTAATATACAGATGTAGTCTGGGGTAACATGTAATAAGATAATGTTTTGGGTAATATGTAATATGATGCATTATGATCTGCTTGTAAACTATCCCACCTGATTAAACCATGTGTTTCTGGGGCAGTGGCGCCAAGGGCCTCGGTATGAGACTGGTATGCAGGTCGCCATCATGACCCAAGACAAGCATGGCATGGAGGGGGTCAGGGTCGCAGAGGTCGGAGTTCCAGACACCAACTCAGCTGCAGGATTTCTCAGGCTTACTGCTGGTGAGTCAACACTCTCTGGGTCTTCTCAGGCTAAATGCTGGTGAGTCAACATCCTCTAGGTCTTCTCAGGCTAAATGCTGGTGAGTCAACACCTTCTAGGTCTTCTCAGGCTAAATGCTAGTGAGTCAACATCCTCTAGGTCTTCTCAGGCTAAATGCTGGTGAGTCAACATCCTCTAGGTCTTCTCAAGCTAAATGGTAGTGAGTCAACATCCTCTAGGTCTTCTCAGGCTAAATGCTGGTGAGTCAACATCCTCTAGGTCTTCTCAGGCTAAATGCTGGTGAGTCAACGTCATCTAGGTCTTGTCATGCTTATTGCTGTTAGTCAACATCCTCTAGGTCTTGTCAGGCTTAATGCTGGTGAGTCAACACTCTCTAGGACTTCTCAGGCTAAATGCTGGTGAGTCAACATCCTCTAGGTCTTCTCAGGCTAAATGCTGGTGAGTCAACGTCATCTAGGTCTTGTCATGCTTATTGCTGTGAGTCAACACCCTCTAGGTCTTCTCAAGCTTAATGCTGGTGAGTCAACACCCCCCTCTAGGTCTTCTCAAGCTAAATGCTGGTGAGTCAACACCTTCTAGGTCTTGTCATGCTTATTGCTGTGAGTTAACACCCTCTAGGTCTTTTCAGGCTAAATGCTGGTGAGTCAACACCTTCTAGGTCTTGTCATGCTTATTGCTGTGAGTTAACACCCTCTAGGTCTTCTCAGGCTAAATGCTGGTGAGTCAACACCTTCTAGGTCTTCTCACGCTAAATACTGGTGAGTCAACATCCTCTAGGACTTCTCAAGCTAAATGCTGTGGGTCAACATCCTCTAGGACTTCTCAGGCTAAATGCTGGTGAGTCAACATCCTCTAGGTCTTGTCAGGCTTAATGCTGTGAGTCAACACGGTCTTCTCAAGCTAAATGCTGTGAGTCAACACCTTCTAGGTCTTCTCAAGCTAAATGCTGGTGAGTCAACATCCTCTAGGTCTTCTCAGGCTAAATGCTGGCGAGTCAACATCCTCTAGGTCTTGACAGGCTTAATGCTGGTGAGTTAACACCCTCTAGGTCTTGTCAGGCTTAATGCTGGTGAGTCAACATCCTCGAGGACTTCTCAAGCTAAATGCTGGTGAGTCAACATCCTCTAGGTCTTCTCAGGCTAAATGGTAGTGAGTCAACATCCTCTAGGTCTTCTCAGGCTAAATGGTAGTGAGTCAACATCCTCTAGGTCTTCTCAGGCTAAATGCTGGTGAGTCAACACCTTCTAGGTCTTGTCATGCTTATTGCTGTGAGTCAACATCCTCTAGGTTTTGTCAGGCTTAATGCTGGTGAGTCAACACTCTCTAGGACTTCTCAGGCTAAATGCTGGTGAGTCAACATCCTCTAGGTCTTCTCAGGCTAAATACTGGTGAGTCAACGTCATCTAGGTCTTGTCATGCTTATTGCTGTGAGTCAACACCCTCTAGGTCTTCTCAGGCTTAATGCTGGTGAGTCAACACCCCCTCTAGGTCTTCTCAAGCTAAATGGTAGTGAGTCAACATCCTCTAGGTCTTCTCAGGCTAAATGCTGGTGAGTCAACATCCTCTAGGTCTTCTCAGGCTAAATGCTGGTGAGTCAACATCATCTAGGTCTTGTCATGCTTATTGCTGTGAGTCAACATCCTCTAGGTCTTGTCAGGCTTAATGCTGGTGAGTCAACACTCTCTAGGACTTCTCAGGCTAAATGCTGGTGAGTCAACGTCATCTAGGTCTTGTCATGCTTATTGCTGTGAGTCAACACCCTCTAGGTCTTCTCAGGCTTAATACTGGTGAGTCAACACCCCCTCTAGGTCTTCTCAGGCTAAATGCTGGTGAGTCAACACCTTCTAGGTCTTGTCATGCTTATTGCTGTGAGTTAACACCCTCTAGGTCTTCTCAGGCTAAATGCTGGTGAGTCAACACCTTCTAGGTCTTCTCACGCTAAATACTGGTGAGTCAACATCCTCTAGGTCTTCTCAGGCTAAATGCTGGTGAGTCAACACCTTCTAGGTCTTGTCATGCTTATTGCTGTGAGTTAACACCCTCTAGGTCTTCTCAGGCTAAATGCTGGTGAGTCAACACCTTCTAGGTCTTCTCAGGCTAAATGCTGGTGAGTCAACACCTTCTAGGTCTTGTCATGCTTATTGCTGTGAGTCAACATCCTCTAGGTTTTGTCAGGCTTAATGCTGGTGAGTCAACACTCTCTAGGACTTCTCAGGCTAAATGCTGGTGAGTCAACATCCTCTAGGTCTTCTCAGGCTAAATACTGGTGAGTCAACGTCATCTAGGTCTTGTCATGCTTATTGCTGTGAGTCAACACCCTCTAGGTCTTCTCAGGCTAAATGCTTGTGAGTCAACACCTTCTAGGTCTTGTCATGCTTATTGCTGTGAGTTAACACCCTCTAGGTCTTCTCAGGCTAAATGCTGGTGAGTCAACACCTTCTAGGTCTTCTCACACTAAATACTGGTGAGTCAACATCCTCTAGGACTTCTCAAGCTAAATGCTGGTGAGTCAACATCCTCTAGGACTTCTCAGGCTAAATGCTGGTGAGTCAACATCCTCTAGGACTTCTCAGGCTAAATGCTAGTGAGTCAACATCCTCTAGGTCTTGTCAGGCTTAATGCTGTGAGTCAACACTCTCTCGGTCTTCTCAAGCTAAATGCTGGCGAGTCAACATCCTCTAGGTCTTGACAGGCTTAATGCTGGTGAGTCAACATCCTCTAGGTCTTCTCAGGCTAAATGCTGGCGAGTCAACATCCTCTAGGTCTTGACAGGCTTAATGCTGGTGAGTCAACACCCTCTAGGTCTTGTCAGGCTTAATGCTGGTGAGTCAACATCCTCTAGGTCTTCTCAGGCTAAATGCTGGTGAGTCAACATCCTCTAGGTCTTGACAGGCTTAATGCTGGTGAGTCAACATCCTCTAGGTCTTGTCAGGCTTAATGCTGGTGAGTCAACACCCTCCAGGTCTGCTCGATGAAAAGGATGGGGGTAGTTATTATCTAGCTAATAGTGAAATGTGATATTTAATAAGTTTGAAGATTGATCGTAGTATTCTCCTTGTTGGTTGTACTTAAATTGTAAAGGCCACACCAAACCATCTTTGTGAGTGTTCCATGGTAGACATGAAAATAGAATTGTTTGTGTATTTTTCAGTACACACGCCTGTGACAGACTTCCTGGTGAAGGTCGTAACAGGGAACAAGGTCGACTGCGGTACAACGGCCAACGTCTTCATCCAGCTGATCGGCGACAATGCAGTGACAGGTTTGTGACAGGATGTTGACTAATACCACACCAGTAATAGTTTAGCCATTAACTGCACAAAGTAAGTAAGTATATTCTGACCAGAGATGGAATAATGTTTTATGCCATGGTCAGTAATATGCCAGTAATTCCATGGAAGAAATTGTCAGGGTATGATGACACACAATCATCTATATGACTATCACTATCAATTCGTTCAAGAAGCCGCCTCTGACTGCAGCAATGTCAAGAGGCAATCTCTGACGGCAGCAGTGTCAAGAAGCCGCCTCTGACTGCAGCAACGTCAAGAGGCAATCTCTGACTTCAGCAGTGTCAAGAAGCAGTCTCTGACTGCAGCAGTGTCAAGAAGCCGCCTCTGACATCAGCAATGTCAAGAAGTAATCTCTGACTGCAGCAGTGTCAAGACGCATTCTCTGACGGCAGCAGTGTCAAGAGGCCACCTCTGACTGCAGCAATGTCAAGAGGCAATATCTGACTGCAGCAGTGTCAAGAAGCAGTCTCTGACTGCAGCAGTGTCAAGAAGCCGCCTCTGACTGCAGCAATGTCAAAAAGCCGTCATCAACAGATGTAGTTATTCTCATAATGAGTGTTGTTGTATGGTAAGTACTTCAGGGTAACTCCAGGGTAACATCCATCTTTTCCTTCAGATAAAATACCCCTGAAGAACACATCAGACACATTATTCCAGAGGAACTCCGAAGATGAGTTCAGGATCTCGACACCAGACATCGGGACCTTCACCAGCATCAGGTGGGCATACAAGTGTTGTCTTTGTAGATTGGAGGGCACAGGAAGCTCAGTCGTCTATGGCACTGTTCAAAGCAGATTTAAACTGAACTCCCTCACTCACTCTTTATGGCTCATCACTGATCTGCTTCTGTCACAGTTTTATCTCTGTAATGTTATTCAAAATCTTATATCTCTAAAGTTCTAAAAAGGAATAATGTTCCTCAAGTATAGGAGTTGAGCTAGTGTAGCATGAAATTACTTTGGGAGTTTCTGTGAGACTGGCTTTATTTTTGTAAAAGGCAGTTTGACCTCCTCCGTGGTCTAGTGGATAGAGCATCCGCCCAGAGAGTGGAAGGATGGGGCTTTCAATTCCCAGTTGCGTTAAAATGTTGAAAGATGGTACTTGTAGTTACCCTGCCTGTCACTTGGCATTAAGGAGATAAAGTAAGGACTGTTTGGCTTGAGGTCAGTATACTGTATCTGTGTAGGGTTTTGATGTCAAACTGTTTCATGATGTCTCAGTGGGCTAGCACTATAGAACAGGTATTAGTCCGGACGAGTACAAGAAGCCACACACACACACACACACACACACACACACACACATGCATGCACATTGCTGTATGAGTGCAATAATCTTGAACGTGACATTAAACCCCACTTGACTTCCCCTTAACTGCATCTGTTGTGACCCCCCTGTCTTCCCCTAGGCTCGGCCATGATGGCATGGGGAAGGAGGACAGCTGGTTCGTGAAGAATGTCGTCATCATCACCCCCATCCTGGAGTTTGCCACCAACTTCAACTGCAACTGCTGGTTCTCAGCCCACATGCAGGACAAGCAGGTGGTCCGGGTTTTCTATCCTCAAAGCAGCCAGATGAAGGGTAGGTTGTCCCCTCTGTCAGATGAAGGGTAGGTTGTCCCCCTGTCAGATGAAGGGTAGGTTGTCCCCCCTGTCAGATGAAGGGTAGGTTGTCCCCCCTGTCAGATGAAGGGTAGGTTGTCCCCCCAGTCAGATGAAGGGTAGGTTGTCCCCCCTGTCAGATGAAGGGTAGGTTGTACCCCTGTCAGATGAAGGGTAGGTTGTCCCCCCCGTCAGATGAAGGGTAGGTTGTCCCCCCTGTCATATGAAGGGTAGGTTGTGCCCCTGTCATATGAAGGGTAGGTTGTGCCCCTGTCATATGAAGGGTAGGTTGTGCCCCTGTCAGATGAAGGGTAGGTTGTCCCCCTGTCAGATGAAGGGTTGGTTGTCCCCCCAGTCAGATGAAGGGTAGGTTGTCCCCCCTGTCAGATGAAGGGTAGGTTGTCCCCCTGTCAGATGAAGGGTAGGTTGTGCCCCTGTCAGATGAAGGGTTGGTTGTCCCCCTGTCATATGAAGGGTAGGTTGTGCCCCTGTCAGATGAAGGGTTGGTTGTCCCCCCAGTCAGATGAAGGGTAGGTTATCCCCCCTGTCAGATGAAGGGTAGGTTATCCCCCCTGTCAGATGAAGGGTGGGTTATACCCCTGTCAGATGAAGGGTAGGTTGTCCCCCCTGTCAGATGAAGGGTGGGTTGTCCCTGTCAGATGAAGGGCAGGTTGTCCCCCTGTCATATGAAGGGTGGGTTATACCCCTGTCAGATGAAGGGTAGGTTGTCCCCCCTGTCAGATGAAGGGTAGGTTGTCCCCCCTGTCAGATGAAGGGTGGGTTATACCCCTGTCAGATGAAGGGTTGGTTGTCCCCCTGTCAGATGAAGGGTTGGTTGTCCCCCTGAAAGATGAAGGGTGGGTTGTACCCCTGTCAGTAGAAGGGTTGGTTGTCCCAGTCAGATAAAGAGTAGTTTGTCCCCCCAGTCAGATGAAGGGTTGGTTGTCCCAGTCAGATGAAGGGTAGGTTGTCCCCCCTGTCAGATGAAGGGTAGGTTGTCCCCCCTGTCAGATGAAGGGTAGGTTGTCCCCCCCCGTCAGATGAAGGGTTGGTTGTCCCAGTCAGATGAAGGGTAGGTTGTCCCCCCTGTCAGATGAAGGGTAGGTTGTCCCCCCTGTCAGATGAAGGGTAGGTTGTCCCCCCTGTCAGATGAAGGGTTGGTTGTCCCCCCTGTCAGATGAAGGGTAGGTTGTCCCCCCTGTCAGATGAAGGGTAGGTTGTCCCCCCTGTCAGATGAAGGGTAGGTTGTCCCCCCTGTCAGATGAAGGGTTGGTTGTCCCCCTGTCAGATGAAGGGTTGGTTGTCCCCCCTGAAAGATGAAGGGTGGGTTGTACCCCTGTCAGATGAAGTGTAGGTTGTGCCCCCTGTCAGATGAAGTGTAGGAATGTCCCCCCTGTCAGATGAAGGGTAGGTTGTCCCCCCTGTCAGATGAAGGGATGGTTGTCCCCCCTGAAAGATGAAGGGTGGGTTGTACCCCTGTCAGATGAAGTGTAGGTTGTGCCCCCTGTCAGATGAAGGGTAGGTTGTCCCCCCTGTCAGATGAAGGGTTGGTTGTCCCCCCTGTCAGATGAAGGGTAGGTTGTCCCCCCTGTCAGATGAAGGGTTGGTTGTCCCCGTCAGATGAAGGGTAGGTTGTCCCCCCTGTCAGATGAAGGGTAGGTTGTCCCGCCTGTCATATGAAGGGTAGGTTGTCCCCCCTGTCAAATGAAGGGTAGGTTGTCCCCCTGTCAGATGAAGGATGGGTTGTCCCCCCTGTCAGATGAAGGGTAGGCTGTGCCCCCTGTCAGATGAAGGGTAGGTTGTCCCCCCTGTCATATGAAGGGTAGGCTGTGCCCCCTGTCAAATGAAGGGTAGGTTGTCCCCCTGTCATATGAAGGGTAGGCTGTGCCCCCTGTCAGTAGAAGGGTTGGTTGTGCCCCCTGTCAGTAGAAGGGTTGGTTGTCCCAGTCAGATAAAGAGTAGTTTGTCCCCCCTGTCAGATGAAGGGTGGGTTGTCCCCCCTGTCAGATGAAGGGTAGGTTGTCCCCCCTGTCAGATGAAGGGTGGGTTGTCCCCCCTGTCAGATGAAGGGTAGGTTGTCCCCCCTGTCAGATGAAGGGTAGGTTGTCCCCCCTGTCAGATGAAGGGTAGGTTGTCCCCCCTGTCAGATGTAGGGTTGGTTGTCCCCCTGTCAGATGAAGGGTTGGTTGTCCCCCCTGAAAGATGAAGGATGGGTTGTACCCCTGTCAGATGAAGGGTTGGTTGTCCCCCCTGTCAGATGAAGTGTAGGTTGTGCCCCCTGTCAGATGAAGGGTAGGCTGTGCCCCCTGTCAAATGAAGGGTAGGTTGTCCCCCTGTCAGATGAAGGGTGGGTTGTGCCCCCTGTCAGTAGAAGGGTTGGTTGTCCCAGTCAGATGAAGGGTAGGTTGTCCCCCCTGTCAGATGAAGGGTAGGTTGTCCCCCCTGTCAGATGAAGGGTAGGTTGTCCCCCCTGTCAGATGTAGGGTTGGTTGTCCCCCTGTCAGATGAAGGGTTGGTTGTCCCCCCTGAAAGATGAAGGATGGGTTGTACCCCTGTCAGATGAAGGGTTGGTTGTCCCCCCTGTCAGATGAAGTGTAGGTTGTGCCCCCTGTCAGATGAAGTGTAGGAATGTCCCCCCTGTCAGATGAAGGGTAGGTTATCCCCCCTGTCAGATGAAGGGTGGGTTGTCCCCCCTGTCAGATGAAGGGTAGGTTGTCCCCCTGTCAGATGAAGGGTAGGTTGTCCCCCTGTCAGATGAAGGGTGGGTTGTCCCCCCTGTCAGATGAAGGGTGGGTTGTGCCCCCTGAAAGATGAAGGGTAGGTTGTGCCGCATCAGATGAAGGGTAGGTTGTCCCCCCTGTCAGATGAAGGGTAGATTGTCCCTCCTGTCAGATGAAGGGTAGGTTGTCCCCCTCTCAGATGAAGGGTAGGTTGTCCCTGTCAGATGAAGGGTAGGTTGTCCCAGTCAGATGAAGGGTAGGTTGTCCCCCCTGTCAGATGAAGGGTAGGTTGTCCCAGTCAGATGAAGGGTAGGTTGTCCCCGTGTCAGATGAAGGGTAGGTTGTCCCCCCTGTCAGATGAAGGGTGGGTTGTCCCAGTCAGATGAAGGGTAGGTTGTCCCCCTGTCAGATGAAGGGTAGGTTGTCCCGCCTGTCAGATGAAGGGTTGGTTGTCCCCCCAGTCAGATGAAGGGTAGGTTGTCCCGCCTGTCAGATGAAGGGTTGGTTGTCCCCCCTGTCAGATGAAGGGTTGGTTGTCCCCCTGTCAGATGAAGGGTGGGTTGTCCAAGTCAGATGAAGGGTAGGTTGTCCCCCCAGTCAGATGAAGGGTAGTTTGTCCCCCCTGTCAGATGAAGGTAGGTTGTCCCCCAGTCAGATGAAGGGTAGGTTGTCCCCCTGTCAGATGAAGGGTAGGTTGTCCCGCCTGTCAGATGAAGGGTTGGTTGTCCCCCTGTGAGATGAAGGGTGGGTTGTCCCCCCTGTCAGATGAAGGGTGGGTTGTCCCCCCTGAAAGATGAAGGGTAGGTTGTGCCGCGTCAGATGAAGGGTGGGTTGTCCCAGTCATATGAAGGGTAGGTTGTCCCCCTGTCAGATGAAGGTAGGTTGTCCCCCAGTCAGATAAAGGGTAGGTTGTCCCCCTGTCAGATGAAGGGTAGGTTGTCCCGCCTGTCAGATGAAGGGTTGGTTGTCCCCCCTGTGAGATGAAGGGTGGGTTGTCCCCCCTGTCAGATGAAGGGTGGGTTGTCCCCCCTGAAAGATGAAGGGTAGGTTGTGCCGCGTCAGATGAAGGGTAGGTTGTCCCCCCTGTCAGATGAAGGGTAGGTTGTCCCCCTGTCAGATGAGGGTTGATTGTCCCCCTGAAAGATGAAGGGTTGGTTGTGCCGCGTCAGATGAAGGGTAGGTTGTCCCCCCTGTCAGATGAAGGGTTGATTGTCCCCCTGAAAGATGAAGGGTGGGTTGTCCCCCCTGAAAGATGAAGGGTAGGTTGTGCCGCGTCAGATGAAGGGTAGGTTGTCCCCCTGTCAGATGAAGGGTGGGTTGTCCCAGTCATATGAAGGGTGGTAGCAGTGTAACATTACATGCTGAGTTTTCCTGTTTCATTATACATGTGAAAAACATGGCACCGGCGATTGTCCTGTATTGATTAACCATTTGCTTCATAAGATATCCATGAGTTAATGATGATGAGGCCCTTCTGTGTTGCAGGTACCCTGAAGGAATACTACAGCCCACTGAGTGACAGCATTCAGCCTCTGTCTCTGCAGCAGTGGAAGGACATCACAGGACACAGCGGTGACATAGGTGACGCATCACAACACTGCAGCACAGTACACTACTGTTCATAATACACTGCAGCACAAAGTACACTGCAGCACACAGTACACTGCAGAGCACAATACACTTCTGCACAAAGTACACTGCAGCACACAATACACTACTGCACAAAGTACACTACTGCACAAAGTACACTACAGCACAAAGTACACTGCAGCAAAAAGTACACTGCAGCACAGAGTACATTACTGCACAAAGTACACTGCAGCACACAGTACACTACAGCACACAATACACTACTGCACAAAGTACACTGCAGCACAAAGTACACTGCAGCACAAAGTACACTGCAGCACAGATTACATTACTGCACAAAGTACACTACTGCACAAAGTACACTGCAGCACAAAGTACACTACAGCACAAAGTACACTGCAGCACAAAGTACACTACAGAGCACAATACACTACAGCACAAAGTACACTACTGCACAAAGTACACTGCAGCACAAAGTACACTGCAGCACAGAGTACATTACTGCACAAAATACACTGCAGCACACAATACACTACAGCACACAATACACTACTGCACAAAGTACACTGCAGCACAAAGTACACTGCAGCACAGAGTACATTACTGCACAACGTACACTGCAGCACAAAGTACACTACAGAGCACAATACACTACTGCACAAAGTACACTGCAGCACAAAGTATGCCACTGCACAAAGTACACTACTGCACAAAGAACACTGCAGCACACAATACACTACTGCACAAAGTACACTGCAGCACACAATACACTACTGCACAAAGTACACTACTGCACAAAGTATGCTACTGCACAAAGTACACTACTGCACAAAGTACACTACAGCACACAATACACTTTTGCACAAAGTACACTGCAGCACACAATACACCACTGCACAAAGTACACTACTGCACAAAGAACACTGCAGCACACAATACACTACTGGACAAAGTACACTGCAGCACAATGTACACTACTGCACAAAGTACACTACAGCACACAATACACTTTTGCACAAAGTACACTGCAGCACACAATACACCACTGCACAAAAAACACTGCAGCACACAATACACTACTGCACAAAGTACACTGCAGTACAAAGTACACTACTGCACAAAGTACACTACAGCACGCAATACACTTTTGAACAAAGTACACTGCAGCACACAATACACCACTGCACAAAGTACACTACTGCACAAAGTACACTACTGCACAAGGTATGCTACTGCACACAGTACGCTTCAGCTTATAGTACACAACATCACACAGTAAACTACTGCACAGTGTACACTGCAGCACACTACTGTGTATAGTACACTAAAGCACACAGTAAATCCCAGTTCATAGTATACCACAGCTCATAGTAAACCCCTACTGATAATGCACCACTGCTTAAGATACACTGCTGTTTACAGTACAGCAGGAGCAGTAGTACATAGAGAATAAATCTGTGTAAACAATGTCAGTTCCGGTACTTGCGCACAGTAAATTCAGTAGTGGAATATACAGTACCCAGCAGTTTCAATTTCTCAAAAATGAAGATTTATGAGACGCTTGGTTTTTTTCAGAAAAGGGCAGTGCTCCACGTTTGGCTCCAACTTGGCTGTTCTATGAAGTAAGAATCTGAACACCTTTGATTTATATATATTTCCTTTTTGGGACATGGGACAGAAACATTTGACACACTCAAAAGTCTTATTTCATACAGTACAGCTATCAGCTCCCTCGGTAACAAGCCCCCCCCCCCCCCCCCCCCACACACACACACACTTAGTAAATTGACAATGGGAATGCTTATTTAAACATTACATGTCAATGTCAGAGATCAAGTGGTAGAAGGGCAGTCGGGTAGCCTATTGGTTAAAGCATTCACTCGTCACGCAGAATACCCCGGTTCAATTCCCGACATGGGTTGAATGTGTGAAGCCCATTTCTGGTGTCCCCTGCTGTGATATTGCTGGAATATTGCTGAAAGCCGCATAAAACCATACTCACTCACTTAATCACTCACACACTCAGGTGGTAGAGGACACTTTGTAAACTTTGACGGTAACAGATTACAAGGTGATGACAAATTTAATTGTCAAGGTAGACACAATTTTATGGATAACAACTTCTTTAATACTGTAAAAAGCGACGTTTCGGTATAGATCCTTTACTGTTGTCAACTGTTAACTGACTATAAAAGTCATGTTTCCACCCTCGCCTTGCTGGTATTATTGAGTTACACTTTGTCTGGACTAATGAGTCTATGCATAGTCCAATCAAAATCGCGCAATGAAATCGAAATCCTGTTCGTAAACTGTCATGCAGATTTTGGTCGATTGCAGGATTTTCAAAGCATTTGCACCGCCAACTCGTTGTCAACAGATATTTTCTAAATCTTTTCATGTTTTTAATAAAGGTGCTCCCGTGATTTGATTTGATGCACTTTGCCACGTTAGAGTCGTTTTATCCCAATATAGATCTTGATTATCGATGGGCGAATCTGATTGGTCCAAAGGAGAGGCTTAGAAGAGACATCACTCGAAATAGCCACTGGTGGTGCTACGATCGAGCCCAGGAATTCCAGCCTAGTTTGGCAAGGGTGGAAACTGGACTTTTAAAGTCAGTTAACTCTCTTGCCTCGGGAAGATGAGAGATACATTGCATCAAACATTTGGACTCATTTTCTGTCCAACTTTCCGAGTTCTAACTGTTTATGTATTTAGGGCAGTTTTTAGATATAATGTCTAATTATTTGAAAGTCGACATGTATGCTGAAATGTTTTGAAATAAATTTTTTATTACATTACGAACTAACGCGAGAAAAATAAGATTTTTGTAATCTGCACACATGGCAATTTTTACAGAAGTAAGTTGACCTCAAATGTCTATCTTTATGACATCACAGCACAGTTGCATCCAAGCACCCATAAGGTCACCTATCTCCTTGTTGGCCACATTTATCATTTAATAATGGGATGATTTAATGGTGGAAACGGGTCGGTCGGGTAGCCTAGTGGTTAAAGCGTTCACTCATCACGCCATTCCCGACATGGGTACAATGTGTGAAGCAAATTTCTAGTGACCCCCGCCGTGATATTGCTGGAATATTGCTAAAAGCGGCGTAAAACCAAACTCCCTCACTCACTCACTAATAGTGGAAAGAGCTCCAAATAACTGTTTGAGCAACTGAGTTTTTACTCTAGGGTTTATATTTTAATTGGGTTATTACATTTTTCATTGGGTAACCAATATTTTTTCACTCATCTAATCATCACTCTATTGGGTATTTCCCCAAAAGAGTGAACATTTTAAGATTTAATCTTTTTGGATAGATCTGGAATCTTGGATGGAATTGTGTGAATTGAGAATGGACAGTGAAACAGGTGGGCTAGCTTGTGAAGTGATGGATGAAGGACTAGTTAGAGTGGTGGATGCTACCACTAGGGCAGGACATGTGTAGGCTTTTTCGTGAACACCTGGTGCCATCACTGATTTTTAGCGATCCATTCATATAATTTAACCGTTATTGTGTCTTTTATGCCAAGAGGAAGCTGTTTCGTTGGATAATCGAGATGAATTGGTTCTTCCCCAGCAGTGACATTTTAGTTTATGAATTGATGGGTGTCTCATGTGTGTTTTACTTCCAGACCCAGATGCATAGGGATTATCGAGCCTACCTCACAAGCAACATCCCCAATGTCAACGATCTCATCTTGCCCTGCACTGAAGTGCCTCTACCATCAGGTTAGTAGCTGTGAGAAGTGAACCAGTTCATTGTATTTGTGAACCATTTCTTTGTCAAGTGAACCATTTCATTGTCAAGTGAACCATTTCTTTGTCAAATGAACCATTTCTTTGACAAGTGAACCATTTCATTGTCAAGTGAACCTTTTCTTTGTCAAGTGAACCATTTCACTGTCAAGTGAACCATTTCTTTGACAAGTGAACCATTTCTTTGTCAAGTGAACCATTTCTTTGACAAGTGAACCATTTCTTTGTCAAGTGAACCATTTCTTTGACAAGTGAACCATTTCTTTGACAAGTGAACCATTTCTTTGTCAAGTGAACCATTTCTTTGTCAAGTGAACCATTTCTTTGTCAAGTGAACCATTCCTTTGACAAGTGAACCATTTCTTTGTCAAGTGAACTATTTCTTTGACAAGTAAACCATTTCTTTGTCAAGTGAACCATTTCTTTGTCAAGTTAACCATTTCTTTGACAAGTGAACCATTTCATTGTCAAGTGAACCATTTCTTTGTCAAGTGAACCATTTCTTTGTCTAGTGAACCGTTCCATTGTCAAGTGAACCATTTCTTTGACAAGTGAACCATTTCTTTGTCAAGTGAACCATTTCTTTGACAAGTGAACCATTTCTTTGACAAGTGAACCATTTCTTTGTCAAGTGAACCATTTCTTTGACAAGTGAACCATTTCTTTGACAAGTGAACCATTTCTTTGTCAAATGAACCATTTCTTTGTCAAGTGAACCATTCCTTTGACAAGTGAACCATTTCTTTGTCAAGTGAACTATTTCTTTGACAAGTAAACCATTTCTTTGTCAAGTGAACCATTTCTTTGACAAGTAAACCATTTCATGGGCAAGTGAACCATTTCATTGTCAAGTGAACCATTTCTTTGACAAGTGAACCATTTCTTTGTCAAGTGAACCATTTCTTTGTCAAGTGAACCATTTCTTTGACAAGTGAACCATTTCTTTGACAAAAGAACCATTTCTTTGTCAAGTGAACCATTTCATTCACAAGTGAACCATTTCTTTGTCACGCAAACCATTTCATTGTCAAGTGAACCATTTCTTTGACAAGTGAACAATTTCATGGGCAAGTGAACCACTTCATTGACAAGTGAACCAATTCCTTCAGATTGTTGATAAGCTGCTAGATTCCATCCAACTGCTGTGGTGATTTCATGGAGTGAGTGAGTGAGTATGGTTTTACACAGCCTTTAGCAATTTTGCAGCAATATCATGGCGGAAATCGGCTTCACACATTGTACCCATGTCGGGAATCGAACCCGGGTCTTCGGCATGACGAGCGAACGCTTTAACCACTAGGCTTCCCAACCGCCCTGTCTTCATGGACGTTTCTGGTACTATATAACAGACCCAGCTGATGTCGTATGTAGAGAATCCTTTAATTCATTCATGACTTCTTGCAGTACATTCAGTGTGTTTCGTCATACAATACATCATTCAGTGTGTTTCGTCATACAATACATCATTCAGTGTGTTCCGTCATACAATACATCATTCAGTGTGTTCCGTCATACAATACATCATTCAGTGTGTTTCGTCATACAATACATCATTCAGTGTGTTCCGTCATACAATACATCATTCAGTGTGTTCCGTCATACAATACATCATTCAGTGTGTTCCGTCATACAATACATCATTCAGTGTGTTCCGTCATACAATACATCATTCAGTGTGTTCCGTCATACAATACATCATTCAGTGTGTTCCGTCATACAATACATCATTCAGTGTGTTCCGTCATACAATACATCATTCAGTGTGTTCCGTCATACAATACATCATTCAGTGTGTTCCGTCATACAATACATCATTCAGTGTGTTCCGTCATACAATACATCATTCAGTGTGTTCCGTCATACAATACATCATTCAGTGTGTTCCGTCATACAATACATCATTCAGTGTGTTCCGTCATACAATACATCATTCAGTGTGTTCCGTCATACAATACATCATTCAGTGTGTTTCGTCATACAATACATCATTCAGTGTGTTTCGTCATACAATACATCATTCAGTGTGTTCCGTCATACAATACATCATTCAGTGTGTTCCGTCATACAATACATCATTCAGTGTGTTCCGTCATACAATACATCATTCAGTGTGTTCCGTCATACAATACATCATTCAGTGTGTTCCGTCATACAATACATCATTCAGTGTGTTCCGTCATACAATACATCATTCAGTGTGTTCCGTCATACAATACATCATTCAGTGTGTTCCGTCATACAATACATCATTCAGTGTGTTCCGTCATACAATACATCATTCAGTGTGTTCCGTCATACAATACATCATTCAGTGTGTTCCGTCATACAATACATCATTCAGTGTGTTCCGTCATACAATACATCATTCAGTGTGTTCCGTCATACAATACATCATTCAGTGTGTTCCGTCATACAATACATCATTCAGTGTGTTCCGTCATACAATACATCATTCAGTGTGTTCCGTCATACAATACATCATTCAGTGTGTTCCGTCATACAATACATCATTCAGTGTGTTCCGTCATACAATACATCATGTGAACAATCATGGAGACAACCCACTGTGTCCAGCTCAGGATCAAGTGGTGTCATTGTTGCTGTCGTGTGGTGTTAGATGATGAGTTAATGATATAAAATATTACCCATAGGGTTAGGAATAACCAAGATCATAAAACTTGCATGTGCAATAGTGCCAATATCACTTCATAGCACATCAGTGTATGGTTTACATCATCTGGACGGCATTGTTGACATCATGCGAATCTTATTGAGACGTAAGGTGGAATGATGTCACACTAGAAACATCATCATTGAAGATTGTTGACGTCATTCGACAATTGTCATTTTCAAAGACAGCGGTAGTGATCAGTGGATTTTTCCAAAGGGGAGCTCAAAAGGATTTAGAAATTAGAAATTATTACACTCACGGAACTACTAGAATTCTGAAACTCATTTCATAAAATCAGTATGACACACATGCTCTTGCTTGGGGAGATGCAAGAATTCTGACGCACTTTTCATAAAATCAGTGTGACCCACATGTTTGTATAATAATTTCTATTAATAATAATGTGTATATTTGTAATGTGCCAAATACTCACCCTAAAGCATGCTCAAAGCACTACAGTATTACCCTGGTCAATGGATCAGTGTGCATTCTCAGCTCCCTGAGGAGTATACAACTCAAACTGCCTTATGAGGTGCAAAAATGTTAAAAGCCAGATCCTACCGGGTACCCATTCAGTGCTGGGTGAACAGAGGCATATTTTGAACAAAGTCTCATGAGTGAGGAGACACCACAGGTAGCATGTGTTTCAGTTTCCCCTTGATAGGTAGCCATATGCTGTTGACTGGACCACTTGCCACCTCATGTTTGTTGACATGTGGTCCTATGCACCGTGAGCGTACATGTCACAAATCAACTAAAGTTGGTACGGAGAGTCACTGACAGTCCTTGGACGGGTGACCGCGTTTCGGCAGCTTGGCTCCTGAGAGTTTCTAGAGCTACGGTCCTGCCCTGCACTGAAGCACATGTAGCACATGTGGCGTCTCCGTGGGCAAGTGACTTTGTTCAAAATGTGCCTCTGTTCACCCAGCAGTGAATGGGTACCCGGTAGGATGAGATGGCAATATGGCTGTTAACCTTCTAGCGCCTAACAGGCAGCTGGGGTTGTATTCTCCCCAGGGAGTTGAGAATGATTCTTGAGTGCATATTGATCCAGTGACTGGGGTAATAATAGTGCTTTGAGCTTGCCCCCGAGTGGTGTGGAAATATGCGCAATATATATGGCCGATTATTACATTGTAGTGTAGTGTTTATAGTTGTAAGATGAGTTGCCATTGTTGTGTATGGTTGCAGTTGTGTGGTGTAAGATGATGAAGATGAGAGACAAGCTGGAGAGGATCCTCTTCCAGTATGAGAGCTTTGACTTTTCAGGTACGTAATTTCATACATTTGTTTTGGAAGCTGATTATATAGCTTGTGATTTCAGCACTTTCACTTGGACATTAAAGGGCAAGTTCACACGGAAATGAACCTATTTTTCTTGTACTTTTTCCACATTAAAAGTGTTAACCTAGTAGTGTCATAGACAAAAATATAAAAATATCAAAAATTAATTAACATATATTTTGCATTAAAACGATTTATATTTTTCACATTTACCAAGTGTTCTATTTTCATCACAAAAACACGATGGCTTATGCCCATTGCAATATGACGTCATTGGTGCCAATTGATAAACATTATGACGTCATCATGCTATGTTAGAGCCGCTTCACGTGGTGTAGGTACAGCTGTGTGATTCTAGCGTCTCAGATGCCAGCCAGCATAGTGTTATGCTGAGTCATCACTGCGCCGGAGTGTGTCGTAGGCCATGTTGTTTTACCGAAAACTGGTACTTGATATCTTTTGCGTTGAGAATAGACAGGGATCCAGTTGAATTGGCACCAATTACGTCATAATCTAAGGGGGATAACTCAGGCCTGTTTAGCTCGAAAAACGAAGGCCTCATAACGGCATATCATTTTCACACTATTGTGAGCTTCCTACTTTCACTGTGAAAAAAATGAGTTTACATTTCAAACACAGATATTAACTAATTCTAAAATTGCGTTTTGTTTAGAAAAAGAAAGAAAGTGAATTTTGCGTGTACACTTCCCCTTTAAGCACTTTCTACGAATATTAGGAGTTTCCCTCTTAACTAAATGCATCCAGGAAACTTGATATTCAAACAAAATCAGAATCATGTTTTTCAGCTTAAGTCAAAAGATGTTCAGAATCACTGCATTATTATCATGTATGAAGAAATTATTATTTCTTGAAAGGGCTTATTTTACACCACATATACACTTCATACGGCCACATTTGTTTAATGCTGCTTTGAACAGTATTTCAGTTATATCACGGCACGTCAGCTTGATGTGGGAGTATTTCAGTTATATCACGGCACGTAAGCTTGATGTGGGAGTATTTCAGTTATATCACGGCGTGTCAGCTTGATCTGGGGGGAAAGTCTTAAATGTTTACCAATTTGATGGAATTGGGGTCACCGGTATGTTGCTGACAAACCTAGAAACACAATCAGGGTAAACCACAATTCAAACCCACGACCTTCTGACAAGGGACAAATTCTGTCACCTTACACAACTTGGCTACCCATGCCCCCTTAAAGTATGTAGATCGTTACATTGATGTCTCTACAATACCTGTAATCAGCCCCACAGTGTTCGAACAACTTGATACCTAAAGGATTCTTTCGTCCTTCCCCTAGGCAGCTCCAGTGTCCTGCTGCCGCAGGAGGTGACCGAGAAGGAAGCTGACTGGCCGTCACCGCAACTGATGACCAGGCCCACCAACATGCACCCACTCTGCTATGTCCGAGGTGATCCGCAATCAACGATCATACCGTCTTTTCACAGCTAATCCAGGCAGAGACAGTTCTGAAGGGACTGTGACTGTCATGTGTACTGTGAAAGCAAATACCACGTGTATCTGTGTCCTGTCAATCTAGCCAAATATTATTTGAATCTTATCAAGAATAACAAAACATGAGATGAATTAGGAATTTGATAGGCATTTAGAAGTTGGAAGAATATGAAGAAATGAAACTTTTTATGGATGGATGCTAGAAATATCCCTAAATGGCGTTTCCAATAATAAGGAAATTGCCACTTATAAAACATGCCTTCGGAGAGGAATTCTCCAAACTCCTTTTTGAAATCAATAAATTCAATTTACTTATTTCATTATGTAAAAGAATATAAATGATTGACCCTTTGCACAATAACATTGATTGCTACTTAAATACAGGTTTCTCATGCAGAATATAAAATAAACTTATTAGGGGAATATATTTTATGGAATGTATTTCCTGATCTAGGTGACATGAGCACGGTAGTGACGCTGCGGCCGACGTACACTCTGCCGGACTATATGAGGCCATTCTGGGCCTTGCATCTCATCAGCACCCAGGGCTTTCCCTTTGACCTTGACCCCAACAGCACCAACACTGTGCCTGTCATGTGGGCGTGGCACTTTGTGCTGTCACTCAACAAGCAGGTTAGCGCTACGACTATTTTAAGTCTAGAGTATGGGAGGAAGATAGTTAATGCTGTCCATCTTGGTCTGGTTGATGCACAGCCTGTCTCTCCTTATGATATTAACCCAATGTATGTCTGTGTACACCTTCTCAGTGTTTGAAATAAGTTTAAAACCCCCAAAGACAGTCGGGCAGGTGACCATAAGTGTTGTCTGCCCATCTTCAAAGTTGCTTGCCTGCATTCAGACATTACAAATATTGAAAAATTGCAAAAACTAAATAAGAGACAAATCGCGTCTTGATTCAGTTGAAATAATGCACGCAAGAATCTACAAGGAGTTATAATAAATCTGAATTTTAAGTAGTCTTAAAATTATCTGTCAGACAGAAAAGTTACCTGCCACAGGCAGGAAGGTCATCTTCCCGAGGCAGGGGAGTTAACTGACTATAAAAGTCCAGTTTCCACCCTTGCCGAAATAGGCTGGTACTATGGAGTTACGTTTTGTCTGGACTAACGAGTTTATGCATAGTCAAATCAAAATCGCGCACCGAAATCAAAATCCGGTTCGTAAACTGTCATGCAGATTTCGATCGATTGCAGGGTTTGCAAAGCATGTGGACCGCCAATTCGTTGTCAGCAGATATTTTCCAAATCCTTTCATGTTTTTAATCAAGGTGCTCACGTGATTTGATGCATTTCGCGATGTAAGACCCCATTTTATCACAATATAGATCTTGATTATCGATCAGATCACCCTGACTGGGCGCCACCATTTTGTGTGAAGCAAACGCAAGTGATACGAGAGGTGGAATCTGATTGGTCCATAGGAGAGGCTTAGAAGGGACATAATTGGTAATAGCCACTGGTGGCGCAACGATCTAGCCAAGTAATTCCAGCTTAGTTCGGCAAGGGTGGAAAGTGGACTTTAAAAGTCAGTTAACTCCCTTGTCTCGGGAAGATGCAGGAGGGTGGGCAGGCAGGCAGGCAGACAGTTATTTGGGACACTGCACCTGCTGCATAATGTGCATATTATATCAAATTTAAGCGACTTCTCAGATGCTCTTGCATGTTTCAACTGAACCAATACTTTGCAATGTTTTCATTGATTTGCAATAATTTGCCTAATGTTAATGAGATTTTAGATATTTGGTTAAGTAGAACAGGCTGGGCAAGGTAGTTTGGATTTATGGTGGTAATATATTGTGTTTCAAATAACTGTTTAAGATTCTTTTGACTCTTGACTGTCCTGGATTCCTCTTTCAGTTCAAGCTGCCAGATTATACAGAAGTGTTCCTGAACTCGGACTCTCTGCCATCATCTGACAAGGTTTGTTCTGTGCAACAAGTTGTATACAGGTAGAAGGAATAGGATATGTCGTATACAGATACTATTGAACATAGAGATTTGTTGAATACAGATAGAATTTAACATGATGATATGTTGAATCCAGATAGAATCTAACATAGAGATATGTCGTATACAGATACTATCAAACATAAAATGATGTTGTATACAGATAGTATCAAACATAGAGATACGTCGAATACAAATAGTATCAAACATAGAGATATGTTGTATACAGATAGTATCGACCAGAGATATGTTGTATACAGATAGTATCTGACAGAGATATGTCATATACAGATAGTATCAAACATAGAGATATGTTGAATACAGATAGTATCAAACATGATGATATGTCGTATACCGATACTATCTAACATAGAGATATGTTGTATACAGATAGTATCGACCAGAGATATGCTGTAAACAGATAGTATCAACCAGAGATATGTGGTATACAGATAGTATCGGCCAGAGATATGTGGTAAATAGATAGTATCGACCAGACATATGTTGTATACAGATAGTATTGACCAGAGATATGTGGTATACAGATAGTATCGACCAGAGATATGTGGTATACAGATAGTATCTCCCATGCTATTGCAGGTGGTGTCCCTGCTACAGTTCTACCTCACCCAGATGTGTTACCGCCTCTTCCTCACTCTGGATCCTGACTTCTCACTGGAGTACTTTGATGATGCCGACGCTGTCACTCAGGCAGTTGGGGTGAGCAAACATGCTGCAGATCATTGAAGGAAAAAAAAGAAATTTTAAATCAAAGAATTAAGAGTGTGTCCTAACTAAAGGATGTCATGTGACAGGAGAAATGTGGCTAAATAGAAGCACACTTGTGGGGACACCTGGTAAGAATAAGGCACCAGCAATCTATGCTGGTCGTATAAGGTGCAAAGTTGCATCCCTTGGACATGCCAGAAACCTATGGTCGTGGGTTTGAATCCCAGATTGACCGATTATGTTTCTAAGTTTGTCCGCACTATACCTGTGCTCATGGGTTTCACCAAAGTGGTAAACATCTGAGACCTGCATTACTTAGGGCTTTCCTCCCACATTAAGCTGACATGCAGTGATATAACTGGAATACTGTTAAAAGTGGCGTCAAACCCAACTGTGGATCATCCTGTGGCTAGGGTGGCTCAATGGTCTATCATGATTTGTTGCAAAGAGTTGCAAGCCTTTGATTACCGTTAGATTGTGAGTTAAACACGGAAAATAGCCTGTGTCTCTTTAGGATTCCATCTACTATTAATCATGTGTCATGATTGTTACAGTCAGTTCGCTTCCCTGTCCTCGAGAACTTTGACAAGGCAGGGCTTGAGAAGATGATCACCCTGTTTGGCGAGGATGAGATTTATCTGTGTGTGTCTCACTACAATGCATGGCAGGCTAATAAGGAGCTCACTGAAGTCCCGCTCCCAAAGATCAGCGACTACTCTGCCTACATGCTCTCCCTCCATCTCCAGGGCAACCAGCTTTCCTCTATTCCCAAAAAACTCTTTGAGCAGCTCCCAAACCTCCTAGACTTGGATATTTCCACCAATCTAATTCTAGACATTCCTGAGGAAATCGGTCTGTGTACGAAGATGTTGAATCTTTCATTGCACCGTAACCAAATCCGTCATATTCCTGAAAGCATCACAAACATGACCCAGCTGAACAGGCTGGATATCAGCAACAACCTTCTGAAAGAAGTCCCAGCATGCATCTGTAAGTTGACGAAGCTCGTCTGTTTGTACATGAGGACAATGCAGCTGACCTCGCTGCCTGACGATATAGGGAACCTGACTCTTTTGGAGAAGTTTTATCTGAACGAGAACGCCATATCAGAGCTACCACCTAGCTTCACTAAACTCACTAACTTGAAGGAGCTCTCTCTGAATGGAGTAAGCTGGGTCAAAATCAAGGCCAACACTATTCTGTCCAAGAGAAACTTTGAGAATACACTGAAGGCAGCTAATCTCCAACACTGGCTGGACAGGAATGAACAGGTATGATGTTTACATCTACCAGTGTAACTGCTTTTTGCCCTCATGTTTAGAGAAAACATCTTAAGATGTCTGTATAAACCATCTCTTAGTGATCGTTGAACATCCTATTCAATGCCTTGCAGAACATACCCATAGAAGCAACGATTGTTTGTTTTGTGTTTTGCCAAGTTTAATATTTTAATAATGACATATGAGACCAATGCGACTTTCAGATTGGGAGAGAACGAAATACTGATGACAAGTGCAGGGACATATCTAGCTTTCCCCAGTATGTTAGTCGTAGGTACTGTCTTGACAGTTGCTGATAATGTAACCTTAACGATTGTGTGAATCGTACCCCGAAGGTGCAGTTTTCCTTGCTCACTCTATCATCCACTGGTTGTCTGACCTTGGTATATCTGATGTAATATTTAGCAGTACATCAGCCCCCCACACTGCTGGAGATTACATAGTTCCGTGTTTGTCTGACCTTTGTATATCTGATGTAATATTTAGCAGTACATCAGCCCCCCACACTGCTGGAGATTACATAGTTCCGTGTTTGTCTGACTGCAGGACAGGGCAGCAATTTTCCAGTACTTCGATGAGAACACCAATGGAACGCTGGAGCCAGCGGAGATCGGGAAGCTCAATGCAACCATCTTCTTCACCTTTCCAAGATTCGGGTTCATGGGCACTGAGCCTCCAGGTCTGTTACCTGACATGATTCTCTCTGATACAGTATAGCACATGACCTTTCTGATGGCACATGACCTTTCTGATGGGACATGACCTTTCTGATGGCACATGACCTTTCTGATGGCACATGACCTTTCTGATGGCACATGACCTTTCTGATAGCACATGGCCTTTCTGATGGTACACTACCTTTCTGATAGCACATGACCTTTCTGATAGCACATGACCTTTCTGATAGCACATGACCTTTCTGATGGTACATGACCTTTCTGATAGCACATGACCTTTCTGATGGTACATGACCTTTCTGATGGTACATGACCTTTCTGATGGTACATGACCTTTCTGATAGTACATAATCTGTCTGATAGTTCATGACCTTTCTGATAGCACATGACCTTTTTGATAGCACATGGCTGAATGGTAGTGAATGACTTTTCTGATGGTACAATACCTTTCTGATAGTACATGACAGGATGGTAACGTATCACCTGATGATGGTGCATGATCCAATGACGGAACATGACCTGATAATAGTACATGCTGTTGTAGATGAGGACACGCCGTGTGGGTTCCCAGAGGAGCTGCTGTGCCTGGAGAGCTTGGAGTATCTGAGTCTGCAGTACCAAGGCATCGTGTCGGTCCCGGAGGGCATCAGCCGACTTAAGAACCTGAAGGTCCTGAACCTGAGCCACAACCCATACCTGCTGTCCATCCCCGCTCAGACCGGCAGCCTGCCTCTGAAACGTCAGTAGATTCATGGCAACATATCTAGTGCTACATCTTCATGCTAGGCCTGGGACGGGTAACTCGGGCACTAGGGTTGGGTGGGTACTGAGTAGGACCCGGGTACCCACAGGACTACCCGGACTCCCATGGTTAGTCACGTGATATATTGTTCAATGACAAAAGTTATCTTTACTGCAAGTCACTAATGTTCGCATTTGTTTTTGACTATGCACCCATGCCTTTGACTTCTATATGTATGCAAAAAGATATATAACTTCAGTCAACTTCAGTGTATGCATGACCAGATCTTTTTATTTGGCATCTAAATTCATTTTGCAAGGGCTATGGTCAAACTATTCCCAATTTGACATTTTCTACCCATCTCTTGAGACCTACAGCAGGTACCTGGGTAGGGTAGGGTAACGGGGAGGGGTTGGATACCCGGGTAGTAAATTTGGACTCGTCCGAGCCCTACTTCATGCTCTCTGTATCCTTAACACAATATATTTGTATCATGTCATACTGTCATATCTTTACACCCTTCTGTTGGGGTTCCATGGTAGAATAGGTTCCTGGACTCCATGTTTATCAAAAGAACCATTTGTGTTCAGGACTTGAGCTTGAAGAATGTCCAATGCTGAAGACCCCTCCCAAAGAGATCCGAGCCAAGGGATTCTCTGCCACATGTGCCTACCTGCGCCGTCTTCTGAGCGGATCTGTGGAATGTCGGAAAACGAAACTCATGATGGTAGGCCTCGGAGGTGCAGGAAAAACCAGGTAGGGCCATGTTGAGAGTCTGTGTTAACGTTGCAGCTTTACTGATTGCAGCAATGTTGTGGAATCTTTCACGTCTGTTGTGTGTGCCTGGGTCAGTGAGCATCAGCTTCTGTGGGGATTCGGTGGCTGAGTAGCTCCAGTAGCCCATGCATGGTGTTGGGGCCATCTTCATTGAGTATTGGGTTGTTTAATATGCGATTTTGCTGATAGTGTGGTGCATTTTTGCTCATGCCATTAACCACTGGTTTGTTTAGCCCAGTCTGTAAAACCAGGTAGTAGAGGTGAACAGTCTGGTGGCCAACAAAATACAATGATAAATTGCAATGTACTCTCAGAAAATTGCAAATCATTTGAAGCGTGCACTTTTACTGGTAGACTTAGGCTTAGACCTGGTTCTTCGTGTGACTGCCAGGACCTCTAGACCGGCAAATAAAGTACCTTAAAATCTTTGTTGTTAAACAAAACATCGGCGATATTCATATAAGCATAAACAAAGTCAGTTTGTTTTTTGCAATCAGGATTTCCCCTTGTCTATTTTTAGTGCAAGGGATTATTATTTCACTTTGCTTCAAGATAAACATGTATTTGAAGCGACTTTGCCTCGAAATAAGAACAAGAAGAGAAATTGTGACTGAACTTTGTGTGAATGATGTTTATATCTTACTGAGTTACTTCAGAGATGAATTGAACACGATTTTGAAAGAATAAAAAGCAAGTAATTTTTATAAGTTTTTTTATTTGTTTGAATTTGGGACTGACAAAAATTAGAGGGGACTGGTAATTTTTAGAGTTGCCAGTCCACGAGGACTGTCAGTTTCAAAAGCCAGCGGGAACACTAAAGAGACTTTTGTTTGTGTTGCAGTCTGGTGAAGGCGTTACTGAGCGGCAGCCACAAGACGAAGCTGAGTGTTGGAGAGGACATCACGGATGGTGAGATCACTTCATTCTCTAAAGCTGGGGGAAAACAATATCCATGAAGGCTTTCCGCCACTTGACATGCCCGTGGGACTTGATATCTTCATCTATAATCTGATTGGGACTTGGGACAGACTGATCACACATATCAAATTGAAATGCTTGGGACAGAGATGCGTCACATCACTGTATCTCAGCTTTAAAGGGGAGGAAAACCCAATGGTCTGAGACATTTAGCACTTAGCTGAAGACACAAGCATCAGTATGGTGTAGAATATTGCCACTCATGCCCCTTGATATATACATGTAGAATATTGCCACTCGTAACCCCTGATATATAGAATATTGCCACTCATGCCCCTTGATATATAGAATATTGCCGCTCGTGACCCTCTGATATATAAAATGTTGCCACTCATCCTCCCTGATATATATAGAATATTGCCACACTTGACTCCTGATATATAGAATATTGACACTCGTGACCTCTGATATATATAGAATATTGCCACTCATCTCCCCTGATATATAGAATATTGCCACTCGTGACCCTGATGTATAGAATATTGCCACACGTGACTCCTGATATATAGAATATTGCCACTCGTGACCAATGATATATAGAATATTGCTACTTGTGTCCCTTGAAATATAGAACATTGCCACTCTGACAGTTTTCTTCTTTCTTTTGAATTGAGTAATGTGTCGCTCATCATGCTGAATGCCCGGGTTTGATTCCCCACATGGGTACTATGCTTGAAACCCATTTCTGCTGTCCCCCACCGTCATATTAATGGAATATTTATATGAGAGGCGTAAAACCATACTCACTTACTTTTTCCTTTGAAAGAGCATTTTCAAAAAATTATTTTTGCTGCTATGTGTTTGTTGCCAGGTATTGACATCTGTCCGTGGACCGTGACGACCGACGAGGGTCAGGTGACGTACAGCGTGTGGGACTTCGCCGGTCAGACAGTGTACTACAACACGCATCAGGTGGGCATGTCCTGTAGTTTGTTTGTTGGTTGTTTAACGCTGCACTCAGTAATATTCCAGCTATATGACGGCGGTCTGTAAATAATCGAGTCTGGACCAGACAATCCAGTGATTGACATCATGGGCATCGATCCACACAATTGGTATACGATGACATGCATCAACCAAGTCAGCGAGCCTGACCACCCGATCCCGTTAGTTGCCTCTTACGACAAGCATAGTCACCTCTTATGGCAAGCATGGGTTGCTGAAGACCAATTTTATCCCCGCCTCTTCACAGGTATGTCCTACAGTACTCACCAATACGGTGGTAGCCATTTTGTTATCTGCAAAGTACAGAAGTAGTGTTTTGTTGACTTGCCGAACCATGCTAACATTAGTATTAAAAATTAAGCGGACAATCATTTGGTATTTGAGGGATGTAGCAGGATGTTAAGTCATCCCACAGATGACATCCTTACCTTGTGGGTTTAACCTCTCGTCATGTTGACAAGATGTTAAACCTTGAATCAGAAGATTCAAAATCCCATCACAGGATTTGGAAATGTGGTCACTACATGAGGGAACAAATGAGTTTTATCAAAACATGCTCCAAACAACTATTAAATGTTTGTGTCTCAAAATATTAAAAAAATAGAAGTGAAATTGTGGCTGAACTTTGTGTGAATGATGTGTAGATCTAATTAAGTTACTCCAGAGATGAATTGAACATGATGTTGAACGAATTAAAAGCAGGTTATTTTCATAAGGTTTTGTTGTTGTTTATATTTGGGACTGCCAAAAGTTATGGGGGACTGGTAACTTTGAGACTTGTAACTCGTGGTTGCTACATGGGGGAACAAGTGAGTAATATCAAAAGCAATTAAATGGTTGTGACTTCCATGATCCCAAGGTATCACAGTAGGTAATGATTTAGGTGCCTAGGATGGACCTGATCACTTTGGTGACTAGGTTAAGATTCTGAATATATCCTCAAGATATGAAGGTAATAAAATACACAATGGTGAAGGAACACTCAGAATGTTAATAGTGAACACTTTAAATTTGCTTTTCATGGCACGAGCCACGTTTATTGGAGCAAGACGCTTCAAACATGAATTACGGTAGAATGTTTTTCTTTCAGTTCTTTCTGTCCGACCGATCCATCTACATGCTTCTGTGGAACATCCGACTGGGGCACGAACATGCTGGACTCGACTTCTGGCTCAGCTCCATCTCCGTGCATGCTCCCAAGGCTCCCATCTTTGTTGTGGGAACTCACGTTGACCAGGTAGGCCTGATGGGCAATTCTAGCCCCCAGCAGCAGTTGACGAGGGAGACTTGATGTTATGGATATAAACTCCCCATTGCCTGACTCCCCGGGCTTACATTTTCCATCAAGACGGAGGGGGGAGTTGTTATCCTACTTATGAACCTAAATGCAAGAAATACCAGGAAAAATAAGAAAACATTGACATACCCTATAGTGAGACAATACAGTGTATCGAGCTATGAAAGGAATTTGCTTTAAGCGAGCGAGAGAAAAAACATGTGCAGCCTGGACTAGATGAAGTCATGACAGGATAATCTGAACAAATTCTCATCACCTGCCCCATCAGCTCAGTGGGTTACAAAACTTAGCACGATATGTGAGGTAGCAGGTTCCATTCACATCATGGAATTTTCATGTTTAAAACAAATTTCTGACTTTTACCAATCATCAAACACAATTGTGTTCAGTAAGTTAAAGACCTTAAATTTCACAGAATGCCTGCTTACCCGGGCATCCTTAAGCTGGAATGCCCGCTTACCCGGGCATTCTTTGGGAATAACTCCTTTACGGGTTTACCCGAGAAAGGTGGAACCTATATGGCTGATGGGCAGGCCTAGCCCCCAGCAGTCACTCCCAGACCTCACGGTGATGCATGATCTCTCTTCCGTCTTGACAACCAACAGTCACATGGTGTTGCAGGTGTCCAAGGTGGAGATTCCAGTGAAGGAGATGCAGACACGGTATCCTCGCATTGCCGGCTTCCACTTCATATCCTCTCACTCGGGACAGGTAGCTATGTCTGCGTTGTTATGAGTGACGTTGTATATTTGTGTGGTTTACAAGGGGTCCAGTTTGGGTGGACGGCGTCATGCTTGATTGAGTTAAGCAAGCTGTCTGACGGGGAGAAGCGTGATTGTGGGGTGATTGGAATTTGAGTTGGCTTGGTAACTGATTGTTGTGGGCCGATCAAGTAGATAGCTTACTTGGAAATTTGTTTACTATATGAGGGCAAGTTATCGAACAGAAAGATAAAAGGAAAAAGAATTGGAGAGGGAGAAATATGGTTTAATTGAACGAGGGCAGTTCAGCCCAGCGTTATGTCCGGAGACAAAGTTAGATGGTCATGTCGACGCTTCGAAGGAGGAAACTGTTGTTACCCAGTTATCCTGTGAACTGTGATATATAAGTTTGGAACAAGTGAAATGGAATTCACTGGGAATGTGATGTCAAGAAATCTGAGGTGACTATTATCTATATTGCACATTTGCCATATTGCTTTGCCTAATTTGCCCAGTAACTGAGAATTGTTATATACTTATCTTTGTTTTAATTATTAAATCTAGCTTTAAACTTAAGAGATTGTTGTGTGATTCTTGTAATTGTCATTTGTGGTATTAGCGGGAACCCCTGCCGTTCATACCACATGTAACAGTGTGCTGTTTGTCTGATAACATGCGGGAGAGAGATGAATCACTGTACAGGTATAGTGAGAAATCTTGTCACCATGACATGGAGTAGAAGGAGTAGTGGGAGATCATGTCAGTTGAATGTCATGTAGCTACTTATAGGAGCGTTGGCCAGTAGATAGAGCATCTGCCCGGAGAGCAGAAGGCTGGTGGTTTGATCCCGGACGCATGATGCCAAAACACGTTAAAGAGTAGTACTGGTTCTTTCCCTGTTGGGCATGAAGTGGCTAAAGAAGGTCAAGTTGGCTCACAATCAGTACGCTGTGTCTGAGGTATCCATGTCACACTGTGTAAAACCGTTATGCGTGTAGTCAACAGGATAGCACCTAATGTCCTACTGCACAATCTGGGCCAACTCTCTGCAGTTCTGCAGAAGGAATAGCTCCATACAGTGTCAGCAGTTGTTTGGGTCCAGGGGTCCACTACCGCTCCTAACTTTCACTCCTTCACATCCGGGATGTTACATAGCTTTTAGACATACAAGCTATGTCAGTCATTCAGACATGTCTATCTCCATCTGTGACACATGTATATCCCAGTCTGTGACACATGTATATCCCAGTCATTGAAATACATGTATATCCCAGTCATTGAAATACATGTAGATCCCAGCCAGTGAGATATGATTCGTATCCCCCAGGGTGTGAAGGAGCTGCAGGACCATCTCCTGGATGTGACCCTGCAGCAGCAGTACATGGGGGAGAAGATCCCCGGGGTGTGGCTCAGCTTTGAGGAGCAGATCAAGAGGTATGTACAGGACAAGACAAGGGTGAACATAAACAGGACAAGATACAATGAAATAATATAATTATCTGGTAGACAACGACATAAAAAGTATGAAATATGAAATATCATGTTTCTCTCATCTTAAGACAGGGGAAAAGGAGATATTTCCTCTCCCGGCACTGGATGAGAGAAACATGATATTTTACTAGACACATGAAATATCCTCAGACCTGCTTCTTGGAAATAAGTCAACGTTTCACCAGTGAAATGTTGTATGGGGAAATAGGTCAACGTTTCACCAGTGAAATGTTGTATGGGAAATAGGTCACTGTTTCACCACTGTGACATGCTGTATGGGAAAATAGGTCACCGTTTCACCAGTGAAATGCTGTATGGGGAAATAGGTCACCGTTTCACCAGTGAAATGCTGTATGGGGAAATGGGTGGGATAGAGCTAGACTGGTACCCTGCCCTTCGTCTCCTCGCGGCTGCAGGCGAGGAGTGCAAGTGTTCTAGGGCAGGTAAACCAGTCTAGGACAGAGTGTCTCCCTCTTATGAGTGTTGCCGACTAACATAAACATGTTTCATGTAATAATTTACAGTAAGGAATGTTTAAAAAAAATATATTTTATCTTATCCTGACTCATACTTATTGCTTATCTCTTTCTCTTCCGAATAGGTAGTGGAAACGTCCTGTGCTGTTCCCAAAGAACAGAGAAAACAGCTCACCCAAACGCACCCTCACTCTGCGCATGCGCACCGGAACCATGTGACCAAGCCCATTAACTCATCACTCTCTCTTTTTCGCGCCATCTTGGCAGCTGGAAAATTTTTTCTGTGCATCATAATCCAAGCTTTCCATAAAAATTCACCCTTTTTAACAAGATCTTTTGCTTGGATTATCTTCTGTGATATTCTATACATCATATCTAACGATTATTTTATATATTTGGCATTAGAATTTTTCGTAATTTGGACTCAAATGCAGCCCCTATGGGAGATCATGAAAACATGTAACCAATGTTAATTACGTTTTCAGATTCGGACCCTCATCCAACCTGTACCAGCTGCACAGTACAGAACTGCACTGCAGGAAATAGATGCAAATTCTGCGCCCCCTTGGGGAAGGAAGAATTTAGTAATTATCTTTTTGCAGTGCTGAGGGAAAAGATGGATCTTAAACGACGTGAGTCATCACGCTCATTATCATCCACGGAGATGGCTAAAAGTAAGAAGAGGCGAGAATACGCCCTGCCCTTCGTCAGAGGAATTCGATTTGATATTATTCAAATTATCCCGCTGAATATGATGCAGTCATCTTACTTCCTGGTCTACCAGCAAGAAGTCTAGAGGGTCTAAGAATAACAGACTTCATCCGCAGTCATGAAGGGGGTTTCAAGAAAATCAGCTGTTTCTTCTAGCCAGAAGAAAGCCTGCGCGCAGACAATTATGTCCGCACAACCCCAGAGGTTCGCACAGCCCGCAGTGTCATCCAATTCGGCTACAAATACAACCGATATATACCTCAATCAGCCTCAGACCTTCACGCAGATACCGGCCTTCGCGCAGCCCAACACAACAATTACGCAATCGTCTACCTTCGCGCAGGCGTCAGCCTGCACGCAGGCTATTAATCAACAAGAGTATACACAGACGCCAGCGTTCACTCAGGCTCCCGCCTTCGCGCAGCCCAACACAACAATTATGCAATCCTCTACCTTCGCGCAGGCTATTAATCAACAAGAGTATACACAGACGCCAGCGTTCACGCAGGCTCCCGCCTTCGTGCAGCCTTCACGCAGCCTTCAACGTTTACACTGCCACTACCTTCACGCAGCCTACCTTTTTTACACAAGGTACTTTGCTAACGCCTGCTATTAATACAGATGTGATAGCAAATATCACACAAGAAGTCGTAATGGCTATGCAACAACAAATGTGTAAACAACCTGGCACGCAGTCGACTACCTCTTCACACAATAGCTCGCAGATGTCGCAGCCTTCATTTACGGCTCCGAATCCTAACGCCTCCTATCTTCTGCGAGAGGAGGATATGTTCGAGCCCCCTCAAAATGAGGACACATCGGGGGAAAATTACCCTTCAATTTATGAGGATCATGAATTAATGGCGTGGATTACAGATAGACTGCCGATATCATCACCGTCAAGAAATTCTTCTCCCACTGATACATACTGTATCAAAGGGCACGATATAGACACACTAACCATCCCACCGATAAAACCAATCTCCAACATTGCAGAGAATCTTAATGTTTCTTTTGCGAAAGCCACGAAATCACAAGGACTTCAAATACGGAGCTTAATTCTAAGAAATTCCTCATGCACGCCATGTCGCAATTTCTTTGCTCACCGGAGATTGATGAAGATTACTCACTCATGTCAGACTCCAAAAGTAAAAAATCTTATCGCATTGAGGATAAGAAAATTGCACAACTTGATATGACTACAAGACATGCATCCTTTGGACAAGCAATGTCACGCGCTATGAGCCTCAGAACGACCGCGAAAGAATACTACTTTCAGCTCTCGTCAATCAAACGAAAAATCAAGAAATTATTTCTGATCATATGAGTTCAGTGTCGGCAGGTTTAACACTACTACAGCGACAAGGTCTTATAAATATTTCTAATTGGTATACTATACCAAAGAATTATTAAGACAACCCTGGGAGTCTCCAACCATTTTTAATGGTAACATACGCAAAATCAACAAAGAAGTGCTGTAAGACTCCAAAGATCATATGCTGATCAAGTCAGTTCAGACTATGAATTCTATGTATCGTCAATCCATCCAGAAAACCCACTTCAAAAGCCATATGACGGGCATTCAAAAAGACAAAAGAGAAACGCGCATACAACTACAGAGGCGGGAAATCATCTGCTTTTCGCAAGTCACATGACACGTCACGTGATGCAGACCGCGGCCGCAGATCGAGGTGATCTCGCAATATTACCGGCGAAGATGGGCTTTTGAACGACAGGGAACTCCCCCCACCAGCCGTTCATGTACAGCATTCCCCAGTAGTCGGAAGATTGGCAAGATATTGGATGAATGTGGGACATTCTAGGAGACGAATTTGTTTCCAACTTTCTAAGAAGGGCTACGCGGCGACTTTACTCAAGAAATCCCCGTTATCTCGCAAGCGTTATCTCGCAAGCCAGGGGAAATACCTTATCGGAAAGAATTGTTGCCGAAGTTTACTGAAGCAATCAATTCACGTCTCAACAAGGGCGCGGTCGAGATAATTCATCCAGAATTACTAACGCCGGGTTTCTATTCGCCGATCTTTTTGGTTCTCAAAAAGAATTCAAATGGAAAGTTTCGTTTGATTTACAACATGAGAAAATTCAACAAGAAATACCTTCCAAAACCGGAGGATTTCAGAATGATTCAACAAATGATAGCACGACTATCTCGGAAGCATCGATCTACAGGATGCTTACCTACACATTCCCATAAAACGGACTTTCAGGAAATATTTACGTTTCCTCTTTGAAGAACAACATTACCAGTGGGCGGTCCTGCCCTTTGGAATTTCCACGGCCCCGTGGCTAATTCCATAGTGACCAAACCAATTGTGACATTTTTTCACAAGGGAATTTGTTGTGCTTTTTACCTAGACGATGGGATATAAGCCCATCAATCAACAGAGCTATTCAGACTACAACTAAATTTCACCCTGAAATTATTAACACAACTGGGTTGGTTAATAAATTTTCAGAAGTCTGATCTACAACCATCTCAGGACCTCAAATTTCTGGAATCAGATTTATAACCAATCAGAATCTGATAATGGTACCAGAAGATCGGTGGATAAAAATCAAGACTGGTTTGCCAACAGCAATTTACAAGAAAATCTCAGTCAACAAATGGCAAGTGATACTAGGCTGACTCACGTCAGCCCAAGCGTGGACGGTCCGAGGCAGACTACACTTACGCCCTATTCAGAGATTTCTAAATCCATACCTAGAGTACCAGGATTTAAAACTGCAACTACCACAAACATTGAGGAAACACCTCTTATGGTGGACAGTGAAATCGAACGTTTGCGCAGGAACTTGTTTAAACGAGCCGGATTACAACAACCACCTATTCATGGACGCCTCACTTCAAGGCTGGGGAGCTCACTTCAACAGAAAGTAACAGCAGGCCTATGGTTAGAAGCAGAAAAGCTCTACCACATCAATTATCTTGAATGTGAGGCAGTAATCCGTGCATTATTTCACTGGGCCCCACAGTTAAGAAACCAACGTCTGATGATCAGAACAGACAATTCAACTGTGGCATACAATATAAACCTTGACCCTCCTGAAGTTGACATTTCAACTTTACGAGCTAGAAGACAATCTGAACTTAACAATAAAAACAAGACATATACCAGCAGTGGCAAATGTCTTAGCAGACGCCTTCACAGACGCCTTCACCAGACCAGCCAAACCATCACCGACAATGGAAGCTACACCCAGAAGCATTCCAACTGGCTATAAAAGAAAAAGGTTGCCCATTAGATAGACCTATTCGCAACCAGATTCAACAATCAGATAACAACATTTGTATCACCAGTGCCAGACCCACTAGCTTGGTCAGTGGATGCTCTGTCAATATCATGAGAGGGACTAAACGCGTAAGCGTTTCCTCCACCAGCCGTGATACCACAGATATTACAAAAGATCCTACACACGAGCAGCCTACAACTGCTTTTGGTAGCGCCTTACTGGCCGGCGAGAACGTGGTTTCCAGATCTCGTCGAACTAGCAGGAAATCCAATATTAAAACTTCCAAACTGGCCAAATCTACTGCTACATCCTCACTCCAATCAGGTCCATCCAAGACCAGATCTATACAAACTTCACGTATGGAGCATATCAAGAGCAGTCTCGTTAAAAGAGGATATTCCATGAGAGCAGCTAAGGCAGTCTCCTTAGCACTTCGTAGATCAACGAGGAATCTCGATGACGATAAATGGAAAAGTTTTGACCAGTTTGCAACATCCAAGGGTTTTTCTGCAGCCAAACCTACTGTACCACAAGTAGCAGATTACCTATGTCACTTACGAAGTACAAGGAATCTTAAAGGTTCGACACTGGGCACTTATTTGGCCGCTATCAGTTCTGTACTGACAATGGCTAACGGGATAAAACTTACTAAAGTTCCCGAGATGATAGCCCTACTCAGATCCTTCAGACTTGAGGACCAACAGAAAAGATTTAGAGCCCCAACATGGGACCTAAATATAGTGCTACAACATCTAACCAGTGATGCATATGAACCGCTCCAACAGGCCACTTTGAACACCTGACGCAGAAAACCCTATTTCTTCTGGCATTAGCTACGGCAGCCAGAATGTCTGAAATCCACGCGATAGACTTCAATCGCATCACATTTGACAGTGGTAACAACTCATCAGCGCACCTTGGCTTAAGATGGGACTTTATTGCAAAGAACCAGTTACCAGGCCAACCAGACAGACAATTCCATGTTCCGGCTCTTTCCTCCGTCCTTGGTGCAGAGGATACAGAGGATATATCACTATGCCCAGTCAGAGCCTTAAGATTATACCTACAAAAGTCTAAACCTAGAAGACAAGGTTTTAAGAGACTATTTATTCCTTTATTAAGGAATACACACACAGAGGTATCCAGAACAACTATCTCATTTTAGATGAGAGCTGTTATTCTCAGAGCATACAGAGCAGTGGGATTGGACCCCCCTTCAGCCTCCAACCCTCACGAAGTAAGAGCCTTAGCCTCAACTTTGGCACTTTACGGCAACTGCTCCATAACAACTATTATGGAAGGCTGTTTCTGGAAATCAGATACAGTTTTCGCAAATGACTACCTCAGAGACCTTGCTACAGAAGACTTAGCTGGTATTCACCAATTCGGACCATTAGTTGTGGCACAACTACTCACGAATCCTACCAGACGATATTAGAAGATCACACTCACCCAATATCACGTAGACTTGTTGACGTCAGGTTACTGTTCCATAACCAACGACTGAGAGTCCATGCCCCCTGTTTTACTATGTAATTCAGCACATGAGTGAGAAATGATTGTGTTAAGATTATTGCTCTTCTCTGAACACTTTAATCATTTAAGGTGAACAAGATTTTAATCTTAGAAACCTTATAAATCCACAAATCTATATGATTTACTTCCATTTTGCTGCTCACAAAAAAGGAAGGTGGTCCCCAAATAAAGAATTTACACAGAAGATTAACAACGTTCCTATGGGGTTTATAGAACAGATCGATGTTAATCACGCATACAGGTGGAACCCACCACCTACTGTGAGATTCAAGCAATAAGTATGAGTCAGGATAAGATAAAATATGTATTTTTTAGAGTAAAAATATCATTTATACTTATCCTGACTCATACAAATGAGTACCCTCCCGGCCTTCCCCTCTTTCCACTGATGTGTTCCGACCATTAAGTAGGAAATAAGAGAGAGTGATGAGTTAATGGGCTTGGTCACATGGTTCCGGTGCGCATGCGCAGAGTGAGGGTGCGTTTGGGTGAGCTGTTTTCTCTGTTCTTTGGGAACAGCACAGGACGTTTCCACTACCTATTCGGAAGAGAAAGAGATAAGCAATAAGTATGAGTCAGGATAAGTATAAATGATATTTTTACTCTAAAAAATGATTTCTTACGTATTTCGTATATACGCATATCATTATATACATGTGAGACAAAGATAAAGTTTCTTTATAAAATTGGTTACATCTTTCCAACCATAACTCATTCGCGTGTTACTTTCTCAAACCAAAGTCAAACAAGGCACAGTGCCTGTCACCACGCAGTAAAACACTTTGACAACTATGTAGAATAAAAATATAGAGGATATATGTTTATCAAAGATATAAAAATAAGTTGTGTAATACACTAAATTTGGAAATTAAAACTGTCCTTGCTGCTCATCTGGTGTGTTCCAGCCTGAAGGACAGCAGTGTGATAGAGTACAAGGACCTGGAGAAGAAGGCCCACATCTCAGGGATCTTCTCCCAGTCCGAGGTCAGTGGCACAACAGAGGTGGTCCCTTAGCCAGTTAGTTCACCTTAGACCTGTGGAAGATCATGGTTAGAATAGGTCTTCAGCCACCCATGCTTGCCGTAAGAGGCGACTAACGGGATCAGGTGGTCAGGCTCGCTGACTTGGTTGATACATGTCATCGTATCCCAATTGCACGGATTGATCCTCAAGATGTCAATCGTTGGATTGTCTGGCCCCGACCTGATTATTTACAGACTGCCATTATATAGCTAGAATATTGCTGAGTGTGTTGTTAAACAAACAAACAAGCAAATAATTCCCCTTGGTGTAGCAGCCAATAGCTGCCTGCCCATCATTCCTTGACTGGCCATGTTATTTGTGACTGGATAATGTATCAAGGCAGTATTGAATATTTCTTGCTGCAAAGCCTGCATGAGCACTGAAGGCTGCTGGTAGGCCCGGGTGGTGGGGTAGTCTGGTGGTTGAAGCGTTCACTCATCATTCCGAAGGCCTGGGTTTTATTCCCCACATGGGTACAATTTCCGGTGTTCCCTGGCATGATATTGCTGGAATATTGCTACAAGCAGAGTCAACAATACTCACTCACTCCTGGTAGGCCTGTCTGCCATTTGGACATAGACTGCGGTCAGTTTTTAGGTACGTTTTGAAAATTTGGATTCTTTCATAAGGCTTTGGAAATAATTGACATGACCTGCAAAGGCCAAGCATTTTGTGAATCAATTCCCATCTGAATTAAAAATGTATTAAATATTTTCATGTTTTGATTTTAACAAAAATCTTTTAACAACTTTGAAGAAAACAACTTAATGTAATCTGTCAATCAATCTTTATTCATGGTACTTATGTAATCTGTCAGTAAGTAGTAACTACAGAGTCACATGTGCCAGAGCCTGTAACAATGGATGTGTTGGGGGTGTACTATGTCTGTGCATGCATATGGTGGGATGGTTTGCTAGATTGTACCCACATGTGCCACACAAGGTTAGTCAGTCGTCATGGGGAATATTTCACTTGCATGACCTTGAACATGAGGGAGGGAGTTTTTGAAGAGATGTTGATTACTGTGACTGGTACCTGTACGAAGTCGGCGTGTCCTCCAGGTGTCCCAGGGGCGGTCAGGTAGCCTAGTCGTTAAAGCGTTCGCTCACTCACTCACTCACTCCAGGTGTCCCAGGCGGTCCAGTTCCTCCACGAGCTTGGGTCCCTGCAGTACTTCACTAACGACTACCTCAAGTCCTACGTGGTGGTCAACCCACAGTGGATCGTCGACGTCATGGCGTGTGTTGTCTCAGTCAAAGACTCCCATATCAAGGTATGTGAGAATGAGGCAGTTTGTATTCCCATTAAATAAACAACAAGTCAAAAAGATAATGTCTGAAATATAATAAGACAAAAAAAGCAGAAACACCAAACCTTCTTTACACCAATGAATAAATCCCCAAAATTACACTTTTTCTGTATATTCAATTGAATAATTGACCACTTTCAATCATAAAATGGTATTAACTTCCCGAAAATGGAAGTTCTCTCTAATGTTATCAAAGCAATTTCCCAACTGGAGTGGGGCGGTCGGGTAGCCTAGTGGTTAAAGTGTTAGCTCGTCACTCCGAAGACCCGGGTTCGATTCCCGACATGGGTACAATGTGTGAAGCCCATTTCTGGTGTCCCCCGCCATGATATAGCTGGAATATTGCTAAAAGCAGCGTAAAACCATACCCACTCACTCCCAACTGGAGTCCAATGGACGTCTTTGTCCCACAACGATAATATGTCAATTCATAATGTTACACTGTTCAACTTAGTCTCTCACATACAGAGCATGAAAAGCATGAGATTAACCAGAGCAGTGTGTAGGTTAAGAAGATATGTTTTCAATCTGTACCAATGAACGACAAAACTAACGATCAGTCAAGTGATCCTAATCACTAATCAATCAAGCCAATCCTGCACGAGACATGGTACATCTCGAGTCATGGATCTATGATGTCACAAGTGATGCACTCGTGAGCATTGGTTCACACAACATACCAGTATGTTCGTTTGTGCATCAAACAAGTCAAATATCTCTTGAATATGAGTAATTCTTCATGTATAAACCAACATATATGGTATTCGTGTTTCATTGGTCAGTGAGTATCCTCACGTCAATTATGTGTAACTTTTCTCTCAATACCGATTGCCATATCTCTCTTGCTTTTGGATGCGATCGTTCGGCCACTGCGTTTTTCTGCATAGCCCAGCTGCCTCACTAGACACTCCCCTCTAAAAAAAATGTCCTATATACGACGTCATCAAGTTGCGAGTGCATGTTTGAATCTGCAAAAATGACGTCATGATAGAACAATGTTTTATCGTGAAATTAACCCCACTTCGTGCTTCATTGTTCTTTAAGTTTTATTGCATAGCTATCTTATATATGTTGTGATAACCCTGATACCTGAGTCCAAGTTGTGACCACACAACCACAGGCCAGTATATATGGTGCACTCACTTTTATGCCCATAGCAACATATGTTTCAACAGTATCAGTTCATGAGAGATAATCATCTCTCTTTTGGTGTTTAAAAAAGATCAAATTCTGATAATCTAGTTCAGTGCATCTTTGACTGGTAACGTCAGTAGTGCAAGATTCCGAGTTTAACCTGAGATAAACTACGATAGTGACCAGAGCAGGTGCGAGACAGTCCTGGCCCATCCTGTACAGTTTGTGAACACTAGTTTGTATTTATTCAGGATGGTCGCCTGAGACATGATGAGATACAGAACGTATGGCGAGATTACCCAGAATCCCTCCACAGTTGGATGCTGCGATTGACGGAGGAGTTTGACCTGACGTTCCAGCTGGCATCAGAAGAGGTCAACCTTGTGCCCTGCTTGCTGCCAGAGAGACAGCCCGAGGTACAACACACGTTCATTGTCATTCATTCCATAGAAAAACACATGTTATACGTACCGTAATTGTTATTCATTCAACACGTTATACGTACCGTAATTGTTATTCATTCAACACGTTATACGTAATTGTCATTCATTCCATTGTACAACAGACGTTGTACGTAATTGTCATTCATATGCTAGAAAAACATGTTATATATAATTGTCATTCATTCCATAGAAAAACACTCGTTATGCTTAATTGTTATTCATTTCATTGTACAACACACATTAGACGTAATTGTCATTCATACAATAGAAAAACATGTCATACGTAATTGTCATTCATACCATAGTACAACACACATGATACATAGTTTTCATTCATACCCTTGTACAACACTCGTTATACGTAATTGTCATTCATACCATTGTACAGCACACATTAGACGTAATTGTCATTCATACCATAGTACAACACGTTATACGTAATTGTCATTCATACCATAGTACAACACACATTATACATAATTTTCATTCATACCCTTGTACAACACACGATATACGTAATTGTCATTCATACCATAGTACAACACACATTATACGTAATTGTCATTCATACAATTGTACAACACACTATAAGAAATTGGCATTCATACCATAGAAAAACACACGTTATATGTAATTTTCATTCATACCATTGTACAACACACATTTTACGTAATTGTCATTCATACCATTGTAACACGTATTATTCATAATTGTCATTCATACCATAGTACAACACACGTTATACGTAATTGTCATTCATACAATAGTACAACACACACTATACATAATTTTCATTCATACCCTTGTACAACACACGTTATACGTAATTGTCATTAATTCCATTGTACAACACATGTTATACGTAATTGTCATTCATACCATTGTACAACACACGTTATACGTAATTGTCATTCATACCATGGTACAACACACGTTATGCGTAATTGTCATTCATACCATAGAAAAACACACGTTATACGTAATTGTCATTCATACCATAGAAAAACACACGTTATACGTGATTGTCATTCATACCCTTGTAGTCACTGTATCCTTTATTGTCATTCATACCCTTGTAGTCACTGTATCCTTTATTGTTATTCATACCATTGTGCAATGCATGTTATTCCTTCTTGCCATCTGTACATTACATGGTGCTGCTTGCTCTGTCAGTGCTACAACAATGTTGGCGTTTCAACATCAGGTGGCATGGTAAAACTGAAATACTGAACCTCAGTTACATTCAACTCTTGGACCCTGGTTCTAAAAACAAAGGGTCAGAAAACAGAGGTCATGTTAGTAAATGCTGATAAAATCACCTTACATCACATTACATTAATTGTTGTTAAGGCCTGACTTAATTATTTCTCCCCTGCATGCAATGTGGGGGATGCAGCTGGCATATTATATCGGTCTAATGGTACGCATCTTGTCTGGAGCAGAACTGTTCACTCTATTCACTTTTTTCATGAAACTTTGTATAAATATCATCCAGGTGGTGAACTGGTGTTCTTTACTATTTGGGGCTTGATCTTTTGCTTTGTCTTTTCATTTCCATGGAAATATATGGGACTTCAAGCATTAAACAAAAGTGATTGCAGTTTGTTTTGGTACTTTAGTTCTGTTATGTGATGCTGATTGAGTTCCTTTGTTTCTGGCCGACAGTTCAGCTGGCCGGAGATTGAGAAGAATGGATCCAGTCGTGAAACCAAGATGGTGTACCGCTTTGACTACCTGCCTGCTGGACTCTTCAACAGGGGCCAGGTCTGGAGGACATCATTCCATCCATTAAAACTATTACCATGTTTATAACATCTACTTTCTGACAGGCATGTCAACCAGCTCGGTTCCCTCATTAAGCTGACTCACTGACTTTATGTTTAAGACCTCCCTAGCAACCCATGCTTGTCTACTTGTGGGGATTCTTGGTTAAATAGCTCCCTAGCAACCAATGCTGGTCTACTTGTGGGGATTCTAGGTTAAATAGTTCCCTAGCAACCCATGCTTGTCTACTTGTGGGAATTCTTGGTTAGATAGCTCCCTAGCAACCAATGCTTGTCTACTTGTGGGGATTCTTGGTTAAATAACTCCCTAGCAACCAATGCTTGTCTACTTTTGGGGATTCAAGATTAAATAACTCCCTAGCAACCCATGGTTGTCTACTATGAGGATTTGAGGTTAAATAGCTCCCTAGCAAACCATGGTTGTCTGCTATTAGGATTTGAGGTTAAATCGCTCCCTAGCAACCCATGCTTGTCTGCTATTAGGATTTGAGGTTAAATCCCTCCCTAGCAACCAATGCTTGTCTACTATGAGGATTTGAGGTTAAATAGTTCCCTAGCAAACCATGTTTGTCTACTTGTGGGGATTCGAGGATAAATAACTCCCTAGCAACCCATGCTTGTCTGCTATTAGGATTTGAGGTTAAATCGCTCCCTAGCAACCCATGCTTGTCTACTATGAGGATTTGAGGTTAAATAGTTCCCTAGCAAACCATGTTTGTCTACTTGTGGGGATTCGAGGATAAATAACTCCCTAGCAACCCATGCTTGTCTGCTATGAGGATTTGAGGTTAAATAGTTCCCTAGCAAACCATGCTTGTCTACTAGTGGGGATTCAAGATTAAATAACTCCCTAGCAACCCATGCTTGGGTACTTGTGGGCATTCAAGGTTAAATAGCTCCTAGCAAACCATGCTTGTCTACGATGGGGATTCTAGGTTAAATAGCTCCCTAGCAACCTATGCTTGTCTACGATGGGGATTCCAGGTTAAATAGCTCCCTAGCAACCTAAACAGGTCACTATCATATAGGTGGAATACTGCTGAGTGCGACACTAAAAAACAAAAACACTTATTTCCAGGTCCGTCTGCACCAATTCAGTGACAGTGCCATGATATGGAAGAGGGGCTCATTCCTCCGGAAGAACAAGCATATATGTCTCATACAGCAGACCAGGTAACCATGGTAACAAGCATATATGTCGAATACAGCAGATCAGGTAACCATGGTAGTAAGCATATATGTCGAATACAGCAGACCAGGTATCCATGGTAGCAAGCATATATGTCTCATACAGCAGACCAGGTAACCATGGTAGCAAGCATATATGTCGCATACAGCAGACCAGGTATCCATGGTAGCAAGCATATGTCGCATACAGCAGAACAGGTAACCATGGACAAAAGAATATATGGCTCATAACAGTACAGATGAATCTAGCAATCAGAAAAATACAATCTATGTTCATGTGACGATCCACTTTGGTATGTAATAATGGTTTTAGCCTGTCACATAGTCTTGTTGAACCGGATAACAGATTTTACTTACCTGTTCAGTAAATTTTGTCAGATTGATCTCAGACTATTAAAGTGAACAGGCAAGTTCTTATTGATTTTCTCTCTGGTTTGCAGGGAGTCGGAGCTGATTGTCCGAGCCCAGGGTCCGCGGCCCGAGAACATCGTGTTCCTTGTCCACGAGGTGTTCGAGACGCTCATCATGGAGTCCTTCAAGGGCGTGACCTACGACTACCTCCTGCCCTGCCCCGACTGTCTGAAGCTGGTGAGGAGAAGGCAGTGTTTAGTTGTGTCAGCGGAGGCCACACCCACAGCAGTCCCACCACACCTAATCTGTTGGCTGATTGGTAGTGCCAGAATCACCCACTGTATAACTGTCTCTGTCGGCACCAGAGACGTAGATGTCTACAACCTGTGTTACTTGGACTGGGTCACCCACAATGATCGGACACACTGGGTTATTGTTTATGTAGTGTTAATAGCAGTGTTCACCCTGACTCCACATACGCGTCCACCTGGAGAGAGGTTCGATCCCTGGCCGTGTCATATCAAAAGACGGTACCTCTTGTTACCCTGCCTGGCGCTCGGCATTAAGGGGCAAAACAAGGACTGGTCGGCTCGGAGTCAGTATACTGTGTCTGTGTGGGGTATTCTTGTTAAACTGCGGCATGGTATCTCAGTGGGTTAACACTATAAAATCGGCATTAGTCCGGACTAGTACAAGCAGCCACACACATCAAACATGCACATTGCAATATAAGTGCAACAATCTTGAATGCAATGTTGAATCCCTTTTCACCTCACCTCACCTCACCTCACCTCACCTCACCTCACCTCACCTCACCTCACCTCACCTCACCTCACCTCACCTCACCTCACCTGTGGTGTGATAAATACCTATAAACCAAACACTAGGTTTATATTTTCATATTAACTCACGTGTATTTTCTTTTTCTTTTGATGTCCATACGTTGTGTATGTTTACGCCCTGGTCCATTGCTGTAGATGTCTCTGCAATGATGAACACTGCTATCTCTGTACAGGTGTTGAAGGATCCCCACATGTTCGCAGCATCCACCATCAGACGGGCGACAGAGCTGCGGGCGCCATTCCTGCAGTGCCTCAAGTACTTCCACACCATCTCCCTCGTGGAACTTCAGGGTAGGTCGACATCCTGCCTCACCTTGTGATCTCTTCCCTGGTGATACTGTTCACTTTTAGACCTAAAGCAAATGTGTGGTGATATAACTGAAATACTGTTGGCATTAAACTAAACTCACTAAGTCCAGGATCGTGGTGAGGACAAAAGGTCAAGGTTAAGATTGTAGAGATGCAAACCTTTACATTTCTGGCAGAATCATGTATGTTTTACAACTTATTGAACATAAAGCTCTCTACATTGAGTTACTGCCTCCTTCACCTTAGAAACTTAGGACATTGATATTTAGCTGGAGAGTTTGAATTTTAAAAACTTTTTCCTTCAATTTTTGGTTGGCATCACTGCATATGTGAAGGGAAATGTAAAACTGTTGCATTAGTTAATATTTGAGGCAAGGGCGTTAACTGCCTATAAAACACTCACCGAACTAGGCTTGAATTTCCAGGCCCTCAGTGGCTATCACAAGTTATGTCCCTTCTATGTCCCTCCTATTGACCAATAAGATTCAATCTCTCATATCACTTGCATTTGCTTTAAACAAATTCCAGCTGATTTCGGCAAGAGTGGAAACTGGACTATTATAGTCAGTTAACACCCTTGCCTCAAAAAGATGGCACCTCCATGACTATTGCTGATGTTGCAGGAATGATGCCGCCTGACTCCCACGCCGCCTATGACATCCACCTGGTGCAGGCTGTGCAGGGGCTGAAGGAGCTGTCCAAGGACTTGGTGGCAGGTTGGTCGCTGAACACTCTACGGAGTTGGCTCTTGGGAATATAAGTCCTGTTCTGTTAATCTCCCCATGGTGATTCCAGGGTAGAATATGTCCCCGGTACCCCATGCTTGTTGGCTGAAGCAATCAGATGTTTACAATGTGGATCTTGGTGATTTTTGTTCAGTATATCAACCACTTGTTTGCCTAATTCAACTGCATGCCTTATCTACAACTACACTTGGTACAGCTGGACTGGTGCTGACAGTTGTGTAAAACAACATTCAGACACTAACTGATGATGATGATGATGATGATGAAGATGATGATGATGATGATGATGATTGCTAAACATGGCATAAAACCAAACTAGAAACTCTCAAGAGTCTCACTAGCTGCTGTGAGTCAGTTTGCTCGCTAACGTAACTGAGCATAACAAGAGACTGGAATACCGTCTGTAAGGACAGCTAAATAAACTTTGAGGCAATATCTATATGCATTCCTTACACTGATTGGTTACCCGACATCTATAAAGATTTCAGTGTTACAAAGGGCGCCCTGATTCTTATACAGTTATATGTAGTTTAATATAAAAAGTATCCCTGCTGTGAAAGCCTTTTCAGATTGCATGGATAATACGATTTCTACTGCCTCTTTATCCTGTGTATTTTTCGTCATTCACTTGAGGCTCAGTTTATGAATTTATTGCAGGTATTAGTGGTAGCACCACTCAAGCAAGTGACTCTCAAAACTTCATCATCATTACCGATCTTACCCCAAAGATACCTACATTTTGTTATTATTTCCAAGACAAAACTGTATCTCATTTTGTTGATCAGTGTGTCAATACTCCCTTATACTGTCAGTAAAAACAACAAATGCGCGTAGGGTTGGCACAGCACAGGTGGCGAAATAGTCAAGATTTCTGGGATATCATCCAGGTTTCCATGGGAAAAAAAGTCAATAACAAAGGCAGTCTTGGTGAATTGTCAGAGATCAGTGCCCCTCTCAGCTACCCAGTGTGGTCATCCATTCATTTACTCTCCATGACCCGCGCATACCTCGCATCACCATTATCGCCTCCCAACATCTTGGTCACACCCACTTGCACGCTAGTTGACCTACATGCATGGATCATGTGGTTTCCCAGCCAACTCATACTCTTTCAAATCGCTACATGATGGTGACATGTTTGTTTGGGGTTTTTTTCTGCAATTTTTGCCAAATTATAACCACTGGTTTGAGCGAGGCATTAAACACACAAACAAACAAAGAGGTAACCCCAGAGAAGACCTTCCAGAACATGTCCTCTCTCCACAGATATCTTTGTGTCCTACTGCGAGAAGAATGCACCTGAGGATCGGACCAATAAGATCATCATCCACCCCTCTACTGTGTGCAGCGACCTGCAGAAGGCGAATTATAAATGGTAAGTTGTGCCACAAGTTCTGTGAGACCCCTCTACTGTGTGCAGCGACCTGCAGAAGGCGGATTATAAATGGTAAGTTGTGCCACAAGTTCTGTGAGACCCCTCGACTGTGTGCAGCGACCTGCAGAAGGCGGATTATAAATGGTAAGTTGTGCCACAAGTTCTGTGAGACCCCTCTACTGTGTGCAGCGACCTGGAGAAGGCCGATTATAAATGGTAAGTTGTGCCACAAGTTCTGTGAGACCCCTCTACTGTGTGCAGCGACCTGCAGAAGACCGATTATAAATGGTAAGTTGTGCCACAAGTTCTGAGACCCCTCTACTGTGTGCAGCGACCTGCAGAAGACCGATTATAAATGGTAAGTTGTGCCACAAGTTCTGTGAGACCCCTCTACTGTATTGCAGCGACCTGCAGAAGGCAGATTATAAATGGTAAGTTGTGCCACAAGTTCTGTGAGACCCCTCGACTGTGTGCAGCGACCTGCAGAAGGCGGATTATAAATGGTAAGTTGTGCCACAAGTTCTGTGAGACCCCTCTACTGTGTGCAGCGACCTGGAGAAGGCAGATTATAAATGGTAAGTTGTGTCACAAGTTCTTCGAGACCCCTCTACTGTGTGCAGCGACCTGCAGAAGGCAGATTATAAATGGTAAGTTGTGTCACAAGTTCTGTGAGACCCCTCTACTGTGTGCAGCGATCTGGAGAAGGCCGATTATAAATGGTAAGTTGTGTCACAAGTTCTGTGAGACCTCTCTACTGTGTGCAGCGACCTGGAGAAGGCGGATTATAAATGGTAAGTTGTGTCACAAGTTCTGTGAGACCCCTCTACTGTGTGCAGCGATCTGGAGAAGGCCGATTATAAATGGTAAGTTTTGTCACAAGTTCTGTGAGACCTCTCTACTGTGTGCAGTGACCTGGAGAAGGCGGATTATAAATGGTAAGTTGTGTCACAAGTTCTGTGAGACCCCTCTACTGTGTGCAGCGATCTGGAGAAGGCCGATTATAAATGGTAAGTTTTGTCACAAGTTCTGTGAGACCTCTCTACTGTGTGCAGCGACCTGGAGAAGGCGGATTATAAATGGTAAGTTGTGTCACAAGTTCTGTGAGACCCCTCTACTGTGTGCAGCGACCTGGAGAAGGCAGATTATAAATGGTAAGTTGTGTCACAAGTTCTGTGAGACCCCTCTACTGTGTGCAGCGACCTGGAGAAGGCGGATTATAAATGGTAAGTTGTGTCACAAGTTCTTCGGGACCCCTCTACTGTGTGCAGCGATCTGGAGAAGGCGGATTATAAATGGTAAGTTGTGTCACAAGTTCTGTGAGAGCCCTCTACTGTGTGCAGCGACCTGCAGAAGGCGGATTATACATGGTAAGTTGTGTCACAAGTTCTGTGAGAGCCCTCTACTGTGTGCAGCGACCTGCAGAAGGCGGATTATACATGGTAAGTTGTGTCACAAGTTCTGTGAGAGCCCTCTACTGTGTGCAGCGACCTGCAGAAGGCGGATTATAAATGGTAAGTTGTGTCACAAGTTCTGTGAGACCCCTCTACTGTGTGCAGCGACCTGGAGAAGGCAGATTATAAATGGTAAGTTGTGTCACAAGTTCTGTGAGACCCCTCTACTGTGTGCAGCGATCTGGAGAAGGCCGATTATAAATGGTAAGTTTTGTCACAAGTTCTGTGAGACCTCTCTACTGTGTGCAGCGACCTGGAGAAGGCGGATTATAAATGGTAAGTTGTGTCACAAGTTCTGTGAGACCCCTCTACTGTGTGCAGCGACCTGGAGAAGGCAGATTATAAATGGTAAGTTGTGTCACAAGTTCTGTGAGACCCCTCTACTGTGTGCAGCGACCTGGAGAAGGCAGATTATAAATGGTAAGTTGTGTCACAAGTTCTGTGAGACCCCTCTACTGTGTGCAGCGACCTGGAGAAGGCGGATTATAAATGGTAAGTTGTGTCACAAGTTCTTCGGGACCCCTCTACTGTGTGCAGCGATCTGGAGAAGGCGGATTATAAATGGTAAGTTGTGTCACAAGTTCTGTGAGAGCCCTCTACTGTGTGCAGCGACCTGCAGAAGGCAGATTATACATGGTAAGTTGTGTCACAAGTTCTGTGAGAGCCCTCTACTGTGTGCAGCGACCTGCAGAAGGCAGATTATACATGGTAAGTTGTGTCACAAGTTCTGTGAGAGCCCTCTACTGTGTGCAGCGACCTGCAGAAGGCGGATTATACATGGTAAGTTGTGTCACAAGTTCTGTGAGACCCCTCTACTGTGTGCAGCGACCTGGAGAAGGCAGATTATACATGGTAAGTTGTGTCACAAGTTCTGTGAGAGCCCTCTACTGTGTGCAGCGACCTGGAGAAGGCAGATTATACATGGTAAGTTGTGTCACAAGTTCTGTGAGAGCCCTCTACTGTGTGCAGCGATCTGGAGAAGGCAGATTATACATGGCAAGTTGTGTCACAAGTTCTGTGAGACCCCTCTACTGTGTGCAGCGACCTGGAGAAGGCAGATTATACATGGTAAGTTGTGTCACAAGTTCTGTGAGAGCCCTCTACTGTGTGCAGCGACCTGGAGAAGGCAGATTATACATGGTAAGTTGTGTCACAAGTTCTGTGAGAGCCCTCTACTGTGTGCAGCGACCTGCAGAAGGCAGATTATACATGGTAAGTTGTGTCACAAGTTCTGTGAGAGCCCTCTACTGTGTGCAGCGACCTGCAGAAGGCAGATTATACATGGTAAGTTGTGTCACAAGTTCTGTGAGACCCCTCTACTGTGTGCAGCGACCTGCAGAAGGCAGATTATACATGGTAAGTTGTGTCACAAGTTCTGTGAGAGCCCTCTACTGTGTGCAGCGACCTGCAGAAGGCGGATTATAAATGGTAAGTTGTGTCACAAGTTCTGTGAGACCTCTCTACTGTGTGCAGCGACCTGGAGAAGGCAGATTATACATGGTAAGTTGTGTCACAAGTTCTGTGAGAGCCCTCTACTGTGTGCAGCGACCTGCAGAAGGCGGATTATAAATGGTAAGTTGTGTCACAAGTTCTGTGAGAGCCCTCTACTGTGTGCAGCGACCTGCAGAAGGCAGATTATACATGGTAAGTTGTGTCACAAGTTCTGTGAGACCTCTCTACTGTGTGCAGCGAGGACCTTATTCAGAATAAAAGTGACGAATCCAGTGATTGACATTTTATCGCAAACTCCTATACTGCTATGTAGTTTTAATTCTTTTCTGATATGGTACTTAGATTTCACAATGGCTTACATCATTAACAATAACAAACTACTTCATAACAATGATTAACCATGAGTCAAATTCTAAAATTGAAATTCTGAAAGACGTCAAGGTCAAAGACTTTTGTTTCTGTTCGAAGTTTAGTAAGGTTTCAACAAAATGAACAAGTCTTACAATATCACGTTCATTTATCATTGGTTACTTAACCAAAGCTGATGTCAGTGTCATTACTTGAAGATGTTTGTGTAGACTAAAGTTCAAAATATCTGGATTCTTCATCAAAATTTCTTTTAAATCTGAAAATGTTGACAGGGAAAGAAATGTGGCGTAATCTGCCCTTTTCTGACCCAAAATGTGAAATTCTGTGACCAAGTAAGTGTTTCTCCCTGTCATGGCTGACTGCCTCTGGTACTAATGCCTCTCACAGCAGCAGGTGGAAGGTGCTCAGTGGTGACCGCCATCAGTCATGTTCTGATATGGAAGTTGGGATCGTCTAAGCTCTACAGTTGCTTATTGGAACATGGCCCTGGCCCTCCTGCTCAAAGCCATCATAGAACTATTAGGAGCCCTGGTGTATGTGAGATATAGTAGGTGTAGAGCTACACGTTCTGTGGGCCCTGCTGTGTGGGAGCTACATTATAGATATAAACTCCACACGAGGTCTTGACGGAGAATGTAAGTCCGGGGAGGAGGGAAATAGGGGAGGGCAGAAGGCCCAAACCAATATCTAGACTTCCCGGTCTTACATTCTCCGTCAAGACTGAGGGAGGAGTTTATGTCCTACTTATAAACCGTCTAAATGCAAGAAATACCAGGAAAAATAAGAAAATATTGACATACCTTAAGTGAAACAATACAGTGTATCGCGGTATAAAAGGAATTCAAAGTGTGTGATAATCTGAACAAATTCTCATTACCTGCCCCAGTAGCTCAGTGGGAAAACAGTGGGTTACAAAATATAATATAAAGTTATAAAGTAGGTGTATAGGAGATATAGTAGGGGTAGAGCTTCGCAGTCTGTAGGGACTGATGTACTTTATTTGCCGTCCTTCACAGCTGGTACCAGGAAGACGCCCACACATACACCACGGATGAGATGGTCAAGGCATTGATGGACTCTGGGGTCATTCTCGTCTTCATCTCTAACGAGTATGTCAATGATGAGAGTTGCTGTAACCTGTTCAAATACGCCCGGCTGACGCTGCGGAAACCCATCATCCTTGTCGTGGTGGGATCCGGCATGGAGTGGAAGTCCAGCAGACTTGGGATTCTGCTGGCTGATGAGGTGAGAGGGTGATAGTCTGATAGTTGTCCATGGGATCATGCGTTTACTGCTGGTGAAGGCGTAACCATTGATTAGCATTAAAAACATGCTACAGCTAGCATTCCATGAGTGAAGGACAGAACATAGGAGTTAGGCGATTTATTGCAAAAGGGATCCACCTTTTGATGTTCTGTGATTTTTTGTAGCTATTTTTCCATTATTGCTGTTTTGTTGACAATTATTCATTGGAAACAAATATTTTCACTGGACATGTTGATGTCCCGAAACTGCAGATGATGCTGAGTCTTGAATATCTAACTTAACTTTACCATGTGGGAGAGCCTGGTAATGCTAATCTTCCCTGATGCTTGTCTGCAGGTGTATGTGGGCATGTGGGAGTGTCTGGTAATGCTAATCTTCCCTGATCCCTGTCTGCATGTGTATGTAGGCATGTGGGAGTGTCTAGTTATGCTAATGTTCCCTGATCCTTGTCTGCAGGTGTATGTGGGCATGTGGGAGTGTCTAGTAATGCTAATCTTCCCTGATCCTTTTCTGCAGGTGTATGTGGGCATGTGGGAGTGTCTAGTAATGCTAATCTTCCCTGATCCTTGTCTGCAGGTGTATGTGGGCATGTGTCTAGTAATGCTAATCTTCCCTGATCCTTGTCTGCAGGTGTATGTGGGCATGTGGGAGTGTCTAGTAATGCTAATCTTCCCTGATCCTTGTCTGCAGGTGTATGTGGGCATGTGGGAGTGTCTAGTTATGCTAATCTTCCCTGATCCTTGTCTGCAGGTGTATGTGGGTATGTGGGAGTGTCTAGTAATGCTAATCTTCCCTATCCTTGTCTGCAGGGGTATGTGGGCATGTGGGAGTGTCTAGTTATGCTAATCTTCCCTATCCTTGTCTGCAGGTGTATGTGGGCATGTGGGAGTGTCTAGTAATGCTAATGTTCCCTGATCCTTGTCTGCAGGTGTATGTGGGCATGTGGGAGTGTTTCGTAATGCTAATGTTCCCTGATCCTTGTCTGCAGGTGTATGTGGGCATGTGGGAGTGTCTAGTAATGCTAATCTTCCCTATCCCTGTCTGCAGGTGTATGTGGGCATGTGGGAGTGTCTAGTAATGCTAATCTTCCCTGATCCTTGTCTGCAGGTGTATTTGGGCATGTGGGAGTGTCTAGTAATGCTAATCTTCCCTGATCCTTGTCTGCAGGTGTATGTGGGCATGTGGGAGTGTCTAGTAATGCTAATGTTCCCTGATCCTTGTCTGCAGGTGTATGTGGGCATGTGGGAGTGTCTAGTAATGCTAATCTTCCCTGATGCTTGTCTGCAGGTGTATGTGGGCATGTGGGAGTGTCTAGTAATGCAAATCTTCCCTGATCCTTGTCTGCAGGTGTATGTGGGCATGTGGGAGTGTCTAGTAATGCTAATCTTCCTCTATCCCTGTCTGCAGGTGTATGTTGGCATGTGGGAGTGTCTAGTAATGCTAATGTTCCCTGATCCTTGTCTGCAGGTGTATGTGGGTATGTGGGAGTGTCTAGTAATGCTAATGTTCCCTGATCCTTGTCTGCAGGTGTATGTGGGCATGTGGGAGTGTTTCGTAATGCTAATGTTCCCTGATCCTTGTCTGCAGGTGTATGTGGGCATGTGGGAGTGTCTAGTTATGCTAATCTTCCCTATCCTTGTCTGCAGGTGTATGTGGGCATGTGGGAGTGTCTAGTTATGCTAATCTTCCCTATCCCTGTCTGCTGGTGTATGTGGGCATGTGGGAGTGTCTAGTAATGCTAATCTTCCCTGATCCTTGTCTGCAGGTGTATGTGGGCATGTGGGAGTGTCTAGTTATGCCAATCTTCCCTATCCCTGTCTGCAGGTGTATGTGGGCATGTGGGAGTGTCTAGTAATGCTAATCTTCCCTATCCTTGTCTGCAGGTGTATGTGGGCATGTGGGAGTGTCTAGTAATGCTAATCTTCCCTGATCCTTGTCTGCAGGTGTATGTGGGCATGTGGGAGTGTCTAGTAATGCTAATCTTCCTCTATCCCCTGTCTGCAGGTGTATGTGGGCATGTGGGAGTGTCTAGTAATGCTAATCTTCCTCTATCCCCTGTCTGCAGGTGTATGTGGGCATGTGGGAGTGTCTAGTAATGCTAATGTTCCCTGATCCTTGTCTGCAGGTGTATGTGGGCATGTGGGAGTGTCTAGTAATGCTAATCTTCCCTGATCCTTTTCTGCAGGTGTATGTGGGCATGTGGGAGTGTCTAGTAATGCTAATCTTCCCTGATCCTTGTCTGCAGGTGTATGTGGGCATGTGTCTAGTAATGCTAATCTTCCCTGATCCTTGTCTGCAGGTGTATGTGGGCATGTGGGAGTGTCTAGTAATGCTAATCTTCCTCTATCCCCGGTCTGCAGGTGTATGTGGGCATGTGGGAGTATCTAGTAATTCTAATCTTCCCTGATCCTTGTCTGCAGGTGTATGTGGGCATGTGGGAGTGTCTAGTAATGCTAATCTTCCCTGATCCTTGTCTGCAGGTGTATGTGGGCATGTGGGAGTGTCTAGTAATGCTAATCTTCCCTGATCCTTGTCTGCAGGTGTATGTGGGCATGTGGGAGTGTCTAGTAATGCTAATCTTCCTCTATCCCCTGTCTGCAGGTGTATGTGGGCATGTGGGAGTGTCTAGTAATGCTAATCTTCCCTGATCCTTGTCTGCAGGTGTGTGTGGGCATGTGGGAGTGTCTAGTAATGCTAATCTTCCCTGATCCTTGTCTGCAGGTGTATGTGGGCATGTGGGAGTGTCTAGTAATGCTAATCTTCCCTGATCCTTGTCTGCAGGTGTATGTGGGCATGTGGGAGTGTCTAGTAATGCTAATCTTCCTCTATCCCCTGTCTGCAGGTGTATGTGGGCATGTGGGAGTGTCTAGTAATGCTAATCTTCCCTGATCCTTGTCTGCAGGTGTATGTGGGCATGTGGGAGTGTCTAGTAATGCTAATCTTCCCTGATCCTTGTCTGCAGGTGTATGTGGGCATGTGGGAGTGTCTAGTAATGCTAATCTTCCCTGATCCTTGTCTGCAGGTGTATGTGGGCATGTGGGAGTGTCTAGTAATGCTAATCTTCCCTGATCCTTGTCTGCAGGTGTATGTGGGCATGTGGGAGTGTCTAGTAATGCTAATCTTCCTCTATCCCCTGTCTGCAGGTGTATGTGGGCATGTGGGAGTGTCTAGTAATGCTAATCTTCCCTGATCCTTGTCTGCAGGTGTATGTGACCATGCAGAACCCCGAGAGGTACACATTCAAGTTCGACGAGTTGGTGAAGGTGTTGAAGGTCAGGGTCAAGAAGGAGACCGAGGACCAGGACTTCCCCCCATGTTTCATCAGCTACTGTTGGCAGAACTCGGCTGAGGCTGTTGCTAGGGGGACAAGGTGAGGAGTCCCTGTTCTCAGAATCTTTGTCTTACAGCTTTAGAATGATTCACGATCGCCACTGACCTTATGACAGTGTCGTCCTTCGAGGGGATTGTGGCCTGGAGGATAAAGGTGCCCAAACTCAGGCCTCTACTAACTGTATGGCACCTTGATTTGCATATATATAGAAACCTATGATTGTGGGTTTGAATCCCGGTTCGCCCTGATTATGTTTCTCGGTTTGTCAGCACCATACCCGTGCTCATGCGTTTCACCGAAGTGGTAAACATCTGAGACCTGCACTTCAAGCTTTCCTCCCACATTAAACTGACACGCCATGATATAACTGGAATACTGTTCAAAGCGGCCTTAAACCCATCTCACTCATTCACTCTCTCAATCATCAAAGAGGCATTTAAACCAAACTTACTACTTTCATCAAGGGTTGGGTTTGTCTGCCACATGTGTTCTCTATCATAGCTGGTGAGGGGTGGATGGGAGCTTTGGCACCGGTTGGTGGCCAAGTGTCTTCTAAAGCGCTGCAAATCACACAATCTCATTAAAATCAGGTGTTAGTTTTTGCTACCCCTAAACAAAGATCTGAGGACATGCCATGACTGGTCACATCAGACTGACCTTTCGCAAATCTTGAACAACCAATGTAATGACTGGCAGCTTTTTCGTGCTTTACCGCACTAGTTTTAAACTGGTGACAATGCTTTGAAACATATTTTGACAAATTTTCAATTATAAATTGGAAAACAGAACAAACGAACATTCTGGAATGGCTAATAGATGGTCTAGATTATATGGATTCGGTCATAAAGCCTGTAACTGTCGTTCAGAATACCCCGTGTTCAATGTTTCAAGGTTGCACAATCAGAAATCACATTCTGACTTACTTTCGTGATCTGGTAAGCAATACTCTGATTGGTCGGATGAAAGTTCATTCTGAAGAGATGTCCTCAGATCTTTGTTTAGCTGTCGCGAGAACTGAGATCTGATTTAAATGAGATTGCAATTCACAGAGTTGTTTCCCTCAGGCATGCCAGAAACCTTTGGTCATGGCTTTGAATCCCAAGTTCGCCCCTGATTATGTTTCTAGGTTTGTCAGCACCATAACCGTACTCATGGGTTTCCCCGAAATGGTAAACGTCTGTGACCTGCATCAATAAGAGCTTGCCTCCCACGTTAAGCTGACATGCTGTGACATATCTCAAATACTGTTCAAATCACCCTTAAACCAAACTTACCCACTTTTTATCACAGGGCTCTTATATCTGTGTTGAGGGAACTACATTAATAATTTCGGCCATGTTAAAGAAATGACTCTTAAAAGCCTTCCCACCAATGTCAACATCACATTTTGATTTGTGCAGATCCACACAAGGTGCTGTAGGATTTGGTGATCCACGCGCTATCAAGAAATACCTCGATGACCAAGGGATCCAGTGTTGGCTGGATGTGGAACGGGTTGGCCTGGTTAGTGGATCATCATCATCATCATCATCATCATCATCATCATCATCATCATCATCCATATCCATCGTCCCCAACTAGTATATCGTATTGCCTCATTACTACCTTCAAATGTTCACTATATTTGCTTAATGGTCCAACCAATTGATGTTCTGTAGGAGGGGAAGCTGGGATGTTTAAAAATAACAACTTTTCCCCCTAATGATGGAAAAAATGGGGAAGAGAATTTTCACTGGCCAGTTCCAATGTTTTGAAAAGTAATATGTCGTGATGCCCCCAAACCTCTTTGCCTCCTACTTTCAGAGAACATTTTCTGTATGTCTTAAAACACTGACAGAAAATATATTTGGCTCAAACAAAATTCCAGATCCCTCACCCCAGAATTATAAACAGTTGATCCCTAAGAATCAATAGCATCTACATGTCTGTTGTATTTCAGCATGGCCTCTTTGAGGATATCGCGGAGGGTCTGCTCAATGCTCGGGTTGTGATTGTGTGCGTCTCCGACCAGTACGCTGAATCAGCAAACTGCGCCATGGAGTTCCGCTACGCAGCCAACACTCTCAAGCTGCCTGTTGTCCTCGCTGTAGTGGGGACCGGAAACAACTGGAGAGCATCAGAGGTCAGTTGCCATGGCAACTTCTTGTTAGAAATAATGGATAGAGTATCTTTAAGGAAACTAAGCAACTGTGACCTGAATCTGTAAAGTCGTAATCACATTGTTATCAACAGTGAGGGATTAGTATGATGGCGGTAACGTTGTCATGTCATGAAATGAGAGATAAACTTTCTATTTGTCAAGAAAATACAAATGTGACCAATCATGAGATAAGGACCTTATGGGTGAAAAATCACGTTTTGACTTTTCATTATATTTTAAAACTACAGCATCTTCAGAACACAAAAATACAATTCACAATCTTCAATTTATATTTATTAGAGAGATACATGACATCACACATGGCGATCTGACGTCATGGCACAATTGTCCCTTTCCTCCTGGTGGGACACAAATATCCTCTACATCACAGTTTACATTATATATCTTGTTTGTGTTCTAGATTGGTGTCCTGTCTCTGAAATACCCCATTGTCAGCTTCCAAGAAAACAACCAGAATGCCTTTGACAAACTCCTTACTATTATCAAGGAGACACTGGCTTCGTCCACCATCGCTCTCACTCCGCAACAAACCAAAGACAAAACCAAGGAAGAGCAGAAGGATCTGTCTTATCAGGTGTGTAACCTTCGTCAATACTGCACAGGGTGGCATAAACTATGTATGCCACCGCCTGTGGATACGTAGGGTTATTTTGTGGTGATGTCACTGTTGTTAACCAGTGAATGAAGCACAGACCTGGTTAAAGGAGACCCAATCAGACCAATGAGCATTCAGCTTACATCTTGCACACAGTAATGTTGTGAAGGTATTCCCTTGACAATAAAGGCCTCAATGTCAGGCAGTGGTAGACTTTGCACAGTGTTCATGCATGGAGTCTGGCTCAGATGGCGTTCATGAGTTATGAATGGCTTCATTTCATTTCCGTCCTCAAACAAGAGACGTCCATGACTATGACACCACTTGGAGAGTTTTTACTTACAGGTGATGGAGAATTACATGTGTATTTGGTGCCCCAAATCCGTAATTGCCCAATACACAAATATTTGCTTAATTCCCAAGAATTGAGTACCCAAAAATGAGCAATTCTGCCATGAATTTGGAAAATACTCGATTTTGATTGGTCAGTCAGAGGTATCAAATCACAATAAACCCCCTCTGATTGAAACAGCCCATTTAACGGCCACTTCACCATGGAAGCTAATATTTTTACAACAGTATTTCTTTTACAGTCATTGATAGTAGGCGTATTTAAATAATTATATGTGCAATCATAGGCTACAAAATGCAAAGTTGCGGTTATTACCGCTTTCAAAGGACATGTGGCAATATATTTCGTGCAGAAAATGTGATAGAAATCTACAAAGAGAATGTATTTCAAGTTTTATGGACAACAGAGAGCTTGCTATTTGGCGCTTTTCTATATGCAACTGTGATGTTATATCTTCTGCGTCACATTGAGCGAGATGACGTCATAATAGTGACACACGATGCAGAAAGAAACCTTTTGAAGGATTGTTTATTTTTCTTTAGGGGTGCCCCCTGGACTCAATCCATGCCACTTAACTCAATATACATGCCAACACCAAAGAGTTAGTGTTTTGTTCAGTCATGGTAGAGTTTGTTTATTATGTGCCTTCTCCCGATGAGGATCTCGATAGATTGAATGAGTAATGACCAACTTGTGTGCCTTCTCCCGATGAGGATCTCGATAGATTGAATGAGTAATGACCAACTTGTGTGCCTTCTCCCGATGAGGATCTCGATTGATTGAATGAGTAATGACCAACTTGTGTGCCTTCTTCCGATGAGGATCTCGATAGATTGAATGAGTAATGACCAACTTGTGTGCCTTCTCCCGATGAGGATCTCGATAGATTGAATGAGTAATGACCAACTTGTGTTCCTTCTCCCAACCAGGAGCTCTGTGAGCTGGCACAGAGGAAGTTCCTGCGGCAGATTGTGCAGTATGCGGAGGAGCAGGACGTCACAGCGCCGTATCCCAGACTCTTCCTCATCGACTTTGTCAAGGAGGAACCATGTAAGTAGAGAATCAGTCAAGCTCTAGTTCCACTTCATCACTATCTGTCATGTGTAGAGCCGCACTGGGATTGTGGGTCAGAACTGGTCCCCTGCAACTTAAGCTTGTCGCAAATGCCCATTTAAATCATCGTTAAATTATTGTTTATAATATCCAGCTTTTGAATCCATGGACATCACCATTTTAGGTCATGTGACTAGCTATGCTACACTAACTCCTTACACACAATACAAACTCCATGCATCGCACACAACTTTCCACATTTAACACTTTTATAAACTTCCAACTTCATCTGTTCCTTCTGTTATTTGTCTTTACGCTAGGGTAGGTCTTTACGAAGGGTGTTACAATATATTTGATGAGAGGATATGGATGGCCCAGTCATCTAAGGCACCGCCATTCACATTTCAGAATTGTGGCCCTTACTTTCTGGGATCATGAGTTTGAATCCTGGTTCACCCTGCTTATGTGTCCTGGTTCGTCAGCATTATACCATGCTCACTGATTTCACTGAAGGAGTAAGCGTTGAAGGCCATGCAATTATAAACAATCTTGACGTGTTCTTTGTGGAGTGGTGTTGCACTCTGGGATATCCTCTTGATGACAGTGTTGTAATGATGATGATGTTATCTGTGGAGCCTGTGTGTTTCATCGGATCACAGGTTTTCGGACATCATACATTTTCAGACGACCATGGTTAGGCTAAAAAAACAACATATTCTTGGTTCTCAGGCACCGCCAGCATCATCATAAAGTTCACCGCATATTTCATTTTTATTTCCATTTTTAAAAAAAACACAAAAAATCCTTAAATATTCCAAGTCCAACAGTATTCCAGTATTTAACACATCAAGGAATACTTTTATGTAGGAAGGCCCCTTCCCGGGTTGAATGTACACAATTGTTTATTGATTACACAACTGTTTATTGGTTACATACTAGTTTGAACAACAACAACAAAAAAAGACACCGCCCTCCCGCACTATATTTTAAAAAACCATTGCCTGAGAACCAATTCTTATAATTTTTTAAGCCTTATCGCGATTACTCAAGCTATAACAAGGGATGTGGCGTCACACAGACATTGTAAATACTCAGATGATGACCTGTTTGTAAGATAAAGTCAGTGAGATGTTTTACAGTTGTTCTTGTGATTAACTAGAAAATAACAAAGGTTTCTTAAGCGTCTGAAACCCCATAACACAGGGATATATAATGTGTGTACTGCAGCTGCCAACCAGGAGACACCGCAGAAGGAGACGCCTGACAAGGAGACACCACGGACAGAGACACAGGCCTCTGGACATCATGGCAGCAAAGACTTCCTCAAACACCCTCTCTGTATCCACATACTCTGTGAGCATGATGAGGTACGTGATTGGGGGATTTGTTGAGTGTAGGATAAAACACATCTGAGGGTTTTAATGATATTTTGTTGTTTGTTTATTTGTTGTTTAATGCTGACTCAGTAATATTCCAGCTATATGACGGCGGTCTGTAAATAATCAAGTTTGGACCAGACAATCCAGTGATTGATATCATGAGTATTGATCTACGTAATTGGGATACGATGACATGCATCAACCAAATCAGAGAGTCTGACTACCCAATCCCGTTAGTCGCTACTTACGACATGCATAATCCCCTGTTACAGCAAGCATGGGTTGCTTACCCGTATCTTCACAGTCCCTTATGAGATTTAAAACTCTCATCTAATCATGCTAATGCTGTTATGATAGTGTAAAACAATATTCTTAATAAACATATTATCTTATTCTTGTAAGAATTGACAGATTTTCTCAAATAAGAATGATAATTTTGTGAGAAAGGTTTTTTTCATTTTGTATTGCTGACCCATCATAATATAACCTCTTGTCTCCACCACCCCCAGGGATGGCACAGTTGTGGGGAGCCCCTCCCCCTGGTGTTCAGCACCACCACCCTGGAGAAGTGTGTGCCCTACATCGCCAGGATCACTGGCATCGCTCAGTACAGCAAGAAACTGGTCCTCAACTGTCAGGCTACAGAAGCAGGACGCGAGTTTATCCGATGGGTGGAGGAGGTCAGTGTTGGTTCTGTACTTATAGCAATGTACTATTAGGCTTCAAAAAATAAAAGAATTGGTTCTCAGCAATCTCGGGCAATGGCTTTTGAAAATAAGGTGTGGGCGGGTTGTTGTTTTTTTTTCGCTTGTTCCAACTTATATGTAACCAAATAAACATTTGTGTACCATAAACCTAGGAAAGGGCCTCCCTACATAAACAAGCATACAAACTCCTATTGCCGCTATGACCATAACACGAGATGTGCAGTAAAGCAGTGCACATGTAAAGGGAAGTAATTAGGATTTATTAGTAGTAATAGGATTTTGGTATTTGGGGGGGGGGGGAATGGAAATAAAAACGAAAAGTGCGGCAGACTTTTTGATGATGCAGGCGATGCCTGAGAACCAAGACTATTAATTTTTTTAGCCTTACATGTTCAAAAGTATAGGGTTAATATGAAAGCTACAACAAAGTAGAAGGTTATGATGGAATCCTCTTCACAGTACCTAGATGTGGTGGAGTAGCCCCGTGGATGAAGTATTAGCCTGTCTCAGTTTAGGTCCTGGTTTGATTCCCCGCGTGGGTACAGTGAAGCCCATCTTTATAAAGTAGATCCCTAGTAACATTTCTCTAAATATGGATAGCTGAAATGTTGCCTGAATGTGGCATTGTGGGTATAATGTTGAGAAGGCTATACGGATGCTCCAAGTCTTTGTTCCAAGATGTCTGTGTTCTTCAGAGCCCCCTGGTGGTGGACTGCTCGGACTTCGGCCAGATCTATCAGGACATCAGACAAGAAGTGATCCAAGCAGACCCAGACAGAGTCATGGGCAAACTGGCAAGGTAAGTTCTGGGAAAACATGGCTTGTTGCTTCCACCCTTCAGTGATGAATCTTAAAGTAACGAAGTTGGGAGGTCACTCTGAGAATGTCCTCTGTGGTTAAAAAATATAAATGATTTTGTATATTTTATGGCTAGTTTTACTGTTCAATGCACGACGCCATGCCCCATGCTTTATTTGTTTATAGTTTTAGAAAGTTACATGGGAATGAATAATAGTTGAAAAGATGAAAACAAACTTTCAAAAGAAACTTTATGTTTGTCTCACAGATGTATAATGATATGCATAAATGCATAAAAAATTATGAAAATATTTTAAAACATTCTTGACTGTAAATTATTACATGAAACATGTTTATGTTATTCGGCAACAATCATAAGAGGGAGACACTCTGTCCTAGACTGCTTTACCTGCCCTAGAGCGCTTGCACTCCTCGCCTGCAGCCACTAGGAGGCAAGGGCAGGCTACATCAGTTGAGATGTTTTCACTATACTTGTCCTTTAATGTGTACAATGTGTGTCTCCCTGCAGGTGCCACCTGCCCAATGGGAAGACAGTTTGGCTGTGTGAAGAACATCGCAACCAGATGCGAGTGACGGTGCTGAGCGACGAGGCGGCAGTGACCTCCCACGTGCCAGGTGACCTGGGCAGGGTGGACTACATGCTGGAGGCAATGAAGGGGCTGGACATGAGGCAGGTGCCTGATGGGATACGCAGCCTCGTGGTGGAGAAGCCAAGAAGGCCCACACAGACTGAAGGAAGCAATGGTAAATAGTCCACTCGTACAATGTTCAGGTTATAGGGTTACCTACTTAGGGACAACAGACCATTTTTTCCCTTAGCATGGGATTTTTGTATGAGACAGAGTAAATTTTGTGTCAGCAAATCAAGACATTTAATTTATTTTATTGAAGTGCCAGACAATTAGTTTTCATAACATCCAACATGTCCAACGAATAATTTTTGCCATCATTTTCCCGTAAAAAATAGTTTTTTCAAAATCATCCAAGCCACCCCAACCTTCTGTTTGTATGTTTTTCTTACAACAAATGTTCATTCATCATTTTCTCAAAAAGCCAAAAACCCTATTTCAGAAAGAATTTGTATGACCGATAATGGCCATTAGTTTCAAATGCACTCACAATCAAGAAAGTTTTCACAATACTTTCTTCATTGTGAAGCAAACAGCAGGTACCGGTACTCTTATTTTCATCTGATCGTATTTTCATTGGACCATGATGTTATTTAGTTTGCACCCTAAGCTTTCTCTGAAATATGAGCTATATTGTCATTGGACTATTATATTTACATGTTCACTATGGTTGTATATGATCTTCACTTCAGGACCAGAGGTTCCTGGTAGCAGAGATCAGGTTGATGGTGCTGGAGAAGACCAGAAGAAGCCCGAGGAAAGACCATCAAGTGATGGATCAAACACATCCCAGACATCAAGTCAGCGTTCAGCTCTTAGCCAGCTCTCACAGTCCAATATGTCTCCTGCACTCAGGTCTCTGAAACCACGGGGGTCAGGTGGACGCCCTCGCATCGGGAACAAGACGAAGAGTAGAGCCTGTACAGTCATGTGACGAGGTCATGTGACAAGGGTCAGGTGGACGTCCTCGCATCGGAAACAAGACGAAGAGTAGAGCCTGCACAGTCATGTGACGAGGTCATGTGACAAGGGTCAGGTGGACGTCCTTGCATCGGAAACAAGACGAAGAGTAGGGCCTGCACTGTCATGTGACAAGGGTCGGGTGGACATCCTCGCATCAGAAATAAGACTATGGGTAGAGCCTGCACTGTCATGTGACAAGGTCATGTTACAAGGGTCAGGTGGATTGGTCTGACTAGCCTTTGTCATGGGACCTGTGATTGCATGAAATTTTTAACCTTTTCTCCAACTACTTCTGTAAAATCTGTCCACTACATTTATCCATGGACCCTTTTGTATTGGAGCAACAGAGGTAAAAGATTTTGGACTTGAGTACCTGGGGAATGAAAGTAGAGTTATGCGCAAGTACTCTCATTTTGATGAGAATGGTCATTGAGAGAAAAACATACATGCAAATGTATTTATCTATTTGCAAATCAATTAGCACACTAACCTTTAGAAATTGTTTTACTTTAGATCAAAGTTCCATATGTGGTTAAACATTTGATAAAATTATTTACCATTAATGTTTATACAATACTGTTAAAACCATGAGTGTTTTCACAATATGCCTATATAGGAAAATGTGATAGCCCACTTTAATAATAATAAATTCAAATCATCTTTATTTTGAAAATACCAATCTTTAAAAAAAGGTTTAGTGTCTGTATTCAGACCAGTGGACATATTTAATGTATTTATGATAGGGCAAATATTTCCCATCACAGTTCCTGTTGATTGTGGATCAAGTTTGAGTGATGTGAAACAAAAAGACACATATCACCAACATGTCAAGATAATGGGCCTTACATTTGGATCTCTCCATTGCTCACTCACAACACGACATTTTGCATGAAACAAGTTGCTTCATTATCATATCATAACTGACTCCATATCACACGACTCCATGTGATTAAATTACCGTTCCCATCGCAATGACAGAAATCCTTCATCAGTATTTTATTCATGGAAGGTAACTGATATCAAGATATTTGATATGAAACTTAATTCTGTGAATATATTGTTTACTTTCCTGGCAAACCAGGCAACATCTGTGATACTACATGTCCGAGTTCATGTGTACATCTGTGATCCTTCTTGTATATATACTCAGTCTACACAAGCTAAGCACAATCATTTGCGTAACCTTAGAAACAGTCATGTAGATTCTTCATTATTTGGAAGTATACCTATACCATGATAGATATTTATACTTTTCCTGACAAAAAATATATTTATATGATGTATATGTTTATGTTATATTTATTATTATATTCATCATTAACCTGATCATACTCTCTATGTCCTAGGAGATATTGCTACGGTTAAATTTCATCACAATCACAGGCCACTGTGATGTCATTGGTTACCATGGCATCAGAATCAAATGACATCACTAATCACTCTGCCACTGAAGCTGGTCAGCTGTACTTTTGACACTCAAGACACTGGTTATTACTGTTTACGAACTAAAAATGTTGATTTCGGATAATAGATACGATATCACTCTTATGTCTTCAATTTTCTGTTTAGACATTACCCGATAGGTGATATACTCTGTTTAACATGTCATCTGATATTATTAGATTTTTGTACCTGCCCACTTCACTAACACCCCACCAAATCTCACCTAATTGTATTTTCCTCAAGTTCCTATCGAGATAAAAACGATTGCTGTGAAGTTCTTATCGTATTAAACTCGCTTGAACAAATACACTGTACATGTGTTCCTACTGTCATTGTATAGAGGTGCCTTGAACTGAATCAATTTAACAATCTGTTTAAAGTTGACTAGCACATTTACAAATATCTTTGTTTGACCAGTATGTATAACATTTTACAACTTTTATTCTTTTCTCAGATGATAAATTTAAAAATAGAAACTTATCCGTCATGTATGGGGTGAAAGTGCCCCGCCTATGAAAGGATTTGATATGAACATCTCATCTTCCCGAGGTAAAGGAGTTAACTGACTGTAAAAGTCCAGTTTCCACCCTTGCCTGACTAGGATGGAATTATAGAGTTATATATTGGCTGGACTTACGAGTCTATGCATAGTCCAATCAAAATCACGCAACGAAAATCGACATGCTGTTCGTATACTGTCATGCAACTTTCAGTTGATTGCAGGATTTGCAAAACGTGTGTGCCGCCAACTTAGCGTCAACAGATATTTCCAATCTTTTCATGCTTCTAATGAAGGTGCTCACCTTACTTGATCATCGATGAATCGATCGAGGGCCAGTTGTTGACACCCATCTGGGGCCAATTGTTGTGACATCCCATCTGGGGCCAATTGTTGTGACATCCGATCGAGGGCCAGTTGTTGTGACATCCGATCTGGGGCCGGTTGTTGTGATATCCCATCTGGGGCCAATTGTTGTGATATCCCATCTGGGGCCAAGTTTGGTGACATCCGATCGAGGGCCTGTTGTTGTGACATCCCATCTGGGGCCAATTGTTGTGATATCCCATCTGGGGCCAAGTTTTGTGACATCCGATCGAGGGCCTGTTGTTGTGACATCCGATCAAGGGCCTGTTGTTGTGACATCCCATCGAGGGCCTGTTGTTGTGATATCCCATCTGGGGCCAAGTTTTGTGACATCAGATCGAGGGCCTGTTGTTGTGACGTCCCATCGAGGGCCGGTTGTTGTGACATCCGATCGAGGGCCTGTTGTTGTGACATCCCATCTGGGGCCAAGTTTTGTGACATCCGATCGAGGGCCTGTTGTTGTGACATCCGATCGAGGGCCGGTTGTTGTGACATCCGATCGAGGGCCTGTTGTTGTGACATCCCATCTGGGGCCAATTGTTGTGATATCCCATCTGGGGCCAAGTTTTGTGACATCCGATCGAGGGCCTGTTGTTGTGACATCCGATCGAGGGCCTGTTGTTGTGACATCCAATCGAGGGCCTGTTGTTGTGATATCCCATCTGGGGCCAAGTTTTGTGACATCCGATCGAGGGCCTGTTGTTGTGACGTCCCATCGAGGGCCGGTTGTTGTGACATCCGATCGAGGGCCTGTTGTTGTGACATCCCATCTGGGGCCAAGTTTTGTGACATCCGATCGAGGGCCTGTTGTTGTGACATCCGATCGAGGGCCGGTTGTTATGACATCCGATCGGAGCTGGTTGTTGTGACATCCGATCGAGGGCCTGTTGTTGTGATATCCGATCGAGGGCCGGTTGTTGTGACATCCGATCGAGGGCCTGTTGTTGTGACATCCGATCGAGGGCCGGTTGTTGTGACATCCGATCGAGGGCCGGTTGTTGTGACATCCGATCGAGGGCCGGTTGTTGTGACATCCGATCGTGGGCCTGTTGTTGTGATATCCCATCTGGGGCCAAGTTTTCTGACATCCGATCGAGGGCCTGTTGTTGTGACATCCGATCGAGGGCCGGTTGTTGTGACATCCGATCGAGGGCCGGTTGTTGTGACATCCGATCGAGGGCCTGTTGTTGTTATATCCCATCTTGGGCCAAGTTTTGTGACATCTGATCGAGGGCCTGTTGTTGTGACATCCGATCGAGGGCCGCCGGTTGTTATATCCCATCTTGGGCCAAGTTTTGTGACATCCGATCGAGGGCCTGTTGTTGTGACATCCGATCGAGGGCCGCCGGTTGTTGTGACATCCCATCGAGGGCCTGTTGTTGTGACATCCGATCGAGGGCCGGTTGTTGTGACATCCGATCGAGGGCCGGTTGTTGTGACATCCGATCGAGGGCCGGTTGTTGTGACATCCGATCGAGGGCCTGTTGTTGTGACATCCGATCGAGGGCCGGTTGTTGTGATATCCGATCGAGGGACTGTTGTTGTGACATCCGATCGAGGGACTGTTGTTGTGATATCCCATCTGGGGCCAAGTTTTGTGACATCCGATCGAGGGCCGGTTGTTGTGACATCCCATCGAGGGCCTGTTGTTGTGATATCCGATCGAGGGCCTGTTGTTGTGACATCCCATCTGGGGCCAAGTTTTGTGACATCTGATCGAGGGCTGGTTGTTGTGACATCCCATCGAGGGCGGGTTGTTGTGACATCCCATCTGGGGCCAGTTCTTGTGACATCCCATCTGGGGCCAGTTGTTGGGACATCTGATCGAGGGCCAGTCTGGGCATGCTGGGGGATGTTTCACTGTAACCTCAGCCTAATGCAATGTTCACAACGTGTGACAGCATACAACTCCCTCAAATATCAGAGGACAACAGGCACAGAAGCTCACCTTCATTAGAAACCATGTCCTCAGGAAACATGAAACATTCAAAATAATCACCATACGGCTTCCTTACCAGGTTGATATTAAGCTGTTAATAATGTGATGTTGTCATATGAGACAAGTATGTTCAAGTGTTATTCAGATGTGGCTTGTGTTCACCAAATATCCCTCTATGTGTTTTAGATGCTTATAAACCTCCAGCGACATCATCCTATTGTTCTCCAGTCGGGTTAGATCTCATACACAGGGATGTTGTAATGTCCCGGGATTTTGTTAATTCAACTTCCATTTAGATTGTAACATAAATGTTTCTCGCTTGATATTTATTTTGCATTTATACACAATGTACTGAAATGTAAAATCAAATGACAAATGTTTTCTTTACATTCCTATGGATCAAACACAACCTTCGTATCTGTAGTCCATTGAGTGTTCTCACTAGGCTACATAGGCGCTGATAAACAACAAGCTTTTAAAAATGTCTTTTTCAAATACCGTACGCCTTTATCCTGTGGATGCAGGTTTAAAATATCATAAAAACCCTCAGATGTGCTTTACCCTATACATAAATACCCATGAATGATCTTATGTCAGTGAACTACCATCAGGTGTGTGACTGTTTGTATTCACATAATGTACAATTGCAAATATATTTAAAATGAGAAAGACAAAAATGTGTCCGTGTCAAAATCTCATCTTGTCACATGATTATGAAAGTTGCTTTATTCAACTCCCTTTGGTGAAGATCTCGGAGATTGTTGTGTATTTGTCTATCTGGCTCTTCATTCTAGCAGCTAGCATTCCTGTGATATTCACTGTATTATTATTCTTAGCAGCATAAAGCATGTCAATATTTGTCAAAGTTTGTTTTTAATTTTTGATTGAACATGGTATGTCTCCATGTATGAAAAATATATTTTTAACAGCGCCTTGAAGTCCATTATTTATAGATGACTTTTCACCACAATAAATGGAAGATGTTTTTTTAAAGTTTGTTATATATGTTGTCTATATTTCTGCAATACATGTGCGGTTGTTTCATATCATGTGATTATATATAATATTGATATTTATTGATTTTTATTTTCTTGAAGTCAACTGTAGTCTTGTAGGCTGGACGTCACTTCTAGCAGCATGATTAGGTTTTGTATTGTTGCCATGCAAATGATGTGCGACACTTTGATATGTGTCGAGACTCACCATGATAAATCCTCGAATAAACTTCATGATTATATTTATTTTGGAAGGTTCTTTGACCCAGTGTTTATCCAAGGGAGCAGTTGTTTTGTATTAGTATATTTTTCAATATTGAGTCATTATTCCTCCTCAATGTCTGTTTGTTGCGTTGGCTGACCTAGTGTTATTTCTACAATGTACCGTAGGTTACAAAAGGCAGACTTCACTTGAGTAGCATAGCATGAAACACCAGTGTGGAAGAAGTGTTCATTTCCAGAACAGAAGTCATAAACCATTCCATATTTTACATACAACTTCATATATCAGGCAGCTGCTGAACTGGTGCCTTTTGCTATTCAGTAATTTAAAGTTTTTAGTTTTTTAAGTTTCCCGTGCAGGAATTTCAACAGAAGGTAGGGTTCATGTCAAGTGACAAACTTAAAGACTTTTCAGTATTTCTCTTAAACATTCTAATTATTTCATACCTTCACATTGTTGGTTTTGTTTCAAGAGTATCATTCTCAAATCTTTCAGTATTGTTTTATCAGGAGGATTTGAAACATCAACCTATAGTGCGTTTTGTGTCTACATCAAACTAGTAGGGTGCCTAGTACTATGATAGGTGTCAAGGTAATGTCAACCAGTTCAATTCACCGTTGATTTCCATCAATACATGAAGAGTAGATTGCAGTCAAAAATAAAAGGGACCTTTTCAAGTATTTGTTTACTTTGCTCAAAACCTTTTTCAACATCATAATTACTATATACTATAATATAGTATACTGATGCCTATGGTTTGGCCGGTGCATGTTTCAGCCACCCTCTGACACGCCCCTACTCTGTCACTGTCCCAGTTGGGGCATAGACCTCACTTCATAACCTGCCAGTATAGATGCCAATAGGTTTTGATGCTCTGCATCACTAGTCTTTATTATGTAATATTTCGGATTAATTTATTTTATTATTTCCCCTTGCAAAATGTCATGAGCATGCATAGTCATGTTGGTACATAATAACTTGAAATAAAATTCAGTTTTAACAATCACAAAGTTGTGTAATTAATTGAGGAGTCGCATCCATGCAACATGTGCAAGTGCCTTGGGCATATTAATTACTCATATAATATTCTGGTCAATTTTGGGTGTTAATGGCCCAGTCAGGCATGGTTCCAACAGTCAAGACTTGCCGAAGACCCTGCATTCCAACTGCTAGGCTGGAACAGACGACTCACACACGAAGCAAGCACATCCATCACTGGAGGCATAGGCTCTGTTTGATCCACAAAGGGCGTTAATGACCAGAGGTTTCTGCTTGAGGGTGGCACAAGCAGTAGTGAAGGCACATTGTAATTCATTGTAATTCTACCATGACTCTAAATGGGATTCGTTGACAACTACTGTAACTGGAAGGAAATATATCCTTCGGAGGCTACAGTTCAGTTCACTGCTGATTATTTGCTGTGTGTACAATACAAGGAAGTTGTGGGCAGGTACTGTGGACATATTTGCATTTTTTGTTTATTTGTTGTTTAACGCCTTCTCAGCAATGTTCCAGCTATATGACGGCGGTCTGTATTCCTAACAAATGCCCGCTACACCCTGTAAAATTTGTCTGTTTGTTTGTTGTTTAACGCTGCACTCAGCATTATTCCAGCTATATGCAGCGGTCTGTAAATGGAGCCTGGACCAGACAACCCAGTGATTGATGAGCATTGATCCATGTAATTGGGATAAGGTGACATGTATCAACCAAGACAGCAAGCCTGACCACCTGATCGCCGTAAGTCGCCTCTTATAACAAGCATAGTCGCCTCTTATGACAAGTATGGGTTGATGAATGACCCATTCTAATATGGATCTTCACAGGTTGGTATATTTATGGCATCTATCAACTCTTTACTGGGAGCATATAGACTGAATAAGATTAACACTCAGTCCTCACCTTGAGGATTAGAAACGCTGCTTAGACCTGCATAGGATCTGGGTGTGGTTTTAAAACATTTAATCACTGATCCCTATGAGCCACTAATAGCAGCACCGATATGGTTTCTTACTCAGCAAACCATGCATTGGTGAGGTTGACGGGTTAGATGTGATCCAGGTGTATTTGACAGAGGGCCTCATGGGAAGGTGCATGTGGGTCTCATGTGGGATTTCATTGCCAAGAATCAGCAACTCGGACAAGAGAACTTCCATTCCACTCTGCCATTTTTGTCTCTGGTCTTGGGTCAGGGAGATAAAGATAAATTTAACTTTGTGCCCAGTCCGGACTTTGAGGGTTACAAGACTTCAAAGGAAACGGTTCTTTCCACCATTGGTGCTTGGACGCAAAAATGAGGTCTTCAAGAACATTCATGGCATTTTGGTATGTAGACATGCAGGATTGGATCCACCTCAGGCTCACAATGTGCACGAGATAAGAGCGTTGGCGTCCACCATGGCCTCACATTCCATTTGTTCTGTTGTAGACGTCATCAGGGAATTGTTTTGGTGGACAGATAGTATATTTAAAGAATTACTATCTACAGGATTTGTCAGTAGAAGATGTGGAAGGCATTCATCAGTTCGGACCGCTTGTGTTTGTGAAATAATTGACATCTTGATGTTCTGATCCTCAAGGCATCAAGTATTGTATGCCACTCAGGTACTTGAAGATGAAGCATGACGTTGCATGTTAGAGCAAGGATATGACAGTGAGAGAGTTAAATATAACACCGAATCTGCATTATTTCAGCCTTATAGCAACAGGATGTGACAGGTGATGCGTGATCAGTGAAGATGGAGCACTAATGAAGCCGAAGTGTCATCCATTAAGGAATCCAGTCCAGGCTACAGACATTAGCATCGCAAATTACAGACGACGCAAACTGTGGGATATGTTTGTAGAGGTTTTATCAGGATAAGAAATAATTTCGTTATAATCGTTATTCATCGTTATAACTATTGTTTACTGTAATATGATAAATCTTCTAATTTATATAATTCCACAGTACAAAAGAAAAGGAACAAGACATCCATGACCTTTCATTCACCTTAATTTTAAAGTAGTATCACAATATATTGTACATTTTCTTGTTCACGTGAAGGCATTACAATTTGTTCATCAGAATTATTTTTGAAAAATTGAGGATGCAGAGGGAAAACATGAGCTGTTTCTGAACAAAAAATATACTTTAGCTTGTGAGGCTAAAAACAATAATAGCCTTGGTTCTCAGGCACCGCCCACATCATCAGAAAGTCTGTCACACTTTTCGTTTTTATTTCCATTTTCCCCCCAAAATACAAAAATACTAATACTACTAATAAATCCTAATTACTTCCCTTTACTGCGCATCTCGTGTTATGGTCATGGCGGTAATAGAAGTTTGTATGCTTGTTTATGTTGGGAGACCCTTTGCCAGGTTGATGATACACAACTGTTTATTTGGTTACATATAAGTTTGAACAAGCAAAAATAACAAAAAAACACCACCCGCACTCAGTATATTTTGAAAAGTCATTGCCTGAGAACCAATGCTTTTATTGTTTTAAGCCTAATATTGACATACATATTATCATATATTCATATTTACATATAAAAGACACACATGTATCAAGCTAGCTTTCATTCAGTTTCTCCGCGATAAAATGTCACATTCTTGTCAGTTTCATGAACTTTCACTTCATAAAGTAGGTTGTCAGGGAGACGTGATTTCAGCTGATCCCAGATATAGACTGCGATGTTCTCTGCAGAACTGAAACATACAACAAGTAGACATGTTGCTCTCCCACCAAATACAAGGTTTATGTAATAACTTCCCCTGTCATGATCAATGATATAATGCACATTAACAGACATTATTCAACGGTTTACCTGACACATCAATGTCAGTCAGAGCTTCATATACGCACCTCACAACATCCTTGAAGTATGGGACATCTTTGTCCAGATGCTTGTGATCTACGATGGCCATGACACCTTCCTGTAATTAACATCAGTCAGAACATATTTTTGAGAAAGTTCTATAAACTGCATGCATTTATCCACTACGCACAGGGAGACTTAATTCATAAGGAGGGTGTTGTCACATAGGCATGACAAAAACATTATCAAAACAAAAAATGGACCTACTTAACAAAACAGAAACAATAATGCTCCATTAATCACGATTTTGTAGCTTGTGACACTGATCTATGTAGCCAGCTGACCATGTACCCGTACATACTTACTGCCATATATTTTTTAAGATCAACAAGATTGAAAACCATTCCTGTCACTGGGTCAACCTGAAAAGGAAATAGATATACAGTAAACCATATATGTGGTCAAATGACTTTTGTCTTCTGGTTTGGTTACAAGGCTGGTTTTTTGAGAAGCTTCAAACATCCTTATAAGAATTATATATAACAAGTATTTGTCACAAAGTGATGAAATGTCCCCCGCCTGTATATATACCATAGTACCAAATATGAAGACAATCCAGCGATTAGTTCTTAAGATACTGCGGCAACACCGTTTTCCAACTCCAAAAGCATATTTGCCTGCTGTGACCTTGAAAATGGGGTCAAGGTCACCAAAACCGACTGGTGTCTGCGGTGTCTGTATATACACCATAGTATCAAATATGAAGACAATCCAGCGATTAGTTCTTGAGATATTGTGGCAACACCGTTTTCCAACTCCAAAAGCAGATTTGCCTGCTGTGACCTTGAAAATGGGGTCATGGTCACCAAAACCGACTGGTGTCTGCGGAGTCTGTATATTCACCATAGTTCCAAATATGAAAACAATCCAGTGTTTAGTTCTTGAGATATTGCAGCAACACCGTTTTCCAACTCCAAAAGCAGATTTGCCTGTTGTGACCTTGAAAATGGGGTCAAGGTCACCAAAACCGACTGGTGTCTGCGGAGTCTGTATATACACCATAGTTCCAAATATGAAGACAATCCAGCGTTTAGTTCTTGAGATATCGCGGCAACAAACAGGTGGGATGTACGGACGGACGGTCGTGAATACTATATCCCCCGCTCCGCGCTTTCGCGCGGCGGGGGACCACTAGTGAGTGAGTTGAGTGACTGACCGCCACTTTTAGCAGTATTCCAGTTATATCACAGCGTGTCAGCTTAATGTGGTAGGAAAGCCCAAAATGATTCAGGTCTCAGTCGTCTACCACTCTGTTGAATCCCACGAACACGGGTATGGTGCTAAAAGACCAAGAAACAACCAGGGTGAACCAGGGGTTTAAACCAATGATCATTGGTTTCGGGTATGCCCAAGGGACGCAACTCTGCACAGCGAATTGGGGTGCCCGAGACAACAGTCCACCCGTACCCTCAGATACATAATTTAAACATGTGTTTGTTGTTGAACACCACACTCAGCAATATTGCAGGGGTATGACAGATGCCTGTAAATAATCAAGTCTGGACCAGACAATCCAGTGAGTGGAACATACTTATACGTCCTGTTGTTTCTGAGAATCATGGCATGTACATCCAGAAAAGGGTGTACTATTGAGAGGAAAAGTGCGATCCATGGTGCTTTTATTTTGTTAGATTGATATTTCCGAATTGAGGTGGTAAAGAAATGAGGCTGAATTATTTTAGAAAGCTGACATCTGATTGGCTTAGATTTAGCAGCCAAAGTTTGCTTAGAGTAACCTGACGTGACCTGCATTCTCTTCAGATCTTTACATAGAGAGGTATTGTATAAGAGCAAAATATATAATAATAATAAGATTGAATACGCTAGAACATTTCTATTAATTTACACATATCTCATATTCACTGAAATAAATACCCTGGGTGCTTAGAAAATTCACAAAGGAGGACACTTACTAAACATGCTAAAATCAAATGCAAGTTTAGAGCGGTAGAAAACAGACTTCGTTCAAATGTTGCTGAAACTAAAATTTCTTTACAAAAGTTACAAGGCAATCAAATAACAGCTTTCTACACTGTAAAAAGATCTGAACTATACACAAGACAATGTAGATAGTCTTGTAAATCTTTGGGACATGAGCACCTGTACAGATTACCTACAGATTGGTTTAGAAGTTGGTTAGGGGCGTACTGGAGCAGAGCGTTCAATATGACGAATACGGTACACGAATAGCCAAGCATGCCTTGACCATGGACGACAGCTGTATGATATACTCACCACCAAAAGAAACGCAAACCATAGAAACATAAACAGGAGTATTTTATGTTAAGAATGTACAATGTGTACCACTTAACGACAAAACTAACAATCAGTCAAGTGTTACTACGTAATATCTTTATTCTTAATACGATATGCTACACAGGATTTCCAAACTTTACAAGTTAATTCTGCACAAAACAAATGGTGAATCTCGACTCATGGGTGATGCGTTCATGAGCGTCGATTCGCTCAATGTACTTGTATATTCGTGTGTGCTTCGAACAATTTAATATCTCATGATTGTGAGTAATTCTTCATATTTTAACCAACATGTATGGTATTTGCGTTTCTTTTGTTGGTGAGTATATATATTAGCTTCATGACATTGATATGACAATGGTTGAGAATGTTACTTACTGGTCCACGTAGTACCACTTCAACTGAAACAGACATGTGTTAGATGTACATACATATCAACTTAACATATTCACTCTCCTCCATTGAGGACACGTTGCAATTTCGAGGGGTTGGGAAAATAATAACAACAAAATGAATTTAAACCATCCATTATCAATCCAATCCAATCATACACTCATATTTAAACACAAATCATGAAACTATACTATTATATGCTAAATTAGCATTGCTAATTTATCATAATACTCACAAATTCTAACAGACTTCAGTGCACATGGTGTCAGTGGAATTAATGTTATTTTCATGCCAATTGCACTTGGCTTTGACTGATGTTATTGAGTTTCACTGCATATAACATAAGTATTGATTGTATACAGTTACACATATAACATACTGGCTTTTTAATTTTTAATTAAAATGCCAATTATCACTTGATTAACATGATAGCAACCTGTCTCTGTCATTAAAGGTCTTCCTACTGACATCACATGTAACCATGGTAACCACATTGATAACCTTGAACAGAATAACTAAGAGTTTTATGATCCAGTGTAATAACTTTCCGTACTTACTTTCAGATATTTTGTTTCTAAACCAGTTACCATATGGCATTACTTAAAATCTGTCTAAACCGCCACACTTCAACCAATCAGGAGCATCACATCCAATCAGATCTGTTAATACAGGACTATATTTACAGTCCCAAACTTACAAGGTTTATTTAGCATCAAGGAACATCTGTCCAATCAAGACTTCCTTCTCTTTGGGGGACAAAGGACCAACTTATTGAGATATTGATGCACTCTAATCAAGATTAATTTTCCATACATCCAATAAACCATTCTCAACAATACTGATTACAGATATATATTAAATCATGAGTTACAAAAAACAGATTACAAGTTTTATCAATGGTTTCAAGGATACTTCTTTCAATTTCTTTGTAATCATTGTTGATACTATGGATACTGGGAACTGATTCTTGTATAATTGCATCTACTGTCTTTGATTTATATTAACGCTTAGTCTCTGAAAATATATAATTTGGACAGAAGCAAACAGGTACATATAAATTGAGAAGGAGTTCGAGTGAGATGGGAGATTCCTGAACCTCAGTCAGAGGAAAAGGTAGACTTGTTTGGACAGGACGCTCTATCATGTGGACAGGACACTCTATCTATCATGTGGACAGGACACTCTAACATGTGAACAGGACTCTCTATCTATCATGTGGACAGGACTCTCTATCTATCATGTGGACAGGACTCTCTATCTATCATGTGGACAGGACTCTCTATCTATCATGTGGACAGGACTCTCTATCTATCATGTGGACAGGGCTCTCTATCTATCATGTGGACAGGACACTCTATCTATCATGTGGACAGGATGCTCTATCTATCATGTGGACAGGACACTCTATCATGTGGACAGGACACTCTAACATGTGGACAGGACTCTCTATCTATCATGTGGACAGGACTCTCTATCTATCATGTGGACAGGATGCTCTATCTATCATGTGGACAGGACGCTCTATCATGTGGACAGGACACTCTAACATGTGGACAGGACTCTCTATCTATCATGTGGACAGGACTCTCTATCTATCATGTGGACAGGACTCTCTATCTATCATGTGGACAGGACTCTCTATCTATCATATGGACAGGACACTCTATCTATCATGTGGACAGGACTCTCTATCTATCATGTGGACAGGACGCTCTATCTAACATATGGACAGGACTCTCTATCTATCATATGGACAGGACTCTCTATCTATCATATGGACAGGACTCTCTATCTATCATGTGGACAGGACGCTCTATCTAACATATGGACAGGACTCTCTATCGATCATATGGACAGGGCACTCTATCTAACATATGGACAGGACACTCTATCTATCATGTTGACAGGACTCTCTATCTATCATATGGACAGGACTCTCTATCTATCATGTGGACAGGACGCTCTATCTATCATATGGACAGGACTCTCTATCTATCATGTGGACAGGACGCTCTATCTAACATATGGACAGGACTCTCTATCTATCATATGGACAGGGCACTCTATCTAACATATGGACAGGACTCTCTATCTATCATGTGGACAGGACGCTCTATCTAACATATGGACAGGACTCTCTATCGATCATATGGACAGGGCACTCTATCTAACATATGGACAGGACTCTCTATCTATCATGTGGACAGGACTCTCTATCTATCATGTGGACAGGACACTCTATCTATCATGTGGACAGGACACTCTATCATGTGGACAGGACGCTCTATCATGTGGACAGGGCACTCTATCATGTGGACAGGACACTCTATCATGTGGACAGGGCACTCTATCATGTGGACAGGACACTCTATCTATCATGTGGACAGGGCACTCTATCATGTGGACAGGACTCTCTATCTATCATGTGGACAGGACACTCTATCATGTGGACAGGACTCTCTATCTATCATGTGGACAGGACGCTCTATCTAACATATGGACAGGACTCTCTATCTATCATGTGGACAGGGCACTCTATCTAACATATGGACAGGACACTCTATCTATCATGTGGACAGGACTCTCTATCTATCATGTGGACAGGACGCTCTATTTATCATGTGGACAGGACTCTCTATCTATCATATGGACAGGACACTCTATCTATCATGTGGACAGGGCACTCTATCATGTGGACAGGACTCTCTATCTATCATGTGGACAGGACTCTCTATCTATCATGTGGACAGGACGCTCTATTTATCATGTGGACAGGACTCTCTATCTATCATATGGACAGGACTCTCTATCTATCATGTGGACAGGGCACTCTATCATGTGGACAAGACACTCTATCTATCATGTGGACAGGACACTCTATCTATCATGTGGAAAGGACTCTCTAACATATGGACAGGGCACTCTATCTAACATATGGACAGGACGCTCTATCTATCATGTGGACAGGACGCTCTATCTATCATGTGGAAAGGACTCTCTATCTATCATGTGGACAGGACTCTCTTTCTATCATGTGGACAGGACACTCTATCTATCATGTGGACAGGACACTCTATCTATCATGTGGACAGGACGCTCTAACATATGGACAGGGCACTCTATCTATCATGTGGACAGGACTCTCTATCTATCATGTGGACAGGACTCTCTATCTATCATGTGGACAGGACACTCTATCATGTGGACAGGACACTCTATCTATCATGTGGACAGGACACTCTATCTATCATGTGGACAGGGCACTCTATCATGTGGACAGGACACTCTATCTATCATGTGGAAAGGACTCTCTAACATATGGACAGGGCACTCTATCTAACATATGGACAGGACACTCTATCTATCATGTGGACAGGACACTCTATCTATCATGTGGAAAGGACACTCTATCTATCATGAGGACAGGACACTCTATCTATCATGTGGACCGGACCCTCTATCTATCATGTGGACAGGACACTCTAACATGTGAACAGGACACTCTATCTATCATGTGGACAGGGCACTCTATCATGTGGACAGGACAATCTAACATGTGGACAGGATGATCTATCATGTGGACAGGACGCTCTAACATGTGGACAGGACACTCTATCTATCATGTGGACAGGACACTCTAACATGTGGACAGGACAATCTAACATGTGGACAGGATGATCTATCATGTGGACAGGACGCTCTAACATGTGGACAGGACACTCTATCTATCATGTGGACAGGGCACTCTATCATGTGGACAGGACAATCTAACATGTGGACAGGATGATCTATCATGTGGACAGGACGCTCTAACATGTGGACAGGACACTCTATCTATCATGTGGACAGGGCACTCTATCATGTGGACAGGACAATCTAACATGTGGACAGGACGCTCTAACATGTGGACAGGACACTCTATCTATCATGTGGACAGGACACTCTATCTATCATGTGGACAGGATGATCTATCATGTGGACAGGACGCTCTATCTATCATGTGGACAGGACACTCTATCTATCATGTGGACAGGACGCTCTAACATGTGGACAGGACGCTCTAACATGTGGACAGGACACTCTAACATGTGGACAGGACACTCTATCTATCATGTGGACAGGACACTCTATCATGTGGACAGCACACTCTATATGGTGGACAGGATGCTCTATCATGTGGACAGCACACACAAGTTACCTTTGTAATTGTGTCCGTGGCCATTTGGGTTGTTGCATTTACCGAACACCTTGGCATTCTCTTCATCTGTTAATTTGTTACTGAAAGGTGAGGGTGATAATACTCACATTGTGTAATATCTGGTCATATGAACATTACTGTCATTATACAAATGTGTATGTCATAAACATTTACAGGGCAGGACAATTACGCCCCCAGGCCAAAACAAAGGAGGCCCAGTTCGAAGAAAACATGCGGGAGTGAGTATGGTTTTTAATGTCGCTTTTAGCGATATATACCAGGAGATTTGTTTCTGTGGAACAATATACCCGGGGAGAATATTCTCCAAAGCAGAAATGTTGTCATCATCATTTGCGTAATGCTTGCCAGACATTTCTTTCTTTTTTGGAAGAGATGGAAATCTGATGGTGCCATGGCAATAACAAACTTATGAACAGGTTCATTGTTCTGGTTGAACAACACCAGTGAGTTTTCCAAGGCATTTAGCCTTAATATTCTCATGCAGTAGCCAAAGCAGATTAGAATAATATTGGCCATTAATGGTCTGACATTTTTTGGGAGGCACAAGGCTCGATTTAGCTAAATAAAACAAGCACCAATGCAATCTATTATTGAAAAATGCAATCTAATAATTATTCATGACAAAATCTTTCAAATTTGTCCACACATGAAGTGTCTGTCTTTGAACACATTCAATATGTCTCAGTTTTATTTACAATACTACATCATTAACCCCTTTGTTTTGTGTAATTTATCATGCTTTTCTGGGCTTGACATAATCAAACTGTCGGTACTTCAAGTTTATGTGCACAGGTTTCAATATTGATAAATTTATGGGACCATGGTGCATTGGTTTTATCTGGTGAAACTAGATTTTCATGCCAACATGCACCTTGTGCAAGTTAAATTAAGTTCTATAAAATGAGCCCTGAGGTAGTCCATCAGTAGGTGTCCTTTGGAATCCCAGAAAACCAAAACAATCGCCTTGCAGGTGATAGAACAGACTGTGCCTTCTCCAGAGGAGGAGACCGAAGATGTTTACACTGCTTTAGCCGTTGTTAAGTCTCATCTTGGTCTGCTTCAAAATGATATAAATTCTAAGGAAAATTTATGACACTTGAATGTTTCTGATCAGCAGTCAGAAGCCTTTGAACCAGGTATGCCGAAACCTTTGTCATGAATGGTTCATTCCTATGAATGTCCCCAATTTTCTGATGAGAGATGCCTACTTTTTTTAATATGAGTTGTGTGATGAGTCGTGGGTCAACTATAATCATGACATGTATTTTATCAACATATTCCTTATTGCCGGCAGTTGAAGGTCTTAGATCTTAGATCACAATCGAGGTTCTTTCTTTCCCTCCTAAAATCCGCTGTCCTCCTCCTAGCATTGGCAAAGGAAGGACTATCACCCCCAAATCTTCACACCATATCTTCTTCTGGGTGGCAGTTGGAGCCCTATCAGTTAGTCACTTTGATGCCTTCAGACATGCTTCAGTCTTGCTTGACAACGGTATAATGATCTATACCAAATCGCCGCCTGTACAGCATTAAAGATGTTGTTATCCATAGATTGTGTCTACCCAGCTAACACACAACGTTGTCACAACGTTGTGGAAAGGTTGAGGATTGGTAACGTCGTGAAATAACGTTGTCACAACGTTATTATAACGTCAACGTGCAACGTTATTTCACAACGTTATAACAACGTTGCACATTTACGTTATGAAAACGTTGTGCATCGGACATCACACAACGTTTTGTAACTACGTTTCTGAAACGTCGGTGAAACGTTATAGAGTTTGCTTCTCGATAGTCATAAAGGAATAGAACTGCTTTATCAAAATCAACATGAATTTGTCAGAATACCAAGGCAGTAATGCATTACCTGTCTGTATATTCGGCATTTGAATTTTCATCTCTTAATACTAAAATTTCAAGAACGTAATTTCGTATCTCTATGACAACGTTAGTATTACGTTACATTAAAACGTTATTCCACAACGTAACAATAACGTTGCAAATTAACGTTGTGATAACGTTGTGCTTTGGACATTACAACACTTTTTGTAAATGATGTTAAGGAAACCACTTATAGATCTACCATCTCTTAGTTTTATTTTTTTTAAACATATATATCTATTAATGAAGTTATCTGTCTATTAAATGTTGTCACAAGCAATATTACAGTTAAAAACAATTAGCGCGCATTTTTTGCGGCATGAGAGGGACTGCTGAAAAGTTTAGCCTGTTGCCTCGTGAAGTGACGTCACATTTTCGCGAAAGATTTGTTGTCACCAGCCATCTTAGTTCAAGCTCACTCCGGACATATTATAACTAAGTGATTGTGCAGCAACTGGAACTGGACAGAGGATCTGTTAATTCGGATGAGGTAAGTTAATTTTTCAAAAGCAGTCTCCGCTTGTTGATATGTTTCTGTACATACAGATAGTTAAATGATTTAAATGTATCGTATTATTCAGAAGTGGCGGGGTTTAGAATGCAGTTTGCCGGTCACTTTCACTGAGACTCTGTATTTGATACACAGAACATGAAGTATATAAAGAGGTGAAGGAGGCCGAAGATTTTTTTCCATATTATTTTATGGATACCAAGGGTAATAACAAAGGGCAAGCAGTATATGTTTGACCAGAATTCAGTCTGGCGGCGTTTTGTGGCCGTCATATTATGTTCGGGTTTCGATCGTAAACGTGTAGGTCTGTAAATAGGCCTAACTTATGCATCGCCTACTGACCACTGACAGTTATCGCCATTTCTTCCGTGTTATTTCTGAAATCATTACTATGTAAAGTTTACATGTACTAATCTTCTGACTTTGATTTTTGTGAAACAATGTGGCTCATTCAGGCCATGGGAAAGGTTAAGTAGATTTCTCTTATACAGCGAAGAGAGGGGATCAAAACAATGGAAGTATTTTCAGATCGACTCTCTGCGGGCTTTAAGTTATAGCCTTAGTCTTAATGCGCTCAATGATGTTATGAAAAATTGTATTTTCCGGAAGAGACAGAAACATACTTCTTGTTTCCGAAAAGGCCTAATTAGCACTGACTGAAGTAGCCTAAATGTGGACCATCAGGTTGTTGGTGCTGTCTATAAAGTTTAGTTTAGCAAGGCGCTTATCATGGTGTATTTTTATTATTTCCAAAAAGGAATCAATCCATCATTTTCCGACAACTAGATCTATGTCCGACTTCCTTCTAATGAAAACGAGCAAAAGTAAAACGAGTCTCTCGTCGCGCGCTATAACGGGGTGTTTGCGGTATTGTCATATTGGTGATGAAAAGCTAGTCGACAGTCAAAAAATAAATATCACCATATATTGTCAGTGAGTTGGTCATCATTTATTGATTATTAAGGTGAGATAGGTGTAGCCAATGTGCACCAATGAAAAATACAATGGAATTGATAGCAACCATATTCGTTCGGTTTTCGATCTCCATATGTTGCCACGTAGGCTACCATATTAGGCCTACAGAATTATATTTAACGATATTGAACTGTATTATGTTAATAAACGTAGTAACAAATAAATTTCAATAAATATTTACAGAGCTGTTTCAACTTCGTCTGGTATTGTAGAAGCTATTGCATTTTGTTAATTTTCCCATGTTTCTATCTTTGTAAATATTAGAACATAGATTCTATATAAATATCCTGTTACATCATACTCTAAGTAAATGTGATTTATCTATACAGTACTGGTTTATTTAAAAATGTGATACTTTGTGGTTTCTGTTTTTCTTTCAGGTGGAGAAAACAGTATTGTGGGAGCATATTTGTTTAAAGTACATCACTGACAGAAAGGTATGTATGATGCAATAATATATACAACCATCTTCAAGAATTAAAATTTAGATGATTCTTATTTAATTATACCCACAATCTAAAAGGGCGGGGGTATAAAGTTACACCAATGATTCAGTGCTAACCCAGCTAACACACTACGTTTTCACAACGTTGTGGTAAAGTTGTGAATTGGTAACGTAGTGATACAACGTTGTCACAACGTTATTATTACGTCACTGTGCAACGTCGTTTCACAACGTAATAACAACGTTGCATTTTTACGTTGTGAAAACGTTGTTCATCGAATATTTCCCAACGTCTTGTTACATCGTTCCTGAAACGTTGGTGCGACGTCAACTGTCGCCTTAACAAACATTGTATGAACAAAAGTTTTACATACAAATCGACACAATTTCTGCCAAAAACAAGGCAGTAATTCATTATTTACCTATATCTTCGGAATCAGGATTTCCATCTCGTAAATAAACTAAAGTCTGTGTAAACACCTTATTATCACGTCACTCCAACGTTATGTGACAACGTAATCACAACGTAGCAAAATTACGTTGTGGAAACGTTGTGCATCGGGCGCCATGCAACGTTATGATGAGAACGTTTCTCATACGTTGGTGCGACGTCAAATAGTCTTCATCGCGAAAAGCGTAAAAACAAAGGTGTTTACTCGAAATAAACTACATTTTGGCAGAAAATTACAATAATGTTAGATTTGGTTTTCACTTTTCAGCAACCCGTGCTTGTCGTAAGAGGCGATTAAACAACAAACAATGACAATAACATTTTCGCCATACATGCATGATTCGCACTTCCATCGTTGTTGAAAGGTTGTGGATTGGTAACGTCGTGATATAACGTTGTAACAACGTTATTTTAACGTCGACCTGCAACGTTATTTCACAACGTAATAACAACGTTGCACATTCACGTTGTGAAAACGTTGTGCATTGGACATCACACAACGTTTTGTAACTACGTTTCTGAAACGTCGGTGAAACGTTATTGAGTTTGCTTCTCGATAGAATAGAATAGAAGGAATAGAACTGCTCTATCAAAATCAACATGAATTTGTCAGAAAACCAAGTTAGTAATGCATTACCTTTCTATATATTCGGCATTTGAATTTTCATCTCTTAATACTAATATTTCGAGAACGTAATTGCGTATATCTGTGACAACGTTACAACAACGTTGCAAATTAACGTTGTGATAACGTTGTGCTTTGGACATTACAGTACTTTTTGTAAATGATGTTTAGGAAACCACTTGTAGATCTACCATCTCTTAGTGTTATTTTTTTTTAAACATATATATCTATTAACGAACTAAATGTTGTCACAAGCAATATTACAGTTAAAAACAATTGGCGCGTATTTTTTGCGGCGTGAGAGCGACTGCAGAAAAGTTTAGCCTGTTGCCTCGTGAAGTGACGTCAGAATGACGTCACATTGTCGCGGAAGATTTGTTGTCACCAGCCATCTTAGCTCAAACTCACTCTGGACATAATATATTACAAGCAAGTGATTGTGCAGCAACTGGAACTGGACAGATGATCTGTGAATTCGATTGAGGTAAGTTAATTTTTCAAAAATAGTCTCCTCTTGTTGATATGTTTCTGTGCATGCAGTGCGTCAAATGATCTAAATGTATCGTATTATTCAGAAGTGGCAGGGTTAAGAATGCAGTTTGCCGGTCATTTTCACTGAGCGTCAGTGTTGATATTAATATGATACACAGAACTTGATGATAGAGGTGAAGGGGGCCCAAGACTTTTTTCCATATTATTATTTTATGGATACCAAGGGTAATTGCCAAGTGCAAGCGGTATATTTTTGACCAGAATTCAATCTGGTGGCGTTTTGTGGCCGTCATATTATGTTCGGGTTTCGTTCGTAAGCGTGTAGATTTGTAAATAGGCCTAACTTATGCATCGCCTACTGACCGCACTGACAGTTATCGCCATTTCTTCTGTGTTATTTCTGAAATCATTACTATTTAAAGTTTACATGTACTAATCTTCTGACTTTGATTTTTGTGCAACAATGTGGCTCATCCAGGCCATGGGAAAGGTTAAGTAGATTTCTCTTATACAGCGAAAAGAGGGAATCAAAACAATGGAAGTATTCAGATCGACTCTCTGTAGGCTGCTAGTTATAGCCCTAGTCTAAAGTGATCAATGATGTTATGAAAAAAATCGTATTTTCGGGAAGAGACAGAAACATACTTGATGTTTCCGAAAAGGCCTAATTAGCACTGACTGAAGTAGCCTAAATGTGGATCATCAGGTTGTTGCTGCTGTCTATAAAGTTTATCATAGCAAGGTGCTTATCATGTGTATTTTTATTATTTCCGAAAAAAGAATCAATTCATCATTTTCCGATAACTAGATCTATGTCCGACTCCTTTCTAATGAAAACGAGCAAAAGTAAAACGAGTCTCTCGTCGCGCGCTATAACGGGGTGTTTGCGGTATTGTCCTCTCTGGTGATGATAAGCTAGTCGATAGTCAAAAGTTAAATATCACCATATATTGTCAGTGAGTTGGTCATCGTTTGTTGATTATTAAAGTGAGATAGGTGTAGCCAATGTGCACCAATGAAAAATACAATGGAATTGATAGCAACCATATTCTTTCGGTTTTCGATCTGCATATGTTGCCACGTAGGCTACCATACTACAGAATTATATTTAACGATATTTAACTGTATTAGATCTATGTTAATAAACGTAGTGACAAATAAATTTCAATAAATATTTAGAGCTGTTTCAACTTCGTCTGGTATTGTATAAGCTATTGCATTTTGTTTATTTCCCCATGTTTCTAATCTTTGTAAATGTTAGAACATATATAACTATCCTGGCATATTAATATGGAAAATATTAAGGTAGATCTAAGTATTAAAAAAAATCACAGTTTTAATTAGGATAAATACCCCAAAGTGTTAACACTTTTATCACTTATTGGTGGGCCAATTCATAATTCATATTCAACATTCTTGCTTCAAATATGGGAACTATTTATTTTATTTGGCAATATATATTTTTCATTTATGTACATATTTTTCAAATAAGGTTTTAGAAACTTGGCCATGATATTCACTTGAATCACTAGTTTGAGTGTACAGCAGAAAGGTAAAGTTACTGCTTCTGAAAAACTACAGTTGATCTGTTGACTGATAAAACTATTTGCCAATATTACTATCAGTTACATCATACTCTATTAGTCTAAGTAAATGGGATTTATCTATACAGTACTGGTTTATTTAAGAATGTGATACTTTGTGGTTTCTGTTTTTCTTTCAGGTGGAGAAAACAGTATTGTGGGAGCGTATTTGTTTAAAGTACATATCACTGACAGAAAGGTATGTCTGATTCAATAATATATACAAACATCTTCAAGAATTAAAATTTAGATGATTCTTATTTAATTATACCCACAATCTAAAAGGGCGGGGGTATAAAGTTACACCAATGATTCAGTGCTAAAAGCTTTTCTGCTTATGTATGATCCAAGAGCATCATGGTATTAGTGTCAGCGCCTTCGCACTTTCAGCAGTTTTTAACAGTTTAAAGACTGACATCAGACATCAAAACATTATTTTGGGGAATGCAACCGTTATTTTGTTATGTCAGAAATATGTCCCTTGCCTTGCCATTTTATAACATTTGTGTCATTTTTTATTCAGTTACCAAGGCATAAGGAGAGACTGAGGATACAGTTGAAGATCATCCCTGTGACTTTTCATTAGAGGACTGAAAAGGCTCCCCAGCAACTCAGCCCATGTTCTGACTTGTCATTTAACAAATAAATAAAGGTCACCTCAACCAGAATTCTATTGTCATTTCGTTTACCTAATGGATCTTAGGACATCAGATGCATAGACTATTCTGTTTGTCACAGTGTTGCTCTCAGTGCTGAATGTATGAGGTAAGGCCAAGAAAATTTAAATGTTTCAATTTGTGCAGGGCTTATTGTTTGATGGTTTTTAATTTGCAAATTCGTGGGAAAATCCAATATCTTTTAATTGTGTTGAAACATTTGTGAACAATTTGCACATAGCCTTGAAAATTGTTTTGGAAAATGAATATTATATTACCAAATTGTACATGTAATTTAAAACATTTAGATTTATATCTTGGCCGTATTTCAAACTCTGCCAAAAGAGAGTGCATTTCATTGACTTGCTGTTTCATGGATAGGGTTAAAGTGAATTCAGTTTGCAGAATGTATTTCTTGGTACCTGACGTCTTAACTAGATTGGTACAAACTTTTCAGGCTGCCTGGGAGGTATTGAGGAATAAAACAGGCGTTAATCTACATGGACATTGCAACAACGTCCTGCAATGCCTGTAGTGTCGCCATATGTAAACAGTATGCGATACCTACGTTGTCGCGACGTAAAAAATGGACGTTGTGACAACGTCTTGATTTGGTTGTATTTTGGTTTACGCACAACGTTGTAGCAACCAATCTGGGAGTCTACAGAATTACGTTGTGACAACGTAACATCACAACGTTGTAGCAACGAAAAGTAAACGTTGTCACAACGTTGTAACTACGTAGAATTGTTGGCTGGGTACGTTGTCGCGACGTTTTGGTTAAACGTTGTAGCAACGTAAAAAATGGACGTTGTGACAACGTCTTGATTTGGTTGTATTTTGGTTTACGCACAACGTTGTAGCAACCAATCTGGGAGTCTACAGAATTACGTTGTGACAACGTAACATCACAACGTTGTAGCAACGAAAAGTCAACGTTGTCACAACGTTGTCACAACGTAGAATTGTTGGCTGGGAAAAGCTTTTCTGCCAATGTATGATCCAAGAGCATCATGGTATTACTGTCAGCGCCTTCTTCGCACTTTCAGCAGTTTTTAACTGTTTAAAGACTGACATCAGACATCAAAACATTATTTTGGGGAATGCAACCATTATTTTGTTATGTCAGAAATATGTCCCTTGCCTTGCCATTTTATAACATTTGTGTCATTTTTTATTCAGTTACCAAGACTTAAGGAGAGACTATGGATACAATTGAAGATCATCCCTGTGACTTTTCATTTGAGGACTGAAAAGGCTCCTCAGCCACTCAGCCCAAGTTCTGACTTGTCATTTAATAAATAAATAAAGGTCACCTCAACCAGAATTCTATTGTCATTTCGTTGCTGGGAAATGGATCTTAGGACATCAGATGCATAGACTATTCTGTTTGTCACAGTGTTGCTCTCAATGCTGAATGTATGGGGTAAGGCCAAGAAAATTTAAATGTTTCAATTTGTGCAGGGCTTATTGTTTTATGGTTTTTAATTTGCAAATTCGTGGGAAAATCAAATATCTTTTAATTGTGTTGAAACATTTATGAACAATTTGCACATAGCCTTGAAAACTCTTTGGGAAAATAAATATTATATAACCAAATTTAAAACATTTAGATTTTTATCTTGGCCGTATTTCAGACTCTGCCAAAAGAGAGTGCATTTCATTGACTTGCTGTTTCACGGATAGGGTTAAAGTGAATTTAGTTTGCAGAATGTATTGCTTGGTACCTGATGTCTTAACTAGATTGGTACAAACTTTTCAGGCTGCCTGGGAGGTATTGAGGAATAAGACAGGCGTTAATCTACATGGACATTGCAACAACGTGCTGCAATGGCTGTAGTGTCGCCATATGTATGCGATACCTACGTTGTCGCGACGTTTTGGATAAACGTTGTAGCAACGTAAAAAATGGATGTTGTGACAACGTCTTGATTTGGTTGTATTTTGGTTGTAGCAACCAATCTGGGAGTCTACAGATTTACGTTGTGACAACGTTACATCATAACGTTGTAGCAACGAAAAGTCAACGTTGTCACAACGTTGTCACAACGTAGAATTGTTTGCTGGGTACTTTGTCATCCGTCAACTTCTACTAGTAATGCCTATCAAACAATTCAGACATGCTGCAAGGTTATGTATTTGGTTCAATGTATCCTTCGTAGAGGCTCAGAATCTTTCAGCCACCATTGTAAAAAAACTGTATAAATACTCACACATCATTATGACAAGATTGCATCCATCAGTGACTCGACTCTTTACATACATTCCACATACATCTCTTATAACCCTGACGTACATACCTATGAAGTCTGTGACAGGCACTAAACGATTCCGTCCTGCTAATGTACACAATTGGTCCCATGATGCACTTCAAGCTGAATAAAGAATATGTGGTACGCAAATACGCCAGGCACACAAAATAATTATTCGTGAACTAAGTATGGCGCAAATAAATCCTACAGACAACCGCAACACTTCGCGATGACAGCTGACAAGCAGACAGCTAAACACACATGCGCATGTGTTTACACCGGAAGTGAGTGTCTGTTTGTATTATTAGCTGTGATTGGCTAAAAGATAGGACTTGAACTGGTATAGGCCAATGAAGCTGTGTCTAACATTTCTCATGCAACTTCCTCATGCGCACGTGCTTTAGCCTGTTATGTACTGAAAATGTCAACACGGGAAATTGTTACATTACAGATCGGCCACTATGCAAATTTTGTTGGCACGCATTGGTGGAATATTCAGGTGAAGGAATGTGAATATGTGTGTTAGCAGAGTAATTGTCTGTCACTTCATATGAACAACAACACTACTAGTACTAGTCTGACTGTCACATTTGCAATTTGAAGTTAAAAGTTAGGACACTTGTATGGATTTCAACTTTTATTTCAGTACAGATGCTTGTCCCTTGAAAAGAATATGTAAGAAAGCTAAAAGCCATGTCTACTGTCTTCATAGGAGGAGCTATAGAATATGTTCGCCACGATTTTTATTCAATGATTCAAGGGCTTATTGTAGAGTTGGGGGTAACCTAAACTAACCCTAACGGAATCTATAATCGCACCTCTTCATAGTCTGTCTCTGATGATATATGAATAATCCTGTAGACAGCTAACCTAGCTATATTATGCTACAAGTTAATTCGTACAGGTCGTCGTTATGTGTACTTTCTACACTGGACATGCTAAATTAAGACCAGCCTTGACGTGTATTGCAGGGTAAGACGATGCTAAGACAACTGCATTAGGCTTTAAGATGAAAGATAAATGAATATTTGCAATGCGCTATTGGCCATCTGTTGACGCAGGCTCAAAGTGCTAACACCATTAATTGTTAACCCAGTCAATGCATCAGTGTGCACTCAATTACGATCAAAGCTCCCCAGATAGTATGCAACACTTGCTGCCCATGAGGCTCCATCCCATCCTACCGTATACCCATTCACTGATTGGTGAACAGAGGCATGTATTGAACAAAGTCACATGTGCTTCAGTGTGGGGAAGGACAGAAGCCCATGAAACTCTCAGGAGTGGAGCTGCCGAACAAGGTTACCCAAGATATGAGACTGACATGTTACCAAACTGAAACATCAAAAGTTTTTTCTAGTTCATTGCTAACAGGAATAGGACCTTACAAATTGTATTCTCCTAATTTTTGCAACCAGGAACGCATGAAATATGGCCTTTATCTTGTTAAGTAATGCATTCATTTTCAGGAATCATCCTTTGTGTACACGCCTCAGGCTCTCACAGGGCCCAAGGAAATCAACCATGATGTGCTGTTTAGAGAGGGACAGACATTGCATGTAGGTATAACAAAACAAACAAACATGTCAAACATAAGGAAGTCTCACTCTGGCAATCTTGTCCCTAAGCCATGCCACCATATTTGTACTTGCTCTGTGAATCTAATCTAATCTTCCTGAGGCAAGGGCGTTAACTGACTGTAAAAGTCCAGTGTCTGCCCTTGCCATACCTGACTGGAATTTCCCGTGGCTGACAACGAGTTATGTTACTCCTATGTCACTCCTATTGACCAATTACATTCCACTTCTCATATCACTTACATTTGTTTCAAACAAAATGGCGGTACCAAGTCAAGACTATCTCATCGATAATTGCGATGTATGTTGACTTCGTTATTTGATTTTTGATTGGACTATGCATAGACTCATTAGGCCAGCCCAAAAATAACAGGGCAGTCGGGTAGCCCAGTGGTTAAAGCGTTCGCTCGTCATGCCGAAGACCCGGGTTCGATTCCCAACATGGGTACAATGTGTGAAGCCCATTTCTGGTGTTTCTTGCCGTGATATTGCTGGAATATTGCTTAAAGCGGCGTACAACCGTACTCACTCACTCACCCAAAAATAACTCCATATAGCCAGCCTTGTTCGGCAAGGGTGGAAACTGGACTTTACAGTCAGTTAACTCCCTTGCCTTGGCCATGTTGGGAAGATGCCATATTACTTAATCAGTTGTTGCTTAGGGCATATGTCTCCCACCATGTACATGCCAGCCTGTGCTTTGGCTTCTTCAGTGTTTATTTTGCATTCATAAAATATTGCTCTGGGTCTGGTAATTTATTATAGGGGGTGGGGGGGGAAGAGAGATTGGCCTTAGGTCTGTATCATATTTTGCTGACACCCCCATTTCGGGCAACACTTTTACATTTACCCAGTTTACCTAATCCTGTACCACAACCCCTCTTGCTCTCTTGATTAATACCAACTTGGTATTTGTCCCAGGGTGAGGTAACGTACACACCTCGTCTCATAGCTGTTGATCTGAAAGGGAGTCTGAATGCACTGAGAAGGGAGGGAACTCTGTATGAGGCAGGACAGGAGGAAGACGTGAAGTGGTAAGTTGTATGTGCTTTTAGCAGTATACTGCACAACCGGCCTTCATCTGCCATGGCACTCCACAAACTGATGAACAGTGAGTCTTAGTGGTATCTTGCATTCAGTTGACATGATTGCTTCTAAGCAAGTGAGGGGCGGTCGGGTAGCCTAGTGGTTAAAGGGTTCGCTCGTCACACCGAAGACCTAGGTTCGATACCTGACATGGGTACAATGTGTGAGGCCCATTTCTGGTGACCCCCATCATGATATTGCTTAAATATTGCTAAAAACAGCATAAAACCATACTCACTCACTCGAAGCAGGTGAAGTATTTGACTTGCCAGGTTTTTGTTGATTTCAAACCATCTTCGTTTTCCCTGAGTTACAGTATGATTATTTGTGATTATGTTTACAGTGACGTCTTTCCTTCCATTATCATAGTGTCTTGTACAAGTTGTAGATGGTACGTGTAGCATCCTAGCTGTGCTAATTGTGCTTTGCTTGCTTTTGACATGTTTAAGATGGATATGTCATAATTGAAAATGTGAGGGAAATCTGATAAGTAAGCATTGAATGGTTTTGAACTTGTTTTCTATATGAATATTCAGTGTTATGTGGAGATAAACAGCATGTTTCTAATCATGCTTCTGTAGGGAGAGTGATGTGACACTTCATGAGTCCAGCCCTGTTGAGAAGAATGAATTCCTTGAAGACTTGGATCGTGTTGAGGTAAGTAACCCAGTTGAGGTGAGTTATCCAGTTGAGCTAAGCTCCTCACTTGAGGTGAGTTATGCTGTTGAGCTAAGCTCCTCAGGTATGGCGAGTTATCCAGTTGAGCTAAGCTCCTCAGTTGAAGTGAGTTATCCAGTTGAGCTAAGCTCCTCAGTTGAAGTGAGTTATCCAGTTGAGCTAAGCTCCTCAGTTGAAGTGAGTTATCCAGTTGAGCTAAGCTCCTCAGTTGAAGTGAGTTTTCCATTTGAGCTAAAGGACCTGTGTATGTAGAGCAAGTCTTTTTGGTGTCTTTCATTAAATAATACCAGTAGATTACAAAATGAAATTGTTTAATAAAATTGTTGAACAGTGAGGTTCTGCTGTCCTAATAATATAAGTCATTGAGTCACAATCTTGATGTTTTCAAACATGTTTGTAATTCAAAGCCATTTAACTTCAGGGGCGGTCGGGTAGCCTAGTGGTGAAAGCGTTCGCTCGTCATGCTGAAGACCCGGGTTCGATTCCCGACATGGGTACAATGTGTGAAGCCCATTTCTGGTGTCCCCCGCCGTGATATTTTGCTGGAATATTGCTAAAAGCGGTGTAAAACCATATCACTCACTCACTTAAACTTTATAGTTCAATGTTGTTGTGCCATTTTTCGTAAGAATTAGATACAGACTCTGGGGAAGCCATTCATGATTTATTTGTGTTTGTGTTTTCACAACCACAGGTTCTTTGAGATAGAACATTTGTTGATGTTTTGTTTCAGGCGGAGCAGGTGTCAGATGTCCATCGAAACCTAGAGGACAAACTTGAAGACACTGATAAGAAACCAAAACTTGGTAGGGCTACTTTGAACTTGCTGATTCCTTTCTAATTCAGACGTAGAGAATCTGTCTGTCAGGTGGGGGCACTGAACAAAGCAGCTATAGAAGGATGGGTTTCAATATATATGGTTTCATTATTAGAGAGAGTTCTGTTCAAACTTGAGGGAGACGGTAGGGTAGCCAAATGGGTAAAGTGGTTGCTTGTCACGCCAATAGCCCGGTTTGCATTCCCTTCATTGGTACTATTTGTGAAGCATATATTATTGTCACCTGGTGGAAAGCTTAAAGCAGCGTAAAACCATACTCACTCACTTTAAGAGTTGAGACGACAAGAGTTGATTGAAATGCTTGTTGATAGTTGTAATGCTTTCAGAAAGACCAAAGAACTTGAGTTATCTGCTATGGAGCAGCTATCCTGCACAAGAGACAACTGTATGGATCAGGCTATCGTAATATAAACCACTGACTTGTCTGGTCCCATATTTACATTATACCATGTAGGGTATCCAATATTTACAGGCCACCATAACATACAGCTGGAATATTGTTATCCTGCCTGGTGATCGGCATTAAAGGGATAAAACAAGGACTCTGAATTTGAATACCGTGTCGGGGTCCATTATTTACAGGCCACCGTCGCATACAGCTGGAATATTGCTGAGTGCAACATTAAACAGCAACGAAACAAACAAAAAAATCCATTTTTAACAACACTAATTTGTATTCTATCGGTAACCATGGTAACCACATTCATTGATGTTCCTGTATTTCATCCATTGTTACCTCAGAGAAGCCTGAAACAGAAGATGCCGTGTTTGGTCGTAAACTGTACGATCTGGACGACACTGTGTCCGTGTGGTCCGACTTCCTGCGTGTTCACCTTCATCCCAAGTCTCTGCACATAGTGGATGACTTCATACACAAGAAGTGAGTCAATTCAAGTCAGTCTGTGATGGAATGAAACCTTGTCAACTCCAACTCTCCTTGTGTCGGTCAGGCTGTGTGTATACAGTGGCTGCAGGATACCTACTAATACTGGGGTCTAATGTTGGCACTCCACTTGTCTCAAACTGGACTATGGAGTTAGTGAGTGAATTTATGCTGCATAGGCCACCTTGCATCTATTTTAGCAATGGTTGTGTATATATGTATATATATATATATGACTGTGTAGTACCAAAGTTCTAGACTTCCTGCTTGGAGAGTGGAAGGTGGGTGCTTCAATCCCTGGCCATGTCACACAAAAGGCATTAAATTATGGTACTTATCATTTTGATGTCATCGCGAAACTCTTAACATCATAACAGATTCAGCCAAATATTTGTACTGTGCACATATGGAAAGAAATGTACAGCCTAGGCTAGGAACCTGGGGTGATAAGTGATATTCACACAAAAGCTGGCCTTGATGTAATGTCAGATGAGATGTGAGCGCCTGCTCCACTTATAGAGTCAACCAATTTCCAGCACTTTCCACACAGTGCCAAACCAGTCCTGTGGCACTTGAACATCACAGAATAACCCACATGTCTCTGTAATGTTTGCCATCCATCCATGCTGTTCCTGAACTTTACAGATAATTCAAGCATAAATATAAAAAATATAATAACTTCCTCCCCATTGCTTACATTAAATAGTACTATATTACTGACAACTAATCATTGTCCAAATACAATGCAATTAACTTTAACAGAAACAATGTAATACAGTTACAATCGTTGTTTAACAATAGATTACACTGCCATATGATGATATCATGCAGTATTGATTAGGGCTTGGACAAGTCCAAATTTACTACCCGGGTACCCAACCCCCTATTACCTGACCCTACCCAGGTATCCACTGTGGGTCTCAAGAGTTGGGGGGGCGGTCAGGTAGCCTAGTGGTTAAAGCGTTCGCTCGTCACGCCGAAGACCCGGGTTCGATTCCCGACATGGGTACAATGTGTGCAGCCCATTTCTGGTGTCCCCCGCCGTGATATTGCTGGAATATTGCCAAAAGCGGCGTTAAACCATACTCACTCACTCAAGAGTTGGGTACAAAATGTCCCGCTGGGAATTGTTTTACCAAAGCCCTGGCATAAGCTATTTAGATACACGTATAAAACAATCCATTCATACATACACTGAAGTTGACTGAAGCTTTATCTTTGATCATATAAAAGTCAGAGAGAAATGCAAACATTGGGACTTGTCTAACCGTGGGGTGTTCTTCTGATTGTTATTAAACAATGTATCACATGACTAACCATGGGTCCGGGTAATCCTGTGGCTACCCAGGTCCTACTCAGTACCCACCCGACCCGAGTGCCCAAGCCCAGCCCAAGTAATTATACAAGATCTCATGATGCAACACAAGGATTTCTCACACGACAAAGCTCCCTTATGACAAACACATTTGTGTATTGCTTCACCTGTGTATCGCCTGAGGTTTATGAACAGCCCTGTGTTCCAGTGAGGAGCAGCCGTTTGACATGTTCCAGCTGGGTGCCAGTGTGTTGAAAAATGTAGATGCGATGGACGCCATGGAGGACCAGATTCGATTCTTTGTGGAGGAGTGCGACCACCTCCAGGTACACAAAATGGGGGCAGTGTGTAGCCATTAGTTTGTTTGTTCTTTAACACCACACTCAGCAATATTTCAGCTATATCACGGCGGTCTGTAAATAATCAAGTCTGGACCAGACAATCAAGTTATTGACATCATAAGCATCGATCCATGCGATTGGGATTGATGACATGCATCAACCAAGTCAGTGAGTCTGACCACTTGATCCTCTTAGTTGTAGCCATTAGTACCAGCACAGTGAGATGTAATCTTGCTTGAACTCATGTGCTCCATCTGTGTCCATAGGTATAATGGACCTGTGAAGATGCCGGGGTAGAATAGGTCTTCAGCAACCCAATGCTTGGGGCAAAAAGTTGACTATGCTTGTCGTAAAAGGCGACTAACGGGATCGGGTGGTCAGGCTCGCTGATTTGGTTGATGCATGTCATCGATCCCAATTGCGTGGATCGATGCTCATGACATTAGTCACTGGATTGTCTGGTCCAGACTCGATTATTTACAGACCGCCATCATATTGCTGGAATATTGCTGAGTGCTGCGTCACCTTCATTCTTAATGTGAGAAGAATCTGTATATTGGCATGTTTACATCTGTTCAGTGCATTCAAACTCGGCTTTCTATATACTGGCAGGCAGAGATGTTGTTTAGTCTCCACCAAATCTGGTACATGTGTTTTGAGATGTTATGTTATTGTGGTTCTATGGTGTTTTTCTCTGTCATTGTTCACAATGTTTACTCGAATGTTTAGCAATTCACATCACCAGCGAATTAATGAAAGCTTTCATGACCATCACATTGCTACTAGCAGTTTCCTAAAGTATGTTCAAGGTACATGGTGGCATGTTGTGTGTGTTGCAGGGGTTCCACCTGCTGATGGACTGGTGTGATGGGTTTGGGGGGTACGGGGCTGGCCTCCTCCAGTACTTAGAGGATGAGTTCACCAACAAGGCTCGGATGACGTGTGCAGTGTCACCCGCCATCATGCCTGATTCTGTGAGTTTGCCAATAAACATCATGCAACTGTTAGTTTGAAATCTCTTTCTTCCATGTGATTCCTGCTTAGAAGGTTTTTTGAAAACTTACAGGTCCACATATAAAGGACAAGGAATGGTATGGGCCCTTGAGATGTGCATAATTCAGGAATTGAGGATTTGTTTACAAGTTATTGTTAAAGTAACCATATGTGATTATATGAACGAGCTTTAGATTTTGTACATTTCAACACTTGTATGTTTAGGACTACATGGATAGGTAAGATTCAAATGGCTGATTGAAGAAGTTTTCTTGAAGTCTTTTTCTATTACTTGAAGGTAGCAAATCTTTGACTGAAGCAGAAGTTTTTAGGATATTTGATGAAAAAAATGCAGACATGCGGTAACAAATTCATTGGGTCACAGACTTTAAGATTTCCAGATGTCCAAAATGGGCCCTTAACCTACGTCATCCCTTCTGGAAATGATGGTCAATGAAGCAATCTCACCGGAACAGTACCGTTCAGATAACAGGTTTTCACGGTACATGTCTGTGTTAAGTTGGCGTAATAGAAGTTGAACAGGAGTGCCTAAGGCGAATGGACAACAAACCCCTTTTCAGATTAAATCATTTAGATATCTTTGAAAAAGTCAAATATTCCCAGTACAGATCAGGGGATATGCTTGAAGGAGCAATAGAAAATAGAACTCTACTTTTGTGATTCTTTTGGTATATATGAAGGATGAAAATGAAAACACATTTGTAGCAAACTGATGCTCTGTTTCAGACTGTTCGACAGCGTGCCAACAGAATCATAAACAGCGCATTCTGTCTAGACAAGGGAGGTAACTTGAGCTCTCTGTTTATCCCAATGTCCCTGACTGACTCTCTGTGGAGGAAGATGGGACCACCTCGGGACTTGCCCCATCTCAGCTACAAGGTAGGAAGCTGTGGGGCAGAATATTTATCTAAAACATCATTTTTGAACTTTAAAGTACAAAATATGTTTTCAGTTGTGATATGTTTCATAAAAAATTAAGTCATAGTGATGTGTTATCCTCAAGGTCAGAACAGGTATCCAGGACCCCCTGACTCTCCCTGTGGGGAGTCCAGGTCAGAACAGGTCCCTGGTACCCCCTGCTTGTCTCCCTGTGGGGAGTCCAGGTCAGAACAGGTCCCTGGTACCCCCTGCTTGTCTCTCTGTGGGGAGTCCAGGTCAGAACAGGTCCCTGGTACCTCCTGCTGGTCTCCCTGTGGAGTTTCCAGGTCAGAACAGGTCCCTGGTACCTCCTGCTGGTCTCCCTGTGGAGATTCCAGGTCAGAACAGGTCCCTGGTACCTCCTGCTGGTCTCCCTGTGGAGATTCCAGGTCAGAACAGGTCCCTGTTACCTCCTGCTGGTCTCCCTGTGGAGATTCCAGGTCAGAACAGGTCCCTTGTACCTCCTGCTTGTCTCCCTGTGGAGATTCCAGGTCAGAACAGGTCCCTTGTACCTCCTGCTTGTCTCCCTGTGGAGATTCAAGGTCAGAACAGGTCCCTGGTACCTCCTGCTGGTCTCCCTGTGGAGATTCCAGGTCAGAACAGGTCCCTGGTACCTCCTGCTGGTCTCCCTGTGGAGTTTCCAGGTCAGAACAGGTCCCTGGTACCTCCTGCTGGTCTCCCTGTGGAGATTCCAGGTCAGAACAGGTCCCTTGTACCTCCTGCTGGTCTCCCTGTTGGGAGTCCAGGTCAGAACAGGACCCAAGTACTTCCTGCTGGTCTCCCTGTTGGGAGTCCAGGTCAGAACAGGTCCCTGGTACCTCCTGCTGGTCTCTCTGTGGAGATTCCACGTCAGAACAGGTCCCAGTACATCCTGCTTGGAATGGGGACATGGATGTGAGAATCTGAGACTGTATGTGTCATTGTGCCCCACTGAGTGTCATTGTGCCCCAGTGGTGTGTGACATGGCTGATCGTGTCATTGTGCCCCAGTGGTGTGTGACATGGCTGATCATGTCATTGTGCCCCAGTGGTGTGTGACATGGCTGATCGTGTCATTGTGCCCCAGTGGTGTGTGACATGGCTGATCGTGTCATTGTGCCCCAGTGGTGTGTGACATGGCTGATCGTGTCATTGTGCCCCAGTGGTGTGTGACATGGCTGATCGTGTCATTGTGCCCCAGTGGTGTGTGACATGGCTGATCGTGTCATTGTGCCCCAGTGGTGTGTGACATGGCTGATCATGTCATTGTGCCCCAGTGGTGTGTGACATGGCTGATCGTGTCATTGTGCCCCAGTGGTGTGTGACATGGCTGATCGTGTCATTGTGCCCCAGTGGTGTGTGACATGGCTGATCATGTCATTGTGCCCAAGTGGTGTGTGACATGGCTGATCATGTCATTGTGCCCCAGTGGTGTGTGACATGGCTGATCATGTCATTGTGCCCCAGTGGTGTGTGACATGGCTGATCGTGTCATTGTGCCCCAGTGGTGTGAGACATGGCTGATCGTGTCATTGTGCCCCAGTGGTGTGTGACATGGCTGATCATGTCATTGTGCCCCAGTGGTGTGTGACATGGCTGATCGTGTCATTGTGCCCCAGTGGTGTGTGACATGGCTGATCGTGTCATTGTGCCCCAGTGGTGTGTGACAAGGCTGATCATGTCATTGTGCCCCAGTGGTGTGTGACATGGCTGATCATGTCATTGTGCCCCAGTGGTGTGTGACATGGCTGATCATGTCATTGTGCCCCAGTGGTGTGTGACATGGCTGATCATGTCATTGTGCCCCAGTGGTGTGAGACATGGCTGATCGTGTCATTGTGCCCCAGGGGTGTCTGACATGGCTGATCATGTCATTGTGCCCCAGTGGTGTGTGACATGGCTGATCGTGTCATTGTGACCCAGTGGTGTGTGACATGGCTGATCGTGTCATTGTGCCCCACTGTGTGTCATTGTGTCCCACTGGTGTCACATGACTGATTGTGTCATTGTGCCCCAGAGGTGTGTGATATGGCTGATTATTGTCATGGTGCCCCACTCATGCGGGCCGATGATCATGTTTTCATTCGTAGAATTAAATATGGGAAAAGTTATTACACTCAATCTTTGAACATTTGGGGGATATATTGTATTGATACATTTGTATTTGTATTTTCAATGACAGGGACAACTAGACTACCACACCAGTGGTATCCTGGCAGCGTGTCTGGACACAATGTCCCTCCCATACCGGCAAGACGGGTACTCCACCACGCTGGCCGATATCACTAGCTCATTTAACAATCTCGGAAGAAAGGTACGTGTGAGCCAAGCCACTGTCAACTTCCCCAATGCATCGGCCTTCATCTGAATATGTGTACAGACAATCAAATTCAGTTTTGAATCTTGGAAATAAAGTGTTCAGTTTTGTCAAAAGTTTGTATCCTCCGAGAATGCGATGACCGACTTTATTGATACGAAAGAATCAGGTGTTCTTTAACTTCTTTTAGTAAGATGTATTGCTGGAACATTCCTGAATGCAGCATTAAACAACAAACAAATTGAATTGACTTGATAGAGTGAAGAAAACAATTTAAATAAGTTTAGCTTCATTTGTCATTTGTGAAAGCTTGTGTCGCCAAGTAACCAAGTTATTAAACAGAATGCCTGAGGGTCCCCCTTGTATCCCACAGGTGTCAGCTGTCTACTCGAGCCTCCCCTTCCCACTCACCCCCCAGGGGACATTTGTTGAGAGTCTGATGTCCCACAAGGACCAAGCCCCCTGGTATTCCCTCACCCCCCATGTGGGCACCTGCCCTGACCCCTACATGCAGTCGTGTGTGGTCAGGGGGGTTCCAGCTCACAGGATAACCAGGTGAGGGTGCCCTGTAACACACCGGCATCTAACACAGGCATTTAACACCGTCATGTAACACAGGCATATAATGCAGGCATCTAAAACAGGCATTTAACAGAGGCATTTAACGCAGGCATTAAACACAGCCATGTAATGAAGGCATGTAACACAGGAATTTAACACAGCCATGTAACGAAGGCATTTAACACAGGCATGTAACGCAGGCATGTTACACAGGCATTAAACACAACCATGTAACGAAGGCATGTAACACAGGCATTTAACACAGACATGTAACTCAGGCATGTAACACAGCCATGTCACTCAGCCATTTAACACAGACATGTAATGAAGGCATGTAACGAAGGCATTCAACACAGGCATGTAACGCAGGCATGTTACACAGGCATTAAACACAACCATATAACGAAGGCATGTAACACAGGCATTTAACACAGACATGTAACTCAGGCATGTAACACTGCCATGTCACTCAGCCATTTAACACAGGCATGTAATGAAGGCATGTAACACAGGCATGTAACACAGACATGTAACACAGGCATTAAACACAACCATGTAAAGCAGGCATGTAACACAGGCATTAAACACAACCATGTAAAGCAGGCATTAAACACAACCATGTAAAGCAGGCATTTAACATGGCCATGTCACTCAGCGATTTAACACAGGCATATAATGCAGGCATCTAAAACAGGCATGTAACACAGACATGTAACAAACATGTAACATGATTATTTCATGCTGATTTCAACCTTTAAATAAATGAAATTTTTATGTCAAGCTTTAAATAATGCCTGTTTGTTTAGGAATTGAATAAAGAATTGTTTGCGTTTATGGAGGGAATATGTAAAAAAAACGGTGTGCACACTGTGTGTGAACACAAAATAGATTTTGAAGTAAATTTTTGTAAAGACCAAAATAATTTCACAGGCTCCTCATTTAACCATTAACATGAAAGAACTGTACACAACAATAAAGCAATAATGCAAGACATTTCACTCCATTCTAGCATCAGCCAATCAGGGACCAATAGTCTGTAAGTGGGCATGGCTTTTTCATTTTTCTCTTTATAGAAGCATAAATGCAAAAACATTTTTATGAAGTTAAACTTACATATTGTTTGTGTTTTCAGATCTGAGCCGACACCTAACATCCCAGGAATACTGACAGGCTGTTCTTCTCTCAGTGAGATTCTCCACCTGTACCTGACAGAGACCTATCCACGAACCCTAAAGTAAGTCACACAAAGTTGTCTCCCTTTGTTTGAAACTCCCATTCACATTCCAAATCAGACCTTGTTGTTCTTTTCACTGAAACCTTTAGGAGATATAACCTTCTTTAGTGAGCCACAAGATCTAATTATGTGATATAATAATTAATATATATACCCCTGTGCCTTGTTGTTTTGATATCCATGCTGAAACTGATACAGTCACATGTCTCTCATATTTCAGTGCTGGCTGTACAATGCGAGATGCTTGTAAAGTTGTCTCCCCTTACCCACACGTTTTCTCCAGCAAAGTGTCCAACAATGGCTACATCGGTGATACCGACCGTCCATCATACCAAGGTAGCTACAAGAGTTTTCTTCTCTTATTAACAGATAGCTTCTTTTAGAATATCAAGACATGAATCTTTTAGGTTGATATCAAGGGCATTGTTCTTCAGACTATTCAAGTGCCCTTGCTAATTTTTCAAATTCAAATACGATGTAATTGTGTGATCTCATTTTAAAACAGCAAAGGTATTATGTTGAGCTTCTCTATTTCGTGTTTCATGGCAATTACTGGAGATCAAATTGTTGAATAATTTAGAAAAATAGTTTTCATGATTGATTATTATACTGTAGCTATGCTAAAATAGTTTTGAGAGATTGCTTTGGAACATTAATGTATTGACAACAATTTCATGACTTATTCTTGTAGCTATTTAGGAAATGTAGTTTTCACGATTGCTAAAATATGTTTGATAGATTGCGTTTGAACATTAATGTATTGACAACTTTTCTTGGTCTGTGTCTTGGCTGAAACAAGGACAATGCACCGTTTAATTTTCACTCAAGAGAAACATACATGCAGTTACTTTACGAATTTTGTTTCAGGCGTGGAGTCAGTTCCTGTAATGACGTCGCTTCAGTCTAATGACAGTGTGTACGACCTGACCAGTAGTCTCCTCAGCGAGGCGGCTCGGTTCAACATCAGGAAGCACCATCACTACCTGGAGGCGGGACTGGAGGAAGATGAGTACCGGGAAACACTGGACAATGTGTCCACCCTCGGGCAGTGCTACAAGACAGATACATCCGCAACCTGACACCTGCTACAACATCCTGGACATAGCTCTGGATTACACTGCACTGTTTGATACAGGGACAGGACCCCATGACTGACTCTGAGATGCTTTGTTGCTGTGTGACCCGTGACGATCCGGGGTAGAATAGGTCTTCAGCAACCCATGCTTGCTGTAAGAGGCGACTAACGGGATCAGGTGGTCAGGCTCGCTGACTTGGTTGATGCATGTCATTGTATCCTAATTGCGTGAAATGATGCTCATGTTATCAATCACTGGATTGTCTGGTCCAGACTCAGTTTTTATCAGACCACCATCATATAACTTGAATATTGCTGAGTGCGGCATTAAACAACAAGCAAGCAAACAAACTATCAGTCATTGCTGTGTTCATCTGAAATTGTCAGTGCAATATTCTGGAAGCTTCATTTAACCATCCATTGATATCCAAACGATGATTCTTGTGAGGCCAGTGTTTGAAAATATAAGAGGTCTTGAGGTCCCTGAGGTTTGCTCTCACAGAACTTGAAACAATCCTTATCTGTTAACATTAACAACTAGTACCAACAGTGTCAGATTGTGCATGAATGTTGATTTGTGTGATGTGTGAGGATAACATGATGGTCTACCACAACGTGAGTTCAAATTTAAGGTCGCACCGGCATTTTTGTAATCATCTTGCAACAAGAGCAAGTTGTTTATATATACTACTCAAAAGAAGTTAAAGAACACCCAATGCTTTCATATTACTATATGTTATCTGTCATTGCAGAAACAGGTGTCACACATGGAAATAGGCCACCTCTGTAGTTATAAGTCTGCAGAATGTTGAATAAACCAATGATGCATGAGTGTCACATGTTTGTTTTGTGATTTCGGTTTTGATACTTGATGATGGCAAAGGGTAGCCTAGTGGTTAAAGCGTTCGCTCGTCACACCGAAGACCCGGGTTCGATTCCCGACATGGGTACAATGTGTGAAGCCCATTTCTGGTGTCCCCCGCCGTGATATTGCTGGAATATTGCTAAAAGCGGCGTAAAACCATACTCGCTCGCTCGCTGATGATGGCAAAGTGTGTGTCCATCATTTATTGTGACTGAATATTGTTTTATGCTACAGTATTTCAGCTGAATGATTGTCAGTGCAAGAGGAACCAAAGGAAGGTTTCACAAGCCAGGATCTGTGTCACGAGGGCATTCGTCACCACTCGCCCCTTTCCGTAACCTGCCCCCCTATCAATGAATGTCATGTGTACGACAAACCAATCAGAATACGTGTATGATTTTAAGTTCTTCCTCAAAGAATCCCTCAGAAACTATTTTTGATTTTACATATGTCTTGCATCTACAAATATACCCAAGACACAGTTAAATGTGTTCAATCATAATGTATAATTCCACATTTCCTGATGTGCTTTAAATTGCATCTGAAATACATATGATATATGGGGAAATATACTCAACAACAAAATTTCCTGTGACCAATATTTTAGTGTATTTTTCAAACAAGTAAAGTTTGGTTTTCAATATTGTAGTATATGTATGGAATCAAGTCACAAAAACGCAACTGCTACAGAAAAACATGTATTCCATGCAAAAGTTGACTTTTATGCAAGCCCCATGTTAGTCGCCTCTTACACAACAAGCACGGGTGAGGAGAGATCAATGGGAAGAATGGCAGTTACCTCTGCTCCATCTGATTAGCTGTCAACTACACCAAGTCATTACCCCAAATCTAATTAACTTTTTCATTTTTAAACCAAACAGTTTTAATTTTGAGGTTTGAAGTCAGCGAGCCAGACCACCCGATCCCGTCAGTCGCCCCTTACCACAAGCATAGTCGCCGTTTGTCAAGATCACCCTGCAGTACCTGTTTAATTTGATTTTACTGTAGACATTCGGGTGGACTGGTGTGTGCAGATTGTGTAAGTGGCTTGGGGTTTGTATGACACAATTTTCATAAAAAGAAGTATGTGTTTATTTGTTGCCTAGTCCTGCATTAAATACCTGTCAGAGATTTATCTTGAAGCACACGTTGTGACATCCAAACAATATCAGCAGTGTGTGACATCAACACTTCAAGTGCACATACGTTTTCACTGATTGTTACATTTTCCTAATGCCTTGGATTGGGATTGAAAATCCATATTCGACATAACACTACAAATGTCGCCAGTTTCTGCTTCTAATGCAGTGAATTTTTTTTGGTATAAACACACCTCAATATGATACCCCGTTAATTAATTAGAAGAGTATATATTTGCACCTTGCACCCTGCGCCTTTCACCTTGCTTGACCCCCAAATCATCAAAAAACTACTGTGGTAGGTGGGGTCTAACCATTAATGCGGATAAAACAATTTGATATATTCATGAAGGGCTGTAGGCAAGCTAAGGTTCCATGGTGGACAAACTCTTGAGGTAGTTAATCAGTTTAAATATCGTGTCTTAATATTTTCTTCTTCACAAGCCCAAAGACATTAGTAGATCAAGCTTGAGAATCAATTGTTTCTACATATCGCATATTGTATAGGAAGTCCCGTATTTCTCTATATGTACAACTACAGTTTGTTTAATAGTAGTATTGTTACAATTTTATGGCATGGTTGTGATGTTTGGGGATTTGGAGAAGCAAAAATCGTAGATCGTGTCTATTGGGGGTGTATAAACGTATTTCGCACCGTCTACGTTTGTATACGTGGAATTGGGAGTATAACCACTGACAGTACCTAGACTTTGAAGAATCGTACACACTGGTGTGATACATCAAACAAACCTACTCGTTAACCTGAATGTCATACATAGTAATGCAAATAGGAATGCCGTCTTATTATTGTCCATTTATCCCATTTATACCAGTACAAGCTGTCCGCCAATGGTAAATGATCAGTTACATATTATAATAGTGTATTTCGCCATGTGGCTCTGTGGGACAACGGTCACACTTTAACATATCATTCTGTGAGACAACTGGTATACTCAAACATATCAGTGAGACAACGGGCACACTTTAACATATCATTCTGTGAGACAACTGGTATACTAAAACATATCATACAGTGAGACAACGGTCACACTTTAACATATCATTCTGTGAGACAATTGGTATACTTTAACGTATCATACAGTGAGACAACGGGCGCACTTTTACATATCATTCTGTGAGACAACTGGTATACTAAAACATATCATACAGTGAGACAACGGTCACACTTTAACATATCATTCTGTGAGACAATTGGTATACTTTAACGTATCATACAGTGAGACAACGGGCGCACTTTTACATATCATTCTGTGAGACAACGGGCACACTTGAACATATCATTCTGTGAGACAATTGGTATACTTTAACGTATCATACAGTGAGGCAATGGGCGCACTTTAACATATCATTCTGTGAGACAATTGGTATACTTTAACGTACCATACAGTGAGACAACGGGCACACTTTAACATATCATTCTGTGAGACAACTGGTATACTTTAACGTATCATACAGTGAGACAACGGGCATACTTTAACATATCATTCTGTGAGACAATTGGTATACTTTAACATATCATACAGTGAGACAACGGGCACACTTTAACATATGGTACTGTGAGACAATTGGTATACTTTAACGTATCATACAGTGAGACAACGGGCACACTTTAACATATGATACTGTGAGACAATTGGTATACTTTAACATATCATACAGTGAGACAACGGGCACACTTTAACATATGGTACTGTGAGACAATTGGTATACTTTAACGTATCATTCAGTGAGACAACGGGCACACTTTAACATATGGTACTGTGAGACAATTGGTATACTTTAACATATCATACAGTGAGACAACGGGCACACTTTAACATATGGTACTGTGAGACACTTGGTATACTTTAACATATCATACAGTGAGACAACGGGCACACTTTAACATATGGTACTGTGAGACAATTGGTATACTTTAACATATCATACATTGAGACAACGGGCACACTTTAACATATGGTACTGTGAGACAATTGGTATACTTTAACATATCATACAGTGAGACAACGGGCACACTTTAACATATGGTACTGTGAGACAATTGGTATACTTTAACATATCATACATTGAGACAACGGGCTCACTTTAACATATGGTAATGTGAGACAATTGGTATACTTTAACATATCATACAGTGAGACAGCGGGCACACTTTAACATATCATTCTGTGAGACAATTGGTATACTTTAACATATCATACAGTGAGACAACGGGCACACTTTAACATATCATTCTGTGAGACAATTGGTATACTTTAACATATCATACAGTGAGACAACGGGCACACTTTAACATATGGTACTGTGAGACAATTGGTATACTTTACCGTATCATACAGTGAGACAACGGGCACACTTTAACATATGGTACTGTGAGACAATTTGTATACTTTAACATATCATACAGTGAGACAACGGGCACACTTTAACATATGGTACTGTGAGACAATTGGTATACTTTAACGTATCATACAGTGAGACAACGGGCACACTTTAACATATGGTACTGTGAGACAATTGGTATACTTTAACATATCATACAGTGAGACAACGGGCACACTTTAACATATCATTCTGTGAGACAACTGGTATACTTTAACGTATCATACAGTGAGACAACGGGCACACTTTAACATATGGTACTGTGAGACAATTTGTATACTTTAACATATCATACAGTGAGACAACGGGCACACTTTAACATATGGTACTGTGAGACAATTGGTATACTTTAACATATCATACAGTGAGACAACGGGCACACTTTAACATATGGTACTGTGAGACAATTGGTATACTTTAACATATCATACAGTGAGACAACGGGCACACTTTAACATATGGTACTGTGAGACAATTGGTATACTTTAACATATCATACAGTGAGACAACGGGCACACTTTAACATATGGTACTGTGAGACAATTGGTATACTTTAACATATCATACAGTGAGACAACGGGCACACTTTAACATATGGTACTGTGAGACAATTGGTATACTTTAACATATCATACATTGAGACAACGGGCACACTTTAACATATGGTACTGTGAGACAATTGGTATACTTTAACATATCATACAGTGAGATAGCGGGCACACTTTAACATATCATTCTGTGAGACAATTGGTATACTTTAACATATCATACAGTGAGACAACGGGCACACTTTAACATATCATTCTGTAAGACAATTGGTATACTTTAACATATCATACAGTGAGACAACGGGCACACTTTAACATATGGTACTGTGAGACAATTGGTATACTTTAACATATCATACAGTGAGACAACGGGCACACTTTAACATATGGTACTGTGAGACAATTGGTATACTTTGACGTATCATACAGTGAGACAACGGGCACACTTTAACATATGGTACTGTGAGACAATTGGTATACTTTAACGTATCATACAGTGAGACAACGGGCACACTTTAACATATCATTCTGTGAAACAATTGGTATACTTTAACATATCATACAGTGAGACAACGGGCACACTTTAACATATGGTACTGTGAGACAATTGGTATACTTTAACGTATCATACAGTGAGACAACGGGCACACTTTAACATATGGTACTGTGAGACAATTGGTATACTTTAACGTATCATACAGTGAGACAACGGGCACACTTTAACATATCATTCTGTGAGACAACTGGTATACTTTAACGTATCATACAGTGAGACAACGGGCACACTTTAACATATGGTACTGTGAGACAATTGGTATACTTTAACATATCATACAGTGAGACAATGGGCATACTTTAACATATGGTACTGTGAGACAATTGGTATACTTTAACGTATCATACAGTGAGACAGCGGGCACACTTTAACATATGGTACTGTGAGACAATTGGTATACTTTAACATATCATACAGTGAGACAACGGGCACACTTTAACATATGGTACTGTGAGACAATTGGTATACTTTAACGTATCATACAGTGAGACAGCGGGCACACTTTAACATATCATTCTGTGAGACAATTGGTATACTTTAACGTATCATACAGTGAGACAACGGGCACACTTTAACATATCATTCTGTGAGACAATTGGTATACTTTAACATATCATTCTGTGAGACAACTGGCATACCTTAACATATCATACTGTGAGACAATTGGCATACTATGACATATACTGTGAGACCACGGGCATACTTTGACATATACTGTGAGACCACGGTCATACTATGACATATACTGTGAGACCACGGTCATACTATGACATATACTGTGAGACCACGGGCATACTATGACATATACAGTGAGACCACGAGCATACTTTGACCTATACTGTGAGACAACGGGCATACAATGACATATACTGTGAGACAACGGGCATACAATGACATATACTGTGAGACCACGGGCATACTTTGACATATACTGTGAGACCACGGGCATACTTTGACACATACTGTGAGACCACGGTCATACTATGACATATACTGTGAGACCACGGGCATACTTGAATGTATTGCCATGCTCATGCAAAAGACACTAATGGATGGAATTGTGTGGTACATGTAGATCACATGGGCATATGAACAATTATCATATAGATGAGAGGGAAATACATACACCATGATATTGTCATCACATACTTGTAATTGGTAAGCGATAATGTTCAATTGGACATGAGGGGAGTAATGCCCCATACTATGAGTGATCGTATCAGTTGCACCATCAGCTGTGATAATGTTCCATTGGATATGAGAGACGTGAATGAGTGAGTGAGTGGGTTGGGTTTAACGCCGCTTTTAACAATATTCCAGTTATATGGCGGCGTGTCAGCTTAATTTGGGAGGATAGCCCGAAGTGATGCAGGTCTCAGACGTTTACCACTTCGGTGAAACCCACGAGTATGGTGCTGACAAACCTAGAAACATAATCGGGGCGAACCGGGATTCGAACCCACAATCATAGGTTTCTGGCGTGCCCAAGGGACGCAACTCTGCACAGCGAATCGCGGCGCCTTAGACGACTGGGCCACCCGTGCCCCCATATGAGGGAAGCAATGCCCCATGCTATGAGTGTTCACGGATGTCGCATCAGAAACAGTAGTACTGCTGTATCAGGGGTGATGGGTGAGGTGAGGTGAACTGAGGTTCAACGTAGTGTTTCTACTTTACTTGATTTGCCAAATGTGTCTCCTTTGAAATAATCATGACATACATAGCCATTTGGATACAATCTGACTGATTGGTCCATCAGTGTTCCTGGGGTATCTAAGTAGAAAGACTAAGGTCTACGCAGTGGGCGCATTGGACTACTTATTTATTCATTAACACACACAGCTGTAGACAGCGATACGAAATCAATGATTATATACAACAATAGTGGGCAATTATCCCACACAAGCCACGCACATTCTACTATCAGCCAATCAGGCTACAATTAATTGGTGTTTTAGATTTATGGACATAACGTAAAATGAATCGCTTGGTTAACCCATGAAATGAATCACTAATATAGGGGAATGAATTTAGGCCCATTTTCATTTTGTGTTGTAACTGTACTAACACCGTAGGAGCGGCACGCATCTCCACGACCGAGGCCAGCAGGTACGTGTACGTTGACCACTAGGTCAAAACACTAGACATAGCGTGCGGCAGGCGTTCTGTAGGGTGAGTGAGTGACTGAGTTGGGTTTAACGCCGCTTTTAACAGTATTCCAGTTATATCGCAGCGTGTCAGCCCGAAGTGATGCATGTCTCAGACGTTTACCACTTCGGTGAAACCCACGAGCACGGGTATGGTGCTGACAAACCTAGAAACATAATCGGGGCGAACCGGGATTCGAACCCACATTCATAGGTTTCTGGCGTGCCCAAGGGACGCAACTCTGCACAGCAAATTGCGGCGCCTGAGACGACTGTACCACCCGTGTCCCCCGTTCTGTAGAGGCCACACAATATACAGTAGTCAACATTGAGCAAGATAGACTACTTGTCTCGGCAGAAAATCTAGGCTGGTCATTCTCATATTAACACGTTGTGCGCTTTGGGTGTGCCGCCCCGCCCACTGATTGTATCCGTCTTCTTTGCCTCACACCTACATCAGGTGGCACAGGTGGTGGGCCCAGTCGTCTGAGGCGCCACAGTTCGTATGTAGAGTTACCTCCCGTATGTGAGTCTTTTACAATGGGTTCGAATCCCATAACCTATTTATTGTTTTAAAACTACAATTCGTATGCTGAGTTCATAGACGTCTCAGTAACCTGGAATCATGGATTCTAATCCCATTAACTATTAGTTGTTTTAAACCTACAGATATTGTTGCACATGATGTACTGTATTAGAGATATAGCCTCATTAATGTTTAACGCGTGAACCATGGCTGACGTACCTGAACTCGTATGTTGAGAAACTATTGCCAGCTGTGACTTGTACTATACATGATTGGGCTAATACTTTAACTGAATGTCTTTACGAACATGGTTCATTACGAAGCTTGGTGGAGAATGGGTCCAGTGTGCTTGTCATGATACCCTGCCGGGCAAAAGAAAGTATACCCATTTTTGATGGTGGCTAAAAATGAAACAAACAGGAAATGGTGTGTATACAGTGCGAAAAAAAAAGGAACGGAAAAGTGATTTTAGATATATATGTTATATGTCATATAAAAAAATCAACAGATGGTAATCGATTGTTCAAATTGTCACATGTTCCATAAGGTGAAGATGATCTGTTCCAAATATCTTGTATGGCCACAAATAGAGTTCAAAACTGACTGGCATCGTCGTCCCATGGAAGCAATCAGATTCCGAATTGTGACCTATGCTTGCCATAAAAGGCGACTATGCCTGTCGTAAGAGGCGACTAACGGCAATATTCCAGCTATATGGCGGCGGTCTGTAAATAATCGAGTCTGGACCAAACAATCCAGTGATTGGCATCATGAGCATCGATCCAGGCAATTGGGATACGATGACATGCATCAACCAAGTCAGCGAGCCTGACCACCCGATCCCGTTTGCCGCCTTTTACGGCAAACATGGGTTGCTGAAGACCTATTCTACCCCGGATCTTCACGGGTTTGCAACGTGGAAAAAACTATCTACAGCTGAAGATGATTCTCCTGTTTGAAGTCGGCCGGTGGCGTTGTTACAACATTCAAGGCCTCAATAAGCTTTCAAAAAGTTGTCTTTGCATGTGTTGGTGACGGGCGCAACCGTAGGGGACGATACGTTCACACCTGGTATCATTACTATGTGATAGTGATTCATAAACACCTGCTCATGATTTGGTCGGAATCGTACAATCGACTCTGCTTTATGCAGATATTTCTATTGGATATGGAAAGGGTTTTGTCGATATGCAAATGAAAATCCAACGTTTTTATAGCCTAACAAGTGATGTTGCACCTGCATGTCATTTTGGTGTGTTTCGGCGCCAGGCTCTCACGCGGTTGTGGTTTTGCGATGTTTCCATTTTCTCTCCAAATTTCTGCATTTGCTCATTTCTTTCCACACAAATCAATCTCAATCCATGCAGAAAGGACCAATTCTTTTGTTTATATTAATTTCGTATGGATGTCGGCAACATTCTGTCAGATATATACGATTTTTAAACTTTTGCGTTTCCCTTTTTTTTGGCTGTGTATCATAGTTGTGTTTTGGACCTAAAGTGTGCAGTGTTTCGGCGACTGTTTTCCTCATAGTAACGCTTGATAACGTTTGTAATTTTTCAGCAAATCCAATTTTCATTGTATACAGTTAGGAATGGAGATATAATGTACTGGAAAACCGAGGATGGTCTACTCCTCTCTTGCAGGACAATGGAGCCGACTGAAGACAGAATTGTTTACATCAGCAGAACGGAAACATTCAGCGCCGCACACAGGCTCTTCAAGTAAGGGGCGGTGGGGTAGCCTAGTGGTTAACGCGTTCGCTCGTCACGCCGAAGACCCAGGTTCGATTCCCCAAATAGGTACAATGTGTGAAGCCCATTTCTGGTGTCCCCCGCCGTGATATTGCTGGAATATTCTAAAAGCGGCGTAAAACCATACTCACTCACTCTTCACGTAAACTTCAAAACGTATATTTAGAGTGTGGGAACTGACCACAGTGCCATAAAAGAGGGTCGGTGGTTTTACAATCACGCCGTGTTTAAGTTAAAGTAGCAATTGTGAGGGAGCGAGCATTTATGCTATGTTTAGAAATATTCCCGCCATATGACGGTCTTCACACTTTGAAGCCATGTTGGGAATCGAACCCGGGTCTTCGCCGTGACGAGCTAACGATTACCTATGTTGCTCCACTGCCACCAAAGGCAGCATTATGATGATCTGGCAACAAGTACTATTGTTTAGAAACTGAAGTCCTGGCTTCTTTAGACGTGTAACATCTGACATTCACTGCAGCTGGCGCCATACGTTTGCCCGTCGGTTTCATTAGTAGTGGGGGGCACGGGTGGCCCAGTCGTCTAAGGCGCCGCGATTCGCTGTGCAGAGTTGCGTCCCTTGGGCACGCCAGAAACCTATGATTGTGGGAACGAATCCCGGTTCGCCCCGATTATGTTTCTAGGTTTGTCAGCACCATACCCGTGCTCGTGGGTTTCACCGAAGTGGTAAACGTGTGAGACCTGCATCACTTCGGGCTTTCCTCCCACATTAAGCTGACACGCCGTGACATGACTGGAATACTGTTAAAAGCGGCGTTAAACCAAACTCACTCACTCACTCATTACAGTAGTGAACATCTCCAAACTGTGGCACTATTCCTCCAACTCACACACTGATTGTCCATAACGGCTGCACAATGGGTGTTAAACTCAACTTTTAACAAAGAAATAGAAAAACTTCCGTGACCCAGCACAAGCTAAGAATGATAACATAAAACTAATATATTTTTAACTTTAGTTTGTGACTACAGTCACACAATGAAGTCACTGCTGTCCAAACTGCGTTAAACCCACTTCGATCCCAACAGATCGAACCAGACACAAGCAGCGCAATCCATAAAACATGTCTATTTAAAACTCTCATACCTACACCATACTTAAATACACTACTCAAAAAAACGTTTAAGAACATCCCATTCTTTCACATGACTATATAATATATATTATCGTAATACTATGATATCATTTGAAAGAATCGCGTGAGTGGAAACCTCTTTTGAGATATCCGGAACGAGAGTGCATCATCACTCATGTGATATCAATGACTGACCCACCCCAGCATACACTGTAACCGCGGATGTCCATGCTAATGATTAGTTTATCAAGACATTTGTTAATGCGGACGATTTCAGTGAGAACTGTAATGTTTGGATTAACGAGGCTTCACTACTCATGTAAACATTCAAATCATTGTCTGGATAAATATTTCTTCCGTAGTGAAAAGCTGACAGATGTGGAAAATGAGAAAATATTTGGAAAATGCAGCGCAGTAAATGGTCATGGCCACAACTACAAAGGTAAGATCAGTACAAGGGCTAAGTGACTTGCATAATGTGTCGAAAGAAATGTCAGGAAAAAGTCAGATAGAGAACAAAGTAGCAACGATTTGTGCTTTATGTAAAATGCCTTTAAGATGATGATCAAGAGCAGTGTGGTTTCTGGTGGATGTTGTAGACACATCCACCATGGATACCCAGTATACCATATATTCCTTCCAATAAATACAACTTTTGGTGTTAGATTTGTGGTCCCTGTTTGCGACAAATTACATTCTCCCATTTTGTCACCAGTATGTTGATATTAACTTTCGTAATGTTTCAGCCATATCACTACGACATCATGTTTTAAATTACATCAGTAGGATTGCTTGAGTTACGGAATGTGGTTGTGCTCTACAATTCCCTCTTCTTCTTCACAGTTCGTGTGACGCTGCGTGGACCGGTGAGTAGAAAACATTCCTTCCACAAACTGACCATTGTCCTGCCTAGGATATCATATTGAATCATACACATACAAATTAGTGCTTCCTTCCACAAACTGACCATTGTCCTGCCTAGGATATCACATTGAATCTTACACATACAAATTAGTGCTTCCCCCACTGAACTTCTTGAACACTTCTACCTTGATCGGACATTGACTGGTTAAAATATTCTCACCACAATATGCAATATCCGTGTCTTCATGTCCGCAATGTCCATATCCCCAAGTCTTCAATGACCATGTCTCAAGTCTCCAATGACCAGATCCTCAAGTCTTCAATGACTATGTCTCAAATCTCCAATGCCTATGTATCGAGACTTCAATGACTATGTCTCAAATCTCCAATGCCTATGTATCGAGACTTCAATGACTATGTCTCAAATCTCCAATGTCTATGTATCGAGACTTCAATGACCATGTCTCAAGTCGCCAATGACCATATCCTCAAGTCTTCAATGACTATGTCTCAAATCTCAAATGTCTATGTATCAAGACTTCAATGACCATGTCTCAAATCTCCAATGTCTATGTATCGAGACTTTAATGATCATGTCTTAAGTCTCCAATGACCATATCCTCAAGTCTTCAATGTCCATGTCTCAAATCTCCAATGCCTATGTATCGAGACTTCAATGACCATGTCTCAAATCTCCAATGCCTATGTATCGAGACTTCAATGACCATGTCTCAAATCTCCAATGTCTATGTATCGAGACTTTAATGATCATGTCTCAAGTCTCCAATGACCATATCCTCAAGTCTTCAATGACCATGTCTCAAATCTCCAATGTCTATGTATCGAGACTTCAATGATCATGTCTCAAATCTCCAATGTCTATGTATCGAGACTTCAATGACCATGTCTCAAATCTCCAATGCCTATGTATCGAGACTTCAATGATCATGTCTCAAGTCTCCAATGACCATACCCTCAAGTTTTCAACTGACTATATCCTCAAGTATTCGATGTCTAAAGTCTTCAATGTCCATGTCCTCAAGTCTTCAATGTCCATGTCTCCAGTTGTATGTTTCAGGTTCATCCAGTCACAGGGATGGTCTTCAACCTTACCATTCTAAAACGTCTTATGACTGTAAGAATATGTATATAAAACTATGCCTGGTTGTGTGTGGCTGTGTATCTGTGCCCGAGTGTGTCTTTCCAAGTGTATATCCGTGCATATGCATGTGTGTACCTGTGTACTTGTGCGAATCTATACTTGTGTGTATCTGTGCATGTGTGTGTATCTGTGCATGTGTGTGTATCTGTGCATGTGTGTGTATCTGTACTTATGTGTGTATATGTGCATGTGTGTGTATCTGTACTTATGTGTGTATCTGTGCATATGTGTATCTGTGCATGTGTGTGTATCTGTGCATGTATGTGTATCTATGCATGTGTGTGTGTGTCTGTGCATATGTGTATCTGTGCAGGTGTGTGTATATGTGCACATGCGTGTATCTGTGCATGTGTGTATATATGAATGTGTGTGTATCTGTGCATATGTATGTATCTGTGCATGTGTGTGTATGTGTAATCTGTGCATGTGCATATCTGTGCATGTGTGTGTATCTGTGCATGTATGTGTATCTCTGCATATGTGTGTGTGTATCTGTGCATATGTGTATCTTTGCATATGTGTGTGTATCTGTGCATGTGTGTGTATCTGTGCATGTGTGTGTATCTGTGCATGTGTGTATATATGAATGTGTGTGTATCTGTGCATATGTATGTATCTGTGCATGTGTATGTATGTGTAATCTGTGCATGTGTGTGTATCTGTGCATGTATGTGTATCTGTGCATATGTGTGTGTATCTCTGCATATGTGTATCTCTGCATATGTGTGTATCTGTGCATGTGTGTATCTGTGCATGTGTGTGTATCTGTGCATGTGTGTATATATGAATGTGTGTGTATCTGTGCATATGTCTGTATCTGTGCATATGTGTGTATGTATGCATGTATGTGTAATCTGTGTGTGTGTGTAATTGTTCATATGTTTATCTACAATCATGTGAACCTGTGCATGTTTGGCTCTGCGCATGTGTTCATCTGCGCATGTGCTTTGCGCGTGTTTGACCTGTAACGGATCATGTTTGTAAATGTGTTTCTGTATATGAACGCGTGTGTCTGTAGAAGCGCTTCTTGGATTACGCATGTTTAATATTAGAGCCTTATTAACGCATTAAAACTATCTTATGGAAAACAACAATCGCGAAAAGTAGAAACATAGTTTTATAGAATGTGTGAACTGAGGAGCAGAAGAAACTACCTCTCAGTTGGTTTTATCATATGTTTGATTTTCAATTAAAAACTTGCCATTCTATATAAAAAATGAACTGTACTGGCGCTAAGTCAGCACTCAAAGAATTCCTCTACTAGGTTTTTAGATATATGATTTGACTTAAAACTTTTGTAAATTAAACAAAAATTCGCATTATACACAAATGCTGATGGTCATCTTAGAAATCTTATCTTTGAAATTTACCACTTTTTAAACGTAGAAGGGTTCATGTGGTTGAAAAATCATGTTTTTCCCTGTCGTCTACAACTGTTGCAGGAATGAGTGACATGATCAAATTTAACAAGAGTTCTTTCAATGTTCTATTACATAAAAAGACTAGGTATATTCACTGTTGCCCCTCAGTTTATAAACATATGCTAAAGTGATCTGATGAAACCTGTTATAGTTTGCGAAAAAAGGCAATCAATTTCTTTAATTGTGAGTTAAAATGGAAAAAAGACTATTTACTGTCTAAAGATATTAACTATCTATGGACATAAAACTTTTAGACTTTTAATACTGATTTCTACATACAATTATCTACACAAAGATTAAATTATTAACAATGAATCTTGTGAGAAACAGCGTACGTAGCTTTTAGAGTGTTGTCAGTAGACACGTCTGTCGTGTCTTTTGGGAACGTAATAAAACTTTAAAAAACTGACGGCCAAAAGTAAACTGGTATTAAATAACTCTAGTTTAAAAACCACAAAAGATAGATGCATGAATTACAAGGTATTGAAATGATCAAAGTCTCAACGAAATCTGCATTTATAATGTTAGTCATACTGCATCTGATATTAATAGACAAAACGTAATGGGGGAAAAGGCACACACATAAAAAAACGCCCAAGTTCAATGACACGTCATATTAATGGGGTGTATGACCACCTCCTGCTACAAGACACGTAAATACTCGCCAGCGCACAGGAAAAGTTAGTCGTCTGACGACGTCACGTAGCATACGTCGCCATTCTTATTGGTGTGTCTGGATCACTTTCTTGTCGGGTGGCTGGAGGATGTGGTCCCAGTCGAACACTACGATCCATGACATCCCAGAGGTGTTCTATGGGCGGACATGTCTTGGGAGCGTACAGGCCACGGCAACACGTTGACGTTGTTGGCTGCAAGGAAGTTCTGAACGTTTCGGGTTGTATGGGGTCTGGCGTTGTCATGTTCTTAAAAAAAACTCTACGTGGCAGCTGTTGTAGAAATAGTAGGACAACCGGACGAAGAACGCTGTCACATTTCCGTTAACGATGAACAGTGGTGTTCTGTCCTGTCAACAAATACCTCACCACACCATAACACACCCTCCACCATACGACACGACCTTTCAACATGCCACCGTTCGTTCTCCCCTAAGGGCGGTAAAAACGTTGTCTCCCATCAGCACTCAACAGACAGAACCGTCTTTCATCAGTACCAGGCACGTCCCTGCTAACGACGGACAGTCCGGGTTCATCTCAATCTCTGACGACGATGTTGCGCTGTCAATAACTGTCCTCTGTTATCCCTTATTCCTTGAGCCCTGAGTCGTCTGGCCATATGTCGACTAACCATATGCCCTAAGGCATTCGTCGCCGATGACGTCACTGTCAGGAATCGATTTCGGAGATTCAAAGTATGCAAGTATTGGTCTTCTTTGGGTGTAATTACCATGGGTTTGCCTGTTCTTGGCCTGTCTGTTGTCTGCCGGCCTGTCTTTAACGTTGCATCTGGTTAGTTACAGCAACACGAGAGCAACCAAATGTTCTAGCAATGTGGGCGTGGGCTCCCATCTGTATCATACCCAGAGCCCGCTCGCGTTGTTCGGGAGTCAGTCGTGTCACTTCCATTGGTTTTTTCTCACTGTGAGTGTCTGACATGCCGTCCGTATCATGTATATACTCTTATTGCACGTGTAGTTTCGGCTTCCCCAGCAGCACGTGTTTTTCACTTTTGTCTACAAAAAACACGTGTCGTGGACGTGTTTCACTTTCAGCGCAGGGAATCAAAGGAATCAAATCGAAAACAGATGTTTCTTCCTGATTAACCCTTTTTGAATTTGAAATATGACACTGTTTCAAAACCTTTAGAATTTAAAGATTGTATTGTTTCATCCTATTGCTATCCGATATATGTCCTAAACGAAAACTATATTACTTTACAACAACAACAAAATCAATTAAAAAGTGTGTCGTTGTAAAGACGTGTTTCTCTAATGATTTATATGTAAGTATGTTCATTTAAATATACATGTGTGTCGCTCTAATGGTGTGTGCTCACAATTGTATTAAAGTCCTTGGCCACCCGGAAAACCGTATAAACAGGATTATGATTCACTTATGATTCTAGGAATGCATCATGGATGTCCTCGACCACAAGAACATCAACATGGACGTCCCTCACTTCCGGCATACGGTCCCGTGAGTCGGCTAGCCTCGTCTTCAGATGTAACAAATGTTATATTTGGGATAACACTTTCTTAGTTTACAGATTCTAGTACTTTTGGGGGTTGAGTCCCGTCCGGGATTCAAACTCACACTTGCAAGAGTGAGGCACCTAATCGCCAGCACACAAAGTCAGCGATCTAACCCACTCAGCCACCGGGGTTTCCACAAAAATGAAAGTCCGACAACTGGTAGTCTAGATCACGTACTTTGAGTACCTCTCTGACAAGTGTAAATTGGCACGGCTCCCATGGCCGAAAGCTATGAATACACAAAGCCATTTAGGAAGTGATCAAATGTAACAGATGTTGCCATGGGAGCCGTGCCAATTATTCATACAACTGTGTTTAAACACTTCTTACTTTGTCATCTTAATCACAAATACACTTTGTGTCATACATAGCGAAGTTCATTTCCCACATGCTGTCATATACAATCTATTTACAGCTATATGACGGCGGTCTGTAAAATATCGAGTCTGGACCAGACAATCCAGTGACTGACATTATGAGCATCGATCCATGCATTTGGGATACGATGATATACATCAAACAAGTCAGCGAGCCTGACCACCCGATCCCGTTAGTAGCCTCTTACGACAGGCATAGTCGCATTTACGGCAAGCATGGGTTGCTGAAAACCTATTCTAACCCTGATCTTCACGTGTCACACTCTGTAAGAGAAATCCATCGTATCCCAATAGCTTAGATCGATGCTCATGATGTCAATAATTGGATTGTCTGGTCCAGACTACTGTCATATAGCTGGAATATATCTGAGTGCGACGTTAAACAACAAACACACAGAGACAATAACAACATATGCAGAATGCCCCCTAAACACAGAACACCCCTTCAGTTCTATTTGTCGACACTGAGAGAAAGAAATGCCAGTCTAATCCGTACCCCAAACGAAAGAAATGAAATCTTAATACGTTGTATGTTACATAAACAATGGGTTTCTAAAAAATTAATCCCAACCTGCTTGTGGCTCATTATGTCGGTGCTAGGTATCTTGATGTTTTTCATATGTGGTTTTAATATTATTTATTCACACAGGTCCTTTGTCGAGATTGAGACTGTTGAAAAGAAAAGAAATTGTTTGCCACCAAATTTACATTGTTTCAAGATATTTTTCAGAAACAAATAATTTAGGCTCAACCTGGTTTTGCGCTGAAAAAATAGCTCATCTCTAAACAAAATCCCATCCCACCCCAATCCCCACACACAGAATGTCAAGTATGCTCTGTCCCTAAGCATCCTCTGTGGGGTGAGCATTTCGCTAGTGACTGATTACCATTGTTATTATTAACTTTGTTATTACGTGTATTTTAACATATTGTACATCGATTTATTTGTAGAACCTCGGAGAACATTGTCATCTTCATCTGGAATCAGTTGAAGAAGAAGCTCGATGACGATCTCCTGTATGAAGTGCACATGCAGTCCAACGAGAGTGACGCGGCCACGTATCGTGGGGAGAACGCGGCCGGGCTTTCATAGTTACACTAGCCGACCCTGCAGCTGATCGCGAGACACACGAGCACCTGCCGCGGAGAGAACGCGCACGTCCGCTGAAAGCTTAATCTGCTACCCTGCAGTCTATCGCACTTACGTTGCACGAATATGTTCAACATGCCCTTTCTGGAACAAATAAAATGCATTATTGAGTTGTATCTGTTTGTTCTTTCTTATCACAGCGAAAGAGGAACATAAGACACAAGTAGTGTAAAATGTATAACTCAATGAAAACAAATGTGGAATCCTCTAAACAAGCAGGCCGTCTAATAGAGAGATGAAGAGTACAATGGAGCGGGTAAACATTCCTGGAAGATTCTTGGAGGATTTTGAACAATGGCCGGTGACTTACCGCTCTGTACGTACGCTGTCGGCTATAGATGATGGACGATCTCTGTACGAATTCTGTGCCTAGTATAAAGTCGACTGTGTCACAGGACTTGAAATATTTCGAAAGATTATCCTGGTTTGAGGATTGGCCGAGACGAATGAACCAGTCGTTGGAAGATATGGCACATGCTGGACGCGTCAACTTGAACCGTGCTGATAGCTGCTATTATTTTAGATGTGACAATGGTCTGAGGGGATAGAAAGCCACTGACGACCCATATGTAGAACATGAAAAGTGGCTTCAAAACAGACTTCCTAAAAAGATACGTGTGGATAAGGGAAATGAATTTAAAGGTACATTTCAGTACTTTGAAGAGAACCAGAGCATCACATTAATCGTTACACACAATGAAGACATCAAAGCCAATTATGCAGTGAGAGTGATAAGGACTTTACGATCCCTAATATCAAGGTATCTGACCCACTATAACATAGAACGGTACTTGGATGTTTCATCAGATCTAGTGTACATCTACAATCACACAGTACATAGAAGTTTGGGAAAATGGGCGCCCGCCGATGTTACCAAGCGAAACGAAATCGAGGTATGGGCAGATCTGTAGATGAATCCAGTTTTGAAAAGCATTCAGAGCAAGAAGAAAATCAACAAATTTCGCTATTAAGTGGGAGATATAGTGGGAATCAGTAATTGTTATTTAAGAAAACGCTTTAGCAACTTGCGTTGGACAGAAGAGTTGTTTGAAATTACCTCGGGAACACGTCGACAAAGCATACCACTTTACAGATTGCAAGATTTTCATGACGAATCTGTGCGAGGACGTTTTTTTCACGAACAAGAGCTTCGGAAAGTCGAAAAAGATTTAGAGGTGGGTTGGTTGGCCATCCAGTTTCGATAGCTGGGTACCCGAAAGTGAAGTGGAAAACTTGCAAACATGGATAAATATGTCCTATTTAGCAGTTCAGATTCCAGGATTACTTTTCCCAATTCCCCCTATTGTTATCGTGCTGTCTCAACGCCCACAGCTAGAAGGAATGTGTCTGGTGGCTTTATTGGAGTTAAAGTTTGGCAAGCTAAACTTGAAAGACATGAACAATTCCACTGTAGACCTGATGTGCAATCTGTGCGATAGTTCTCACGTCGGAGAGGATTATATCCCTGTGGTAAGACGTGTTGATATGCGGTCCCAATTACTATTTCTATCTACCACGGTACATACTTGTGGTTTTGAAAGACACCTCCGGAATTCAACTATATATAAAGTGTGCAAAGGGGGCCTCACACTCATTCTGAAAGGCGTGAACGTGTCACGTGTCTTGCGTCGCAATCCATTTTAGACCTAAACTGTGGAACGCAAATTGTATATACCGAGCCTAATAAATTCATGCACTTCTTTAAAAATAGATCGAAAGGTTCTAACGCACCAGTGATGAAGGGACGTCCTCGATTCCAAATCATTTCCATTCTACCCAGAAAGCCTCCAGCTTCAAAATCGGCTAGATCATCGGTCAAAATAAAAGTGACGTTACACAGCCAAGATGTGGTTGAAAGAGCAGAGGCTGCACAGCAGAGAATCAACGCTATAAAAAGGCAAGTTGGTGAATAAATTGTCAGGCCGAAGAAAGTTCGTCGGGAAGGCCATCTCTGAAGTTTAACAATACTCCAAGCGTTGGTAAAAAGGACATTTTCCCCCAATAACATGTCGGTACTCACAAAGAAGCAGGTTATAGAAACTCTCCCTTCTTCTCTGGATTTGTTTGATCTGGATCCCTATCAAACTAGCATCCTACAAATTATTACGACAATGTTCGCCCTCTCTCGGTCATCACGGACTCCAGTCCCGTGGAATTCCACATGAACAACGCTGGTAGCGATTACTTCGATGTGGGTCGAACCAGAATTCACGTCCAACTGAGAGTGACTCGTGCTGATCATTAGCATCTCACTGATAAGGAGAAAACCCGTCAACCTGACATTGCAGAGTCTTTGGTCTCAGATCAATGTTTACCTACAGGGACAGCAGGTGAGCTCCAGCAATGGGGGTTATCGTCACAAGGCCATGATGCAATTCCTTCTTGAGAATGGCATGAATGCCAAGCTTCACACTCAACTATTTTATAAAGATACCGGAGACACGGTGGCCGATGTTAATGACACTGATCCAACACATCCTTCATCTTGATGTCGGGAGAAAGCAGTAAGTAATATAACAATGAACTGCCTACGTGTACCTGAAAGTATGCAAATTAAAAGTTAATGACGCCTTAATCCTTGCTCACAAGAAACTGTTCGAGAAGGGAAATGCTCTCTACCCATATGAGAGGTTTATGGTGAAGATGACATCAGTCCCATCGTCTAGTCCAGACTCGATTATTTACAGACCGCCGTCATGAAGCTGGAATATTGCTGAGCGCGGCGTTAAACAACAAACCAAACCAAACCAAAAACCTATTTGACATGGCGTCTCCCGAAGCACAAGCTACAATGTCATGGCCTTGCTACATATCATCGTTCTAGATGTGAACTATTTTGTTTTATGTTTGACCAGACAATTCACATGACCATAAATATATATTCATGTCATAATCTGGCAGGATAATGGAAGTCATTTATTCGGCTCACAAACAAAGACAAAGACAATAAATAATAATGTTTACTGTTCCGAATATATTTATGAACACATGGAGGTGACCTGAAAGAGTCTAGTTATAGATCAGAAGGTCCCCATGGTAACACAATACCTACGCTGAACATGGCGAATGTACGTGATTTGCATCTTGTTAAAATGTGCCGTGAATAGCCAACACGTGGTAGAATTCGCTGTTCTGGACACTGATTTGTCCATGAAATATTTTAACAGATATTATGGTTACTCGAATATATCAATTCTTTGCACCGATGATGATAAAACGTTCATGCTATATAACATCCATTTTACCCCGTTTCTTTGTCTCATTGCCCTGTTTTCGTCCGTTTCGTATTTCGTGCAATTTTATACATCTAGTTTCGTACGTAGAGCATAATGGAGATCACCGTCGAAGGGGACGGTCGCACGTAACATCGCTCAGAGAAACGTGCTACTTATCTCATGATCTATACAGCTGTACAACTTGAGAAAGTACCTCCTAACAACTGAGCATCACAGGAAAACAATACCGTGAAAACGAAGTTTCTTGGAAAGTGAGTTTAATGTTGTAGTTTTTGGTCGGAATCTGTAAAATGATATCTTACCATCTATTGTGTTAACAACCCAACTCAATTTAACGATGGAGCCTTTACCAGAGACGCACATTGAGCGCTCGGGTACCTTTTGCCAACAATAGAAGAATCCGACGAGGTCTACAGTGCACAGCCCAGCGATGAACAGGACAAAGCCATGTATCTGGAGATACTTAAACACTTAAAAAACTTAAACACAAAGAAAAGCGATCATTCATGGAAAGCCTACTTAGTTTTTACGACAAAAGCATGAATGAGTTACGTCCGAGAGAGCTTGTATGATTATACAAAGGATAATTGTGACAACTTTCCAACAGGATCGCTTTTCAAACGACGAAATACAAATGGCGATGTTCATAATGCCCTCGATAAATGTGCACAAGATGTATGTAATCTTTTTTTCACTTCATTTAAGGAGGTGTACCAGAATGTGTTCCCTGGACTAAAGTACTCCGAAATATGTCTTTGTTAGCTGTACCTTCGAATGACAACAGACTGTCGTCATATAGATGGAATATTGCTGAGTGCGGCGTTAAACAACAATAAAAAAACAAAAACAAATCTTACAGAGTGTACAAAGATTAAGTTTCGCGGATCTACACAGACTGCATACTTAATCGTTAACACAACCAGTTGCAGACAACGATACGAATCAGTGATAATGCAGTACAAAAGTGAGCGCTAATGTACGCCCACGCTAGCATCAGCCAATCAGGCAACAGTACTTCGCTTTTTGGTGTTTTAGATGTGTGGACCTAACGTAAATGAAGTGCTTGGTTAACCAATGAATTGCCACGGAATCACTTGTGATATGTTCATATGGGGGATTAAATTTAAACACATTTCATTTAGCGTTGTAACTGCATTAACACTGTCCAGTAGCGCCACACATCTCGACGACCGAGGCCAGAAGGTACGTGTACGTTGACCACTTGGTCGAAACACTGGACATAGCGTGCTGCAGGCGTTCTGTAGAGGCCACACAATATAGTTAATATTGAGCAAGACTGACCACTTGCTTAACATGTTGGGTGCTACATGATGTACTGTAGGAGAAAGATAGCCTCATTAATATTTAACACGTGAACAATGGCTGGTCATTCTCATGCATTGGCAATTTATATTAACATGTTTGGCGCTTTGAGTGTGCCGCCCTGCTCACTGATTGTATCCGTCTTCTTTACCTGACACCTACATCAGGTGGCACAGGTGGTGGGCCCAGTCGTCTGAGGCGCCACAGTTCGTATGTAGAGTCACCTCTCGTATGTGAGTCTTTTATCAAGGGTTCCAATTCCAAAACATATTATTTGTGTTAAATCTATAGATAGTGTTGCTACATGATGTACTGAGAAAAATAGCCTCATTAATATTTAACACGTGAACATCTACCTGAGCTCGTATGTTAATAAACTATTACTTGCTGTCACTCGCACATTACTGTTAACGAAATACAGCTTTCTAAATTAACGTCTGTATAAGTAATTTTGTTCTTATTTGGAACATTTGTTGTTCGGCAACCTGCTGTTTTTGTGAATATTATTCATGCTAAGGCCACGTTGATCCTTTGGTGAAACTTGAATAGTTTAACATGTTTATATAGTGCAGTACAATCACTGGATTGTCTGACCCAGATTGTTTACAGACTGCCGTCATGTAGCTAGGATGTTGCTGAGTGCGGCGTTAAACAACAAACAATGAAAGTACAACCACTAATGGGAAATTAACGAAGCCACTTTCACGTCCGATTGACAGTGGTTAATGACAGACCAAATTCAAGATCATAATAATTGTTATTGTGATTTGGTCATTATTTCAAAGTCTGCGTAAACTCGTGGTAATAATCTACAGAGCCACCACAGTTTCGTTTCGGAAGTGACGTCACCATCTTCATCTCTCCTATCACCAACTTAGCACAAGATTTCTCTCGCTCATGAGTGTGATCTGATTGGACGACTACTTTAGCGGCATGTCTTTTGACCATTGTTCATAACGAAGCTTGGTGGAGATTCCGTGCAGGGTATGTGTCATAATAGAATATATAAAACCCTGGAAAATCGAGGATGGTCTACTTCTCTCTTGCAGGACGCCAGGTAACAATGGAGCGGAGCGAGAACAGAACTGTTTACATCAGCAGAACGGAAACATTCAGCGCCGGACACAGGCTCTTCACGTAAACTTCAAAACGTCTTTTTAGTTAGTGGCAATAGTAAACTGGTCATAGTGCCCATAGGAGATAGTCACTGTGTTTTGAATCATTTCGTGTATAAATAAATGTGGCAATTGTGAGTGGGCGAGCTTTTATGCTACGTTAGTAAAATTCCCGCCATATGACGGTCTTCACACTTCGAAGCCATATGTGGAATCGAACCCAAGCTAACGATTACTTGTGTCGCCCCACCGCCACCAAAACAGGATTATGAGGACCTGACACACTGACGTAACGGCTGCCTTATTGGTGTTATACGTCACTCACATACAGAGGTAACGGCTGCACAATGAGCGTTAAACGTCACTCACACACTGACGTAACGGCTGCACAATGAGCGTTAAACGTCACTCACACACTGACGTAACGGCTGCACAATGGGTGTTAAACGTCACTCACAAATTGACGTAACGGCTACACAATGGGTGTTAACGTCACTCACACACTGATGTAACGGCTGTCCAAAGAGTGTTAAACGTCACTCACACACTGATGTAACGGCTCCACAAAGGGTCTTAAACGTCACTCACACACTGTCGTAACGGCTGCACAATGGGAGTTAAACGTCACACACACACACTGATGTAACGGCTGCCCAAATAGTATTAAACGTCACACACAAATTGACGTAACGGCTGCACAATGGGTGTTAAACGTCACTCACACACTGATGTAACGGCTGTCCAAAGAGTGTTAGACGTCACTCACACACTGATGTAACGGCTGTCCAAAGAGTATTAAACGTCACACACAAATTGACGTAACGGCTGCACAATGGGTGTTAAACGTCACTCACACACTGATGTAACGGCTGTCCAAAGAGTGTTAAACGTCACTCACACACTGATGTAACGGCTGTCCAAAGAGTGTTAAACGTCACTCACACACTGATGTAACGGCTGTCCAAAGAGTGTTAAACGTCACTCACACACTGATGTAACGGCTGTCCAAAGAGTGTTAAACGTCACTCACACACTGACGTAACGGCTGCACAAAGGGTCTTAAACGTCACTCACACACTGTCGTAACGGCTGCACAATGGGAGTTAAACGTCACACACACACACTGATGTAACGGCTGCCCAAAGAGTATTAAACGTCACACACAAATTGACGTAACGGCTGCACAATGGGTGTTAAACGTCACTCACACACTGACGTAACGGCTGTCCAAAGAGTGTTAAACGTCACTCACACACTGACGTAACGGCTGTCCAAAGGGTGTTAAACGTCACTCACACACTGACGTAACGGCTGCACAAAGGGTGTAAACGTCACTCACACGTTAGCTGTGTGATTACTGCTAGCACCATACTTTCACATATACACCACACTAAAGACAAAATAATTTGATTAATTTTTAAACTTATATACACAAAGAAAAAAGTTAAGCGCACCCCTATTTCTGAACCATGACAAATGGCAAAAGTCATGGCATGGGATGACTGACCACATGAGCTGGGCGATACCAATATCATCGGATAGAACAAACAATTGACAACAAATAAAGAAAATATTGGTGAGTTGTGATTTAAATTTACTGACAAAAACATCATGGTAACACAGGTATTGTTCTTGACCTTAGACAATACCTCAAAAAGGTATGAAGCTGAAGGATTAAGTAAACGAGTTACGTTTGATGTTTCATAAAGTCTCTACTTGACATGACACGTGAAACAGATCAGTAGCGGGTATAACCGCCACATGCAAGGATGACGCATTCCACCCTACGCCTCATGCTTCCAGTCAGACGTTGGATCTGTTGATGGGTCAACAACAACAACTCCTGGTGCAATGCTGCTTCCAGTTGGAGTCAATCTTGCACAGGAGGATCTCGTGCCTGTATGCGCCGCCCCAGAATATCCCAAACATGTTCAAGGGGTTTCAAATCTGGGCTCATTACTGGCCAGGGTAGATTCGTTATTGCATTGGCCCTCATGTAATCCACGACTGCATGCGAACGATGAAGCCTGGCATTGTCATCCATGTACTGAGGTCGAGTAGCAAGAGGGTGGTTGTCAAAATGATGAACGACGACGTCCGGATGTACTGAGTCCCTGTTAAGTTGCCCTTATGGTGACCAAATCCACCCTGCAATCATGAGAGATACATCCCCCAAACCATTACCGAGCCCCCGCCGTATGCAACAGTCGGTTCAATGTTCCTGGCGAAGTAGGCCGTGTTCTGGTGCCCCCAAACTCTCGTTCTTCGACCTGTGACGTGGAGGAGAAAGAGACTTTCGTCTGACCAATGGATCCGTTCTCAGATTCCAGTTCTGTCGCGCAATACACCATGCTAAACGAGCAGCTTTATGGCGATCTCTCAACAAGGGACGCTTTATGACTCGTCTAGCCCTCAGTCCAGCTGCTTTCAGGCGGTTCCTGACGGTTCTGGTGCTGAAACGACGATTGGGCAACCACAGCTGTTTCAGACGAATACTTGTTAAAAAGGGTTCTCGGCAGATAAGACGAAGAAGGTCCCTGTCTTCGCGATGTGTCGTCACAGGAGGACTTCCGGATCTTGGACGGTCCTGTACATCACTGGTCTGAGCATGTTTCTCGACTAAACGGCTTACGACAGTGTGATGATACCCTAAATTTCGACCAATGGCATTACAAGGCATTCCTGAGTTATGCATGCTGATTATTTGCCATCTTGTGGCGTTTGATAATCGCCTTCGAGCCATGGTCACACAATGTCATGGAATAACTGTTTAAAACCGAGCTTAAGAAAGCAATTTTAACGTTTGGATATACTGCTTTTAGATATACTCGAGGGTAGTTTGATGCACGGGCATACCATGCATGGCACGTGAGCTTTCGTCACGCATGACAGATAACATCATCTCGAGAAAACAAATTCTTCCCGTAATTATATCTTTCATGACTGTTACAAATATTGGGACCAAACAATAATGAAATATAAAGCTTTGTTCACCTCAGTAAGACATTGTAATCAACCAACTCTGAAATACAGAGAAAACAACAAACATTTTTATCATTTGATCATTTTATTCTGAAAGGACGTTCAATAATGAGTGTGTCCACCTTTAGCAGTGACGACTGCATTCACTCTCTGGGTCATGGATCGGTATAACCGTTGGAACACCTCTTTTGGCAAAGAAAACCAATGTTTTTGAACGGACTTCCAGAGCTCCTCACTCGATTTTGGCATGTCCTTGGCAACACGTTTTCCGATCAAGTCCCAGATATTTTCAATAGGATTCATGTCTGGGGAGTTCCCAGGCCATGGTAATACTTGTACTCCCTTTCTTGCCAAGAAATGTTGGGTAGATCTTGAATTGTGTTCTTGAGCGTTGTCAGTTTGAAATATGAAGCCCTTGTCTGGAAACATGAGACAGTTGCCATGTTCTACAATATCATTGATAATGTAGTTTTGATAACGTTCACTATTCAATGTCCCGTGGACTTTCTTGAGGACTCCTGGACCATTTTGTGAAATAACCCCCCAAACATGAACCTGGGGTGGGTGTTTGACGGTGGACTGAACACATTGTTTACTGAATCTTTCATGAATAAATCTTCGAACCTTCATACGTCTGCGATTACTGAAACACCTGAAGATGGATTCATCTGAAAATAACACCTTCTTCCACTGTGGCAGACCAAAACGTCGAACCTGTTTTGCCCATACAAATCTGTTTTTACGTTGACGTTTATTCAAGAGGGGTTTACGGAAAGGCACATAGCATTTTAGACCAAAGAGCATAAGTCGTCTTGAGATTATCATCCTACTGATTGTTCTACCCAGTGATTGCTTTAATTTTCCATGAAGAATGTTGAGCGTTGCATACCTATCTCTTAGACATGCTTTGCGGATTATTCTGTCTTTTCGTACAGAAGTACATTTCGGTCTGCCAGATCTTACACGGTCGTTAACGCTGCCTGTTGTCTTGTACTTTTGATAGAGTTTTATCATTCCTATAATTAACACCCTACATTCGTATTCTCTTCTCATTTCTTTTCACAGTCTTCCATGGAAACCCCAAATCTCTCATGGTTACAATTTGCCTCCTCTCATCTAAAGTCAGGTTACGTCTCTTTCTCGCTGCCATCCTGCATTACAAATTAAATCAAATAAATTATAACATAATTAACTAGAAGTTGAAATGATTTGCAGAGTCTTATCTCTAGAACATTGATTTTGGCAGATATTATTTTGCAAAAAGCACATTGTATCGAAAAACCCTATTAAACTGCATTTACAGTTAACATTTTTCTCAAAATCATTTTGTCAGACACATTATTAGAGGCCAAAGGTTAGCTACAAAGATTACTGAAGAGAAAAGATGTTAACTTACCCTTTGATGCTGCAAACAGTCTTCTCCGTACTTCTGACGACTGATAGGTAACACATTGAAAAGTGGATACAAAACTAAATATACATGTAAAGTTGGCAAATTTCGGTTAAGTTTGGTACATTTGCCTATAAGGTTAGTATGCATATCTAAAAAAAACCAATAGATTGGAAAATAAAATAATCTAAGTATCAAAATACAGTACTTAACTTTAAGAAAGTGAAGTGAACAAACTTTTGGGATGCAGCTGTATTAGGGTGTGCTTAACTTATTTCTTTATGTATAATAACTTCTTAAAATAGTTAAAGAACATCCAATTCTTTCATATGACTATAGTTAACTGTCTTGATTAACGAGGTTTCACTACTCATGTAAACATTCAAACCATTGTCTGAATAAATACTTCTTCCATAGTGAACAGCTGACAGATGTGGAAAATGAGAAAATATTTGGAAAATGCAGTTCCGTAAATGGTCATGGCCACAACTACAAAGGTAAGATCAGTACAAGGGCTAAGTGACATGCATAATGTGTCGAAAGAAATGTCAGAAACAAATGAGATAAAGAACAAAATAGCAATAATTTTGTTTCATGTAAGATGCCTTTAAGATGATGACCAAGAGCACTGTAATTCTGGTGGAAGTTGCAGAAACAGCCTTTATGGATACATAGTGTAACATTAGTTCCTTCTAATAAATACAACTTTTGTTGTGTTTTTTGTTGATGTTTTTGATGTTTTGTTGTTGTTTGTTTGTTTTGTTTGTTTTTTGGGGGGAGGGGGTGGTATCGCGATGGCGGCTAATTATATTCTTTTATTTTACACCGATGTAACTATCATGTTGATGTTCAATTTGGCATCCATAATATTTCAGCCATATCGCGACAACATTCTGTTTTAAATTACATCAGTAGGATTGCTTGACTTACTCAATGTAATTGTGCTCTACATTTCCCTCGTTTTGTTCACAGTTCGTGTGACGCTGCGTGGACCGGTGAGTAGAAAACATTCCTTCCACAAACTGACCATTGTCCTGCCTAGGATATCACATTGAATCATACACATACAAATTAATGCTTCCTTCCACAAACTGACCATTGTCCTGCCTAGGATATCACACTGACTCTCACACATACAGATTAGTGCTTCCCCCACTGAACATCTGGAACACCGTTTCTGCCTTGATCAGACCCTGACTGGGTAGGAGATTCTCACCACAATATGCAATGCCTGTGTCTTCAAGTCTTAAATGCCCGTGTGCTGATGTCTTCAATGGCCATGCCTTCAAGTTCAATGTCAATGTCCTCAAGTCTTCATCGACCATGCCGTCATGTCTTGTATGCCCATGTATTCACTTCTCCAATGACAACATCTTCACGTCTTAAATGACCATGCGTCACACCTTCAATTGACCATGTCCTCATGTCTCCAATGACCATGTCCTCGTGTCTCTAATGTCCATGTCCTCAAGTCTTCAATGTCCATGTCCTCAAGTCTTCAATGACCATGTCCTCGTGTCTCCAATGTCCATGTCCTCGTGTCTCCAATGTCCATGTCCTCAAGTCTTCAATTACCATGTCCTCAACCCTCCAATGACTATGTCCTCAAGTCTTCAATGACCATGTTATCAAATCTTCAATGTCCATGTCCTTAAGTCTCCAATGACAATGCCCTCAAGTCTCCAATGACTATGTCTCAAATCTCCAATGACCGTGCCCTCAAGTCTCCAATAACTATATCTCAAATCTTCAATGTCCATGTCCTCAAGTCTCCAATGAACATGTCCATATGTTTCCAATGTCCATGTCCTCAATTCTCCAATGACGATGTCCTCAAGTCTCCAATGATCATATCCCTATGTCTTCAATGACCATGTTCTCAAATCTCTCATGTCCATGTCCTCAAGTCTCCAATGAACATGTCCATATGTCTCCAATGATCATGTCCTCAAGTCTCCATTGAACATGTCCATATGTCTCCAATGTCCATGTCCTCAAGTTTCCAATGACGATGTCATCAAGTCTCAAATGACCATGTCCTCAAGTCTCCAATGACTATGTCTCAAATCTCCAACGTCCATGTCCTCAAGTCTCCAATGAACATGTCCATATGTCTCCAATGTCCATGTCCTCAAGTTTCCAATGACGATGTCATCAAGTCTCAAATGACCATGTCCTCAAGTCTCCAATGACTATGTCTCAAATCTCCAACGTCCATGTCCTCAAGTCTCCAATGAACATGTCCATATGTCTCCAATGCCCATGTCCTCAAGTTTCCAATGTCCATGTCGTCAAGTCTCCAATGACTATGTCTCAAATCTTCAGGGCCATGTCCTCAAGTCTCCAATGAACATGTCCATATGTCTCCAATGTCCATGTCATCAAGTCTCCAATGATTATGTCCATATGTCTCCAATGACCATGCCCTCAAGACTCCAATGACGATGTCATCAAGTCTCCAATGACCATGTCCATATGTCTCCAATGACCATGTCATCAAGTCTCCAATGACTATGTCCATATGTCTCCAATGACCATGCCCTCAAGTCTCCAATAACCATGTCCATATGTCTCCAATGTCCATGTCCTCAAGACTCCAATGACGATGTCATCAAGTCTCCAATGACTATGTCCATATGTCTCCAATGACTATGTCATCAAGTCTTCAATAACCATGTCCATATGTCTCCAATGACCATGTCCTCAAGTCTCCAATGAACATGTCCATATGTCTCCAATGTCCATGTCCTCAAGTTTCCAATGACGATGTCATCAAGTCTCAAATGACCATGTCCTCAAGTCTCCAATGACTATGTCTCAAATCTCCAACGTCCATGTCCTCAAGTCTCCAATGAACATGTCCATATGTCTCAAATGCCAATGTCCTCAAGTCTCCAATGAACATGTCCATATGTCTCCAATGTCCATGTCCTCAAGTTTCCAATGTCCATGTCATCAAGTCTCCAATGACTATGTCTCAAATCTTCAGGGCCATGTCCTCAAGTCTCCAATGAACATGTCCATATGTCTCCAATGTCCATGTCATCAAGTCTCCAATGACTATGTCCATATGTCTCCAATAACCATGCCCTCAAGACTCCAATGACGATGTCATCAAGTCTCCAATGACCATGTCCATATGTCTCCAATGACCATGTCATCAAGTCTCCAATGACTATGTCCATATGTCTCCAATGACCATGCCCTCAAGTCTCCAATAACCATGTCCATATGGCTCCAATGTCCATGTCCTCAAGACTCCAATGACGATGTCATCAAGTCTCCAATGACTATGTCCATATGTCTCCAATGACTATGTCATCAAGTCTTCAATAACCATGTCCATATGTCTCCAATGACCATGTCCTCTAGACTCCATTGACGATGTCATCAAGTCTCCAATGACCATGTCCTTATGTCGTTAACGTTCATGTCTCCAGTTGTATGTTTCAGGTTCATCCAGTCACGGGGATGGTCTTCAACCTTACCACACTAAGACGCCTTATGACTGTAAGCATATGCATGTAGAAATGTGTCAGTTTATGTGTAGATGGGCATGTGTGCATATGTTCAGCTATGCATGTGTATTTTCGCATGTTTTGAACTGTAATGTGTCATGTTTGTAAATGTGTCTCTGTATTTTTGTGTATCGGTAAAAGTGTCTTTGTAAAGGTGTGTTTCTCTATTGATGTACTTTTAACTGTGTTTCTATAACTGTATGTCGTTCTAATGCTATGTTAACAATCGTAATAGTCATCCCTTATCTATCATTGGTAAGGGACGAGTTACTTTTCAGAAAACCGTATAAACAGGATTATGATTCAGTTATGATTCTAGGAATGCATCATGGATGTCCTCGACCACAAGAACATCAACGTCGACGTCCCCCACTTCCGGGATACGGTCACGTGAGTAGACTAACCCAGTCTTGAGATGTACAGCCAGTATTGGACTCAATTAAGTAGAATGACTTCTGAGCAGAAAATGGACAATTTATGGACCACAACCTTTTTGTTTTAGTGCAATTGTGTCGTTTGTGTATAGGTCCTTATACCGTTGCTTCTCCGTCAATGGGATCTATATCGAAACGTCGCGATTACATTAAAATATAGAAGTTGTTACCAATTAATTGTGTTTACCCTGTCACCAATCTAACATTTCGTCAAGAGTGTAGACCAGTTACAGGCACTTTTTGTTCCCATCGTGTCTGTAAACTACAATTACAAAACTATATTACAAATTATTTCCCTGACATAGACAAATGATTCAATCTCAATTATCAGTAAATGTTTGATCGAAGCGTGAAACACAGACGCTTGTAATAGTGTTTTTTTCAGGTCATCGTATCCCAATTGCTCATGATGTCAATAACGAATGTCTGGTTCAGACTTAATTATTTACCGTCATACTGCTGGAATATTGCGTTAAACAACAAACACACACGAAAAATAACATGTGAAAGGAGTTCTCGGAAACACAGAAGGCCCCCTTAGTTTTATTGCTCGACACTGAGAGAAAGAAATGCAATTTAATGCGTATTTAAGAGGAAGAAATGATATAATATGTTACCTCAAAAACAATAGGGCATCGAGCGTCCTTATTTCTAAAAATATAATCCTAAAAGACATTTTCTTTTTGCTCATTATGTCGGTCATAAGTATCTTGCTGTTTTTCATGTGCTCAAATATAATTCTCACTGATCCGTTGATGACATGTCATGACTTATAAGAATTCTCTGTGGCGATCTTTTCGCTAGTGACTGGTTACCATTGTTATTATTAACTCTGCCATTGCATTAGTTTATCATATTGTACATCGATTTAATTGTAGAACCTCGGAGAACATTGTCATCTTCATCTGGAATCAGTTGAAGAGCAAGCTCGATGACGATCTCCTGTATGAAGTGCACATGCAGTTCAGCGAGAGACACACGGTCACGTATCGCGGGGAGAACGCGGTCGTGCACTGGTAGTTACATTAGCCGACCCTGAAGCTGATCGCGAGACACACGGGCACCTGCCGCGGAGAGAACGCGCACGTCCGCGCAAACTTGTATCTTCTACCCTGCACTCCATCGCATTTACGTTGTACGAATATATATTCAACATACCCAGTCTGGAACCCAACAAAGTACATTATTGATTTGTGTGTGTTTTTCTTTCTACTCTCACTGACAAAGGAACACAAAATATACATTTCATTTGATAGGGATGTTTCCATACGATCAGCAAAGAAAACAACTTTGGAAAGATGCAGACGAACTCAGTGGTCTGATGAACTGTAATTGCAGATTTGCACCCCTGTTCCATGCCAGAATCCTTTAAATTTTGGTTCGAGTCCCACTTTTGATCTTTGGTCTGTCAGAACCATACGCGTGCAAGTGGATTCAACCAAGAAGTCTACGACCCGCATCACATTGTAGTTTCCGTCTTATGTCAAAGACCGCTGTTATTAAGTAAAAATGGATCAAAAAAACATTCTTAAACTTGTAACAAAAAACATAGCTATTTGGATACAACCAGACTGATTGGTATTGCTAATATAGGGAAATGATTTTAGGTTTATTTCCATTTAGTGTTGTAACTGTATTAACACATCTCCACGACCGAGGCCAGAAGGTACGTGTATGTTGACCACTAGGTCAAAACACTAGACATAGCGTGCTGCAGGCGTTCTGTAGAGGCCACACAATATAGTTAATATTGAGCAAGACTGACTACTTGCTTAACACGTTGGGCGCTTTGGGTGTGCCGCCCCGCCCACTGATTGTATCCGTCTTCTTTACCTCACACCTACATCAGGTGGCACAGGTGGTGGGCCACGTCGTCTGAGGCGCCACAGTTCGTATGTAGACTTGCGTCCCTTAGTTGAGTTGGGTTCGTGGATGCCACAGCACACCGACCTATTCCATACAGGAATAATCTTATCAACGTCACGTTTGTCTGCAATGCACGCTCGTTGTTATATATAAATATTACTTTTATTCCTCCATATGAGAGTACAAAAACATGTTGTAAGTTAACGGTGAAGAGGAGAGATTTTACATCAATTGGGAGTCACTTTGGAAGTTGTGCATATCATATAGTCTGGTTATCACAGATATTGGGAAGAGTTCTTGATCGTCATTGGACAGGGTAACAGGAGGCTGACAGGACAGGAGGCTGACAGGACAGGAGGCTGACAGGACAGGAGGCTGCAGACAAGCTCAGTGTCGGATCTATCTTGGAGTTGGACGAGTTCCACAGGACCAGTGTTGATGAGGTCTCACATTGACACTGGGCGTATGTCAGAAGATCGGCGTTGTGTTGATATCGAAAATATGACAGACGCTTTTTTCAAACATGGAGATCTACTGTAGATGTATCAAGCAAATGCGAATATTAAAGATGTTTTAAAATGCAAATATGCGCAGAAAATGATTTAACTGCTGTAAATATAAGAAAATGCAGAAATCTTCAACACAATTTAGATGCAGCTGACACAGATTAATGGTTAACGTTGGCAGGCACAAAACAAATACCAAAATGTTTAAGATTATGTAGACAATGTTCCTTAAATGTCTTCGAAGAAGAATTTCCATTTTTATTTGTATGTTGTAAAAATGATAATTTAAGGACAAATATGTTGAAAAAAATACTATGTACATCCAAATAAATACGAGTTTATCTCATTAATATCACATGTGAGCAGAACGGCTATACGACATCTATCTGTATTTATATACCATGCCATGCTATTAAAAATGAATCCTTGTAACCGCTTCCACATTGTCATGTATTCTGTACTATGGACCTGTGGCCTTACAGTTATATATGAATAAACTGAATTGAATTCAGATTTCTGGGTTAACATATTGTTTCAATTTGGGAATCGACAGGAAACAACGCCCAAAACAAGATTTCAACCGGATTATTATCGGTAAATAAAACGGACAATTCTCAGTGAATGTATAGTTTAACATCAATGTCCTGTGTCTATCATCGTTAGGATACGTACTTTACAATGATGTGAATTATTGAAGATATATATTTCAAACGAGGACGCTTGCTAGACTTTACTTGCCACTTGCGTGTGCTTCAGTATTACAGTTAATATTACAAACACTGAATACCGGCACGTTGATGGGTGTAAGGATAAGATATATGGATGAACAACTTCTTAATTACAATTAGGAGCGACGTTTCGGTGTAGGTTCTAACACTGTTACCAAGCAAGATTCAATACGCTTAGAGTAATAAGGCGTACGACATATAAAATTTTAGCGCCTCAAAAGCTGTTTCGGTCGTAGGGAACTGGGAATGAAAAACAAGTGCACACTCATCCATTGAGAATGGTAACAATAAGATCTCATGGTCACATTTTAGCTATTAGTTATTTTAGTTATTTCAGAATTTTAGATATTATTTACATTGTGTGCTTTTAAACTTCATAATAATCAAATCAATGATGATGATGACGATGACGACTACGATGATCATGATCATCATCATATGTGTAGAATCCCTCTAATCTACCCATGTCCTTACCACATACACATTTGGTTTGGTTGCAACAGAGTTGCGTCAATGCCAGTAACCTAATGTCGTGGGTTTGAATCCGGGTTCGCCCTAACTGACAAGGTTTGTCAGCACCATCAACAAGTTGGGACGTCTAGCATTCATCATTTCGTGCTTTCCTCCCGCATAAAGCTAACACGCCGTGGTACACTGAACTATACTATTCAAAGCGGCGTTAAACTCACTCTCTCACTCACTCACCTCCAACATCCAGCTAGTCTCCTTCCTACGTTAGTTATTTTTTAACGTCCTGTTACAGCCAGTGTTCGCAATTCCCTTGTTCTCTTCATATCAGATCCAGCGTTTCATCCTTCTAATCCTGCGTCTCTTTGTTTAACGCAACAGTCAACAATTGTCATTCATATTTGAGTTGATTCGTATCAGCCTTTGAAGTTCGAATGAATGATTATCAACACATTGAAGGGTGATGCAATTACATTTCACTTCAGTGACATATTCTGTATTTTATTCGCACCCATTCTTTGATGTTTGCGGCGATACCTTTTAATTTCTCACAAGCATGAGACAGAAGGTCAGTGACTGTCAACTTCGCTTCAAAGCATAACTGATATCAAAATACACCACTGCATCGTTTACTGATTGAATGGGATGAAAGTGAATGTCCATTAAGCAGTGATATGTTGGAATGACTTTGGTTTCTAATGGCCATTGTGTTGGCACCTGTCACAAACACATGCAAAGGCAAGACAACTGGTCACCTGAAAAAAAACACTCGAGCATATGGTACAAGTCAAAATAGGGAATTGCATCAGACATCATTTTTGTCACTGATGCGTCAAATTTGGAAGTGTCCTCCACATGCCTACGTTATAACACTTTGAAAGCTTTACTGAGGCCTTGGTTCTTGTAACTGCGATCAAACAGCTTCCGAGCAAGGGTCTTATGACGCTCTTTGAAATATTGGTGGAAAGAATGTACCTCAAAAGTTGTGAAATATTTACACCAAGGGCTGGACCTGCAGGAATCCTGCTCGACCTAAAGGTAAGCTGACTATTGGAAAGATTGAGTCATCTCTCTGGTTCAAGTTCAAGTGGCTAAATCAGTGGAAGAGAATTTCGTGGTTATTGAACGATATCAGATCATCGATATACCTAAAACTTATCTTAAACCTCTTGGCTAAATTCCCTTATTTTCACTTTGCCAATCTGAGCAGAAATTCGGATTTATATGCATGAAGAAAAGAGGTGAGGTGAAATGGGGTTTAACGTCGCGTCCAAGATTATTGCGCTTATATAGCGACGTGCATGTACGTGTGTGTGTTTGTGTGGCTGCTTGTACTAGTCCGAACTCATGCCGATTTATAGTGCTAGCTCACTGAGATACCATGCCGCAGTTAAACATGAATACCCCACTCAGACACAGTATACTGACTCCGAGCCGACCAGTCCTTGTTTTAGCCCCTTAATGCCGAGCGCCAGACAGGGTAACAACAAGTACCATCTGTTAACGTCTTTTGGTATGACGCGGCCGGGGATCGAACCCCGGACCTTCCGCTCTCCGGGCGGACGCTCTACCACTAGACCACGGAGGCGGTCATGAAGAAAAGATCAGCGACAAGGGAAGCACAATTGGTGTCCATGGGGATGCCTACTTCTTGCCTAAATGTCTTACCCCAAATATTGCATAGATTTGAAGGAAGTCCTAAATTTCACAAATCGTTTTATCAGTAATCTTTAAACGGAATTTGATTTCATTTTTGACACATTGTTCTGAACCTCTGAAAATAGATATGTAACTGTATCTATGGTCACCATGTTTTGTAACAAAAGCCCAAAGGATCAAGGAATGAAGTTTTTCCTTCAATGCAATGTTGTGACCATGGGTCCGCGTACAAAACAACATAGCGAAATACATGCACAGACGTTAAACTAATCTCTGTTTTAGACTCATCTGTTTGAACATAGAGGACTGACCATAGTCACGAGTTATTCATGAATATTCTTTGTTTGTTTGAACAATTATTATGGTTGATGGGTTAAAGGCTTCATAGTCAAACTGTCAGTGCCAAAGAATACTCAGTCTGGAACATCCCAGTTGCCCAAGATTATTCTAAATATCGAAGTCAATCCTGTTTATAGGTAAATGTCGTTTGTTTGTTTGTTTGCTTGTTTGTTTGTTTGTGTGTTTGTTGTTTAACACCGCACTCAGAATTATTCCAACTGTATGACGGCGGTCTGTAAATAATCGAGTCTTGAAAAGAAAATCCAGTGATTGAGATCATGAGCATCGATCCAAGCAATTTGGATATGATGACATGTATCAACCAAGTCAGCGAGCCTGACCACACGATCCCTCTTACGACAAGCATAGTCTCCTTTTACGGCAAGCATGGGTTACTGAAGACCTATTCTACCCCGGATCTTCACGGGTCGGTAAATATCGTAATCGGATGAATTGACATTGTTGACATTGTCTGAACGCTGTCGTACAGGTTCGTAACAGTCCTACGGATCGGGAAAGGTCCAGAGAGGTCGGCCAAGCACTCCCGACAGTATGGTGTGTCCCGTCTAGTTGGATTACAATCGTGACTATGTCGTGACAGATTCTGCTGTATTGGATCAAAATCGTAACAATTTCCTGTGTTGTCGGGACGGTGTCCTGTGGATCGGGACGCTGTCGTGATGAACGGGCATGAATTGTTTATTGCCGTGGCTTGTCGATTGAGTCCAGATTGCGTCCAGATCTTGCCGAATGCGAACCGTCTTTGTCGGTTCACTGTCCGGTCACTGTCTGATCTCTGTCGGATCGCATTCGGGAGAATCGGGACGCTGTCGGGACAGAGTCGGTCGTTTTTTACCATGCGGAAGATACAAATCGGATCAGATTCGGATTGGGAACTGGAGAATCGGGACGAAACGGCTCAATCGGGATCTGATTGTTTGTTAATTACAGGATCTTGATCAGACTTTTGACAAATTTAAATCGGGAATGGTCCTATCAAGAACGGCAGTAAAAATCCTGAATGTGTGACTGAGCCCTAATGCCAGGGTACCGTTCCACAAATCGATCTCAGCGCTACGACCATCAAAGGCCAGTGGTGAAGTATGGGAGCTACGATCACCTTAGCGCTAAGATGGCTTTGTGAAACTGGGCCCTGGACCCCACTTGCCACAGTAACCATGAACAGTATTTAAACCATTTTGCAATCCTCTTATACTTTGAGGTGAGGTGAGGTGAAATTGTGTTTAACGTCGCGTCCAAGATTATTGCACTTATATAGCAACGTGCGTGCACGTGTATTTGTGTGTGTGGCTGCTTCTACTAGTCCGGACTGATGCCGATTTATAGTGCTAGCTCACTGAGATACCATGCCGCAGTTTAACATGAATACCCCACTCAGACACAGTATACTGACTCCGAGCCGACCAGTCCTTGTTTTAGCCCCTTAATGCCGAGCGCCAGACAGGGTAACAACAAGTACAATCTTTTAACGTCTTTTTGTATGACGCGGCCCGGGATCGAACCCTGGACCTTCCGCTCTCCGGGCGGACGCTCTACCACAAGACCACGGAGGCGGTCTCTTATACTTTGACTAAACAGAGTCATCTATAGATATTACTTAAACAGGACCACCCGATTCTTTCATATTACTACAGTTAATCTGTTATGGCATTTCATGGCATGGTAGATAGTAATATGAAGCAATCGGGTTGTCAATGTTTTTAGTAGTTTATAAAGGGATCACTGACAATCAGTGACGACACGAGGTGTTCATGTCACGTGTTCTGTTATTAGATACGAATTGCGTATCATACGTGCTCAACTTTTTAGATCTCCAAATTCGTTTTAGTTAATCGCACATGTGACTCAAGATATTCTAGTGGACATTTAGTTAGGTCACGATACGATAAATGAAACCTCCATACCAGACAAGATTATTTCACTTTCACTGCATGCACGTGGGTGTGTGGCTTCTTGAACTAGTCCGGACTGCCCACTGACTCCAATCTGACCAGTCCTTGGGTTGTCCCCTGACATGTTGACGTCAGGCCATGTACCAACAATGCGGTCAGGGGATTGAACCACCGACCTTACGCTCTCCGGGTGGACGCTCTATCCACTACACCACGGAGGCGCTCAGGGGATCGAACCACCAACCTTACGCTCTCCGAGTGGACGCTCTATCCACTACACCAGGAAGGCGCTCAGGGGATCGAACCACCAACCTAACGCTCTCCGAGTGGACGCTCTATCCACTACACCACGGAGGCGGTCTAAAGGACATGAATGTAAACATGGTATGATTAGCTGGGGAAAAGAGTTTTCATGTAAGAAAAGTTAGTTGCGACATTTAGACAAAGAGGAAGTTCTGTTGGTTCATAATAGGCTTCCTTCATGACGAACATAATGAACAATTTACGAGCGTCTCATTTTCTAATATTTATTATCGATTTATCAAATTCTGAACATTCGATCAAAGAATAACCATGTGCTGTGTTTGTTGTCTCTCAAGAGGCAATTTCACAAACAGGTAAACAAACATGTCCGAAGCCACTCTTCTCGCCAAAATACACTGCAGAAGCTTCGTCTATCTCCTTAACCTCTACAGCATTCAGTAGGTTGGCAGGGAGACGATCGGACATTTGTTTCCAAATGTACAAAGCGACATTCTCCGACGAACTGTGAAAGAGAAGGATTATACACAGGGTGATTCAACAAACAAACGATTCACAACAATTGTCTTAAAAGGGAATCAGTGATTTTGATGGCCATCAAACCAGTACCAGCCCTGAAAACATTGACACTGTACACAAACTAGTGATGGAAAACCGCCGTATTACTCTCCGTGAGCTAGAAGAAACAACAGGCCTATCATTTGGATCCATACATAATATAATTGATGGCAAACTCCACATGTCCAAAGTGTGTGCCAGATGGGTCCCGAGAATGCTTACAGATGACATGAAGCTATCAAGGGTCACCATCAGTGGAGCCTTGCTAACTCGGTACAACGCCAACCCAGATGATTTTCATTTTAGGATTGTAACCAGTGATGAAACCTGGGTTTATAATTATGATCCGGAGAGCAAACAGGAGTCGATGGAATGGAAACACGCCACTTCTCCAAAGACAAAGAAGTTCAAAGCCACCAGATCCACCAAGAAGGTTATGATGACCATCTTCTGGGACAGCAAAGGAGTGATTCACATCGACTACCTGCCCCATGGCACCACAATGAATGGGGAGTATTACGCCAAGTTATTGAAGCAGGTGCGCCAATCCATCAAGGTGAAACGCCGTGGAAAATTCCGTCGTGGGATTATGCTTCACCAGGACAACGCACCAGTCCACACTAGCCGTGTTGCAATGACAGCTGTGCAAGAATGTGGCTACGAACTCCTCCCTCACCAACCCTATTCTCCAGACCTAGCCCCCAGTGACTTCCACCTCTTTCCCAGGCTGAAAAAACACCTCCGGGGCCGGAGATTTAAAGATGATGATGAGCTAACTGCTGCTGTGGGGGGTACCAGAGGGTTAGGGGACCAGAATGTTGACTTCTACCGATCGGGCATCAGTGACTGGCAAACTAGGTGGAACAAGTGTGTGGAGTTGGGAGGGGACTATGTTGAAAAATAAAGTAGTAACAATCCAATTCTTTTATTTTTTCTGTGTGAGGCTCAAAACTTTTTGATATCCCCTCGTATGTCACCTTAGTAACAACACTGAAGATGCCTTCAGTTGTTTACTCAGGGGATTAATCCCTGACAAGTATTTATTGTGATGAATAGGGCCGAGGGCAGCTGGTGTTTTTTCACCCAAACAAGATGTTAGTAATAAAATTCTAATAAACTGATCTTTAATTGTTATCTAAATTATTTACAATGTCAAGATGAAGGGTCGTTTCACATCACATTTAACGATGTGTGCAATGTTGTTATTTTTGTGCGATTACAAGTTTTACCCCAAAACATATCACTGTCATTTTAGCTATGCTTGATAGATGGAGTCTTCCAAGTTCCCCATGTACCATGACATTTTGAGATTTCTTTTTCTTAATGATAAAAGATATTTTAGAAAACGTAAATGGACACCTTCTACAGTTCAGATGTTTTCAAATCACCATACTTTGCATCCGTTGAGAAGAACTGGTATAACTATACTGTCAAAAAGCCGCAGTTGACATTTAAGTGATAAATTTAATTTCCGTCATTGGCATAAAACATAGAATATAGATAAACGCAGCAAACACACCAGCCAATGTAAACAGTAGATAGCAGGTAGCTTTAGGCCACGCCCCAAATAGGTTTGTTTAAAAAAAACTTTTTCGGTGCGTGTGATTTCACGCTTCGATCAAAGATTTACCAATAATTAAGATTATATCAATTGTCTAGGTCAAGAAGCCATTTGTAAGTTATTTTGTAAATGTAGTTTTCAGACATGGTGGGAACAAAACGTGCCTTTAACTGGACTTTTGTTTACATTCTTGACGAACTCTTATTTAGGAATTTCGTAGAAGTTGACGGATGTCAAGGCACAATGTATGGGTTACAGCTTCTTTATTTTAATGTAATCGCGACGTTTTGGTAGAGATCCTGATAACGGTGAAGAAACGGCATAAGGACCTTTACACAAACGTCACGATTGCAGTAAAACAAAGAAGTTGTTGTCCATAAATTGTATCTATATATCACTCTTGATTTTAGGATCGGCGAAAAGTTAGTAAAAATAGGTAATACAACTAGAACGCGAAAGACATTACATAGTACAGGCTCGACAACTTTAGTTTGAAATACTCATACAGTCTAAATAGTGAGGTAGTAAATTGTGTCGAGCGCTGCTTTGCACAGTGTATCACAGTGTGGACTTTAACCACTTTAAACCAACGAACACGGGTAACTTGATGACAGATCAGGGACACCGTGTGGTCAGAAGTCATTGTACTTAATTGAGTCCAATACTGGTTGTGCATCTCAAGAATGGGTTAGTCAACTCACGCGACCGTATCCCGGAAGTGAGGGACGTCGACGTTGATGTTCTTGTGGTCGAGGACATCCATGATGCATTCCTAGAATCATAACTGAATCATAATCCTGTTTATACGGTTTTCTGATAAGTAACTCGTCCCTTACCAATGATAGATAAGGGATGACTATTACGATTGTTAACACAGCATTAGAACGACATACAGTTATAGAAACACAGTCAAAAGTACATCAATAGAGAAACACACCTTTACAAAGACACTTTTTTACCGATATATACAAATACAGACACATGCATCGTTGAACATATGCACACATGCACACCACACACATACAGACACATTTCTACATGCATATTCTTACAGTCATAAGACGTCTTAGTGTGGTAAGGTTGAAGACCATTCCTGTGACTGGATGAACCTGAAAAATACAACTGGACATGGTCATTGAAGACTTGATGATATCGTCATTGGAGACATATGGACATGTTCATTGGAGAATTTAGGACATGGACGTTGAAGATTTGAGACATGGTTATTGAAAACTTGATGACATCGTCATTGGAGAATTGAAGACATGGACGTTGAAGATTTGAGACATGGTTATTGTAGACTTGAGGGCATGGTCATTGGAGACTTGAGGACATGGACGTTGAAAATTTGAGACACGGACATTAAAGACTTGAGGACATGGTCATTGGAGACTTGAGGAAATGGACATCGAAGACATTAGAACATGGTCACGGAATAAATGAGGACATGGACATTGAAGACTTGCGACGTAGTCATCGGAGAATTGGGGACATGTTCATTGTAGATTTAAGGACATGGTCAATTGAAGGTGTGACACATGGCCATTGAAGACGTGAAGATATGGTCATTTAAGAATTGGCATATAAGACATGATGGCATGGTCGATGAAGACTTGAGGACCTAGACATGGGAGCTTGAGACATTGACATTGAACATTGACATGGTCGTTGAAGACTTTGCATATTGAGGTGAGAATCTCCTACCCAGGAAGGAATGTTTTCTACTCACCGGTCCACGCAGCGTCACACGAACTGTGAACAAGAAGAGGGAAATGTAGAGCACAATTACAATACGTAAGTCAAGCAATCGTACTGATGAAATTTGAAATAGGATGTTGTCGCGATATGGCTGAAATATTACGGATGCCAAATTGAACATCAACATGATAGTGTACATCAACATCGGTGTAAAAAAAAAGAATATAATTCTCCGCCATTGCGATACCACCCCCTCCCCCAAAATAAATATATAAAAACTAAAAGAAAATATAAATAAGATGTTTGAAAAAATCAAACTCCAAAAGTTGTATTTATAAGAAGGAACCAATGTTACACTCGGTATCCATTAAGGTCGCTTCTACAACTTCCATCAGAATTACAGGGCTCTTGATCATCATCTTAAAGGCATTTTACATGAAACACAAAAATAGTGCTACTTTGTTCTCTATCTGACTTTTTCCTGACATTTCTTTCGACACATTATGCAAGTCACTTAGCTCTTGTACTGATCTTACCTTTGTAGTTGTGGCCATGCCCATTTACTGCGGTGCATTTTCCAAATATTTTCTCATTTTCCACATCTGTCAGCTTTTCACTACGGAAGAAGTATTTATCCAGACAATGATTTGAATGTTTACATGAGTAGTGAAACCTTGTTAATCCAGACAGTACAGTTCCCAGTGAAATCGAATCATTAGACCGGAAAGAAATGTTCTTTAACTACTTTTAGAAGAATATATAATTTACAAATTAATCACATTATTTTGTCGCTAGTGTGGTGTAGATATGAGAGTGTGGCACTAGCAGTACCAGCAGTGCAGCTACAGTGAATGTCAGATGTCTAAAGCAGCCATGACTTCAGTTTCTAAACAAACAGTACTTCTTATCAGATCCTCATAATTCTGTTTTTGGTGGCCGTGGGGCGACACGGGTAATCGTTAGCTCGTCACAGCGAAGACCCGGGTTCGATTCCACTTATGGCTTCGAAGTGTGAAGACCGTCAATATTACTAACGCAGCATAAAAGCTCACCCACTCACAATTGCCACATTTATTTATACACGAAATGATTGAAAACACACAGACTATCTCCTATGGGCACTATGACCAATTTACTATTGCCACTAACTAAAAAGACGTTTTGAAGTTTACGTGAAGAGCCTGTGTCCGGCGCTGAATGTTTCCGTTCTGCTGACGTAAACAATTCTGTTCTCGCTCCGCTCCATTGTTACCTGGCGTCCTGCAAGAGAGGGACAGACCATCCTCGATTATCAAGGGTTTTATATAGCTCCATTCTATCAAGACAAATACCCTGGACCAAATGTCCACCAAGCTACGTCATGAACCATAGTCGAAAGACACGCCGCTAAAGTAGTCGTACAATCAGATTACACTCATGAGCGAGAGAAATCCTGTGCTAAGTTAGTGATAGGAGAGATGATGATGGTGACGTCACTTCCGAAACGAAGCTATGGTGGAGAATATTTATTAATTCAACAGGGTGGAGATATAATACATTGTTTTATCAAGGAAGAGTATAGACTTTTACCGCGAGGTTATGCAAACGTTGAAATAAATACCAAATCAAAATACCAATTATTATGGTCTTGAATCTCCTCCATAATAAACCACAGTCAATCGGACGTGAAAGTGGCTTCATTAATTTTCCCATAAGGGGTTGTACTTGTTTTGTTTGTTGTTTAACGCCGCACTCAGAGTTTAGGTAAATGTCAGCCATTGTTCACATGTAAATATTAATGAGGCTTATTTTTCATACAGTACATCACGTAGCAACAATATCTGTAGATTTTAAACAATAAATAGGTAATGGGATTCGAACCCACGGTAAAAGACTCACATACGGGAGGTGACTCTACATACGAATTGTGGCGCCTTAGACGACTGGGCCCACCACCTGTGCCACCTGATGTAGGTGTGAGGTAAAGAAGACGAATACAATCAGTGGGCGGGGCGGCACACCCAAAGCGCCCAACATGTTAAACAAGTAGTCAGTCTTGCTCAATATTAACTATATTGTGTGGCCTCTACAGAACGCCTCCAGCACGCTATGTCTAGTGTTTTGACCTAGTGGTCAACATACACGTACCTTCTGGCCTCGGTCGTCGAGATGTGTGGCGCTACTGGACAGTGTTAATGCAGTTACAACACTAAATGAAAATTGGGCCTACATTTATACCCCCATAAATATTTTGCAAGCGATTGTAAAATAGCTTGGGGTGGCATGCGTTGCATTAGGGCTCACTTTTGTAATATATTATCACTGATTCGTATCGTTGTCCGCAGCTGTTTGTGTTAAGTATGCAGTGTTTGAAGTTATTATTGTTGACGTATATAATTGTTCTGTGCGTTGCCGGATGATTAAACGTAAACACCAGTGCGCCCACGGTGTAGATCCTTAGTCTTTACACTCAGATAATCACACCACGAACACTGATGGGCCAATCATTCAGGTTGCATCCAAATAACTTTGTTTATTCACACGTACTTCAAAGGACACACATTTAGTAAGCAAGGTCATGTGGAAACACTGTTGTATATTGTATCTGTATCATACAATCCAGCTTAGCGACAGTTCATGAATACAGCCATGAGTGCTACTGCTTATGCCACGGTAAAAGACTGGTTTTCTGGCGCCCACAGGCTCAATAGGAGGGCTTTTACTTTGACTTTGTAGTAAATTTGAATATCGGTGGGGTGGGGTGGGGTGGGGTGGGGTGGGTTTTAACGTCACGTTCAAGATTGTTGCACTTTTATAGCGAATATGCCGAGACTCAGTGCTACCTATCGGAACATCGCCATAGGACGTATACACAGAGGGGAATCGCGGTCTTCTGTTGCACGCCACTTCAACGTCCACTACAGCACCATTTGCCGCCTTTGGGACCGATACACACAGTTCAGTTCCACTGCAGACCGTCCGAGAACCGACCGACCAAGAGTTACCACCCCTGCACAGGATCCCTACATTCGACTGTTCCACCTATGTCATCGCAATGCCAAAGCTACGGAGACTGCAGGACGCATCCCTGGTTTGAGGAGGATATCGGACGAGACTGTCAGATCTTCACGACGCTGGAATCCGACCTAGAAGACCAGTTATCGTCCCTGTTTTTCAACAGATCCATCGACAACGACGCTTGCGTTGGTGCCATACCTTACAGCCTTAGAATTTTAGAAACTGGAGACGAGTGTGGTTTCGCGATGAGTCACGATTTCTTCTTCACCGGCGAGATGGAAAACAACGTGTTTATCGTCGTCGAAATGAGCGTTTTGCCCCAAATTGTGTACGTGAATTCGAAAATTCCGGTTGCGGTAGTGTCATGGTGTTGGGGCCATATCCTACACCAGGAGATCTGCCTTGGTTGTGGTTCAGGGACATTTGACAGCAAATCGCTAGATGAATCAAATTCTTCAACCTCACCTTCTTCATATCATTGACCGCCAGAGGGAGCTGTTTCAACAGGACAACGCTCAACCGCACTCAGCTCGTGTCACGGTAGACTACCTTCATAATGCCAACATCAAGGCCTTGTCCTGGATCTCCAGATCACAACCCAATCGAAAACCTCTGGTATGAACTCGATCGACGTGTATGTCAACGTCAGAACACGCTGCAGACACTCCAACAACTGGCCAACGCGTTACAAGCAGAATGGCGCAGAATTCCACAGGACAGAATTCGTACACTTATCCAGTCAGTGCCTAGGAGATGCAGAGCCGTGATTGCTGCCCGGGGCGGTCACACGAGATACTGAGTTCAGCGCCACCTTGTGGCCTTCTGTGTCATGATAATAAACAGTTTTCAAAGCTTTGTACAACGACAACATGTGACTATCGAGCTTCAAAATTTCATATTTGTATCTATGATATTAAATATATCGACTTTATTAGGTACAATGAATTTACTAAAAATCTACCTGTACGTTTCTCTTTTTGAAGAGTGTATGTTTTATACATTTGTGAGACATTTACCTTCATAACTGTGTCCATGTTGATGGTTACAGGTACCAAAGATTTCCTGATTATCTTGGGTGCTTAATTTGCCACTGTAAAATGAATACTTGTTAATAAGGTATTTTTCTGTGAGAGGTTACACACAAAACAGATTTAGCGATGTTCTAACAGAACAGATATACACAGTACACCAACTGATCTCAATTTGATATTCAATGGAAATTGGGATATATCAGAACAAGATAACATAAAAAAACTTTCGTAATACAAAGAGATTTATGTTAACTATATTGTTCTCAGTGTTCACTTATCTTTCCTATTATTTTCCTTCCTTCTGTTCATGTTTAGTACAAGCTGTAAATCAATAGTGTAAATATCTGGGAGAAGGGGTCCTAAGTTGGAGAACTTGTACCCAATTCCTTATGAATACAATATGTGTAATACACAGTGTGGGACACTGGGACAGGTGTATCTATAAAGGATTGTCCCAAGGACCATCAGTACTACTCCAAACATATCCACGAAAAAGGAATTAATAATGGAATTATTTGGAGAAGTTAGATCACATGGACATATTAACTATTATCATATAGAGGAGAGGGAAACATACAACATGATATTGTCATCTCATACTCGTAATGGGTAAATGGTTATGTTCCCAGGTAGCACCATTAGTGGTAGAGCGTCCGCCCGGAGAGCGGGAGGTCCGGGGTTCGATCCCCGGCCGCGTCATACCAAAGACATTAAAAGTTGTTGTTACCCTGTCTGGCGCTCGGCATTCAGGGGCTTAAACAAGGACTGGTCGGCTTGGTGTCAGTTTACTGTATCTGAGTGGGGTATTCATGTTAAACTGCGGCATGGTATCTCAATGGGCTAGCACTATAAAATCGGCATTAGTAAAAGCAGTAAAAGCAGTCACACACACACACGTGCATGCACGTCGCTATGTAAGTGCAACAGTCTTGAACGTGACGTTAAACCACATCACACCCCACCCCACCCCACCCCACCTCACCTCACCTCACCACACCTCACCGATATTCAAATTTACTACAAAGTAAAAGCCTTCCTATTGAGCCTGTGGGCGCCAGAAAACTAGTCCTTTACCGTGGCATAAGCAGTAGCACTCATGTATTCATGAACTGTCGGGATAGAAGTGCCGCTAAGCTGGATTGTATGATACAGATACAATATACAACAGTGTTTCCACATGACTTGGCTTACTGAATGTGTGTCTTTTGAAGTACGTGTGAATAAACAAAGTTATTTGGATGCAACCTGAATGATTGGCCCATCAGTGTTCGTGGTGTGATTATCTGAGTGTAAAGACTAAGGATCTACACCGTGGGCGCACTGGTGTTTACGTTTAATCATCCGGCAACGCACAGAACAATTATATACGTCAACAATAATAACTTCAAACACTGCATACTTAATCGTCAACACAAACAGCTGCGGACAACGATACGAATCAGTGATAATATATTACAAAAGTGAGCCCTTATGCAACGCATGCCATCCACCCCAAGCTTTCTACAATCGCTTGCAAAATATTTATGGGGGTATAAATGTAGGCCCAATTTTCATTTAGCGTTGTAACTGCATTAACACTGTCCAGTAGCGCCACACATCTCGACGACCGAGGCCAGAAGGTACGTGTACGTTGACCACTAGGTCAAAACACTAGACATAGCGTGCTGGAGGCGTTCTGTAGAGGCCACACAATAGTCAATATTGAGCAAGACTGACTACTTGCTTAACACGTTGGGCGCTTTGGGTGTGCCGCCCCGCCCACTGATTGTATCCGTCTTCTTTACCTCACACCTACATCAGGTGGCACAGGTGGTGGGCCCAGTCGTCTGAGGCGCCACAATTCGTATGTAGAGTTACCTCCCGTATGTGAGTCTTTTATCAAGGGTTCCAATTCCACAACATATTTATTGTTTTAAATCTACAGATAGTGTTGCTACATGATGTACTGAGAAAAATAGCCTCACTAATATTTACACGTGAACAATGGCTGACATTTACCTAAACTCGTATGTTGAGAAACTATTACTAGCTGTCACTCGCACAGTAGATAACATAATACATCTTTCTAAATTAACGTCTGTAGATCTGTAATTTTATTCTTATTTGGAACATTTGTTGTTCGGCAACCTGCTATTTTTGTGAATATTATTCATGCTAAGGCCGCGTTGATCTTTCGGTAAAATTTGAATAGTTTAACATGTTTATAAAGAGCAGTACAATCACTGGATTGTCTGACCCAGATTGTTAACAGACTGCCGTCATGTAGCTAGGATGTTGCTGAGTGCGGCGTTAAACAACAAACAAAACAAGTACAACCCCTTATGGGAAAATTAATGAAGCCACTTTCACGTCCGATTGACTGTGGTTTATTATGGAGGAGATTCAAGACCATAATAATTGATATTGTGATTTGGTATTTATTTCAACGTTTGCATAACCTCGCGGTAATAGTCTATACTCATCCTTGATAAAACAATGTATTGTATCTCCACCCTGTTGAATTAATAAATATTCTCCACCATAGCTTCGTTTCGGAAGTGACGTCACCATCATCATCTCTCCTATCACTAACTTAGCACAGGATTTCTCTCGCTCGTGAGTGTAATCTGATTGGACGACTACTTTAGCGGCGTGTCTTTCGACTATGGTTCATGACGTAGCTTGGTGGACATTTGGTCCAGGGTATTTGTCTTGATAGAATGGAGCTATATAAAACCCTGGATAATCGAGGACGGTCTACTTCTCTCTTGCAGGACGCCAGGTAACAATGGAGCGGAGCGAGAACAGAATCGTTTACGTCAGCAGAACGGAAACATTCAGCGCCGGACACAGGCTCTTCACGTAAACTTCAAAACGTCTTTTTAGTTAGTGGCAATAGTAAACTGGTCATAGTGCCCATAGGAGAGAGTCTGTGTGTTTTCAATCGTTTCGTGTGTAAATAAATGTGGCAATTGTGAGTGGGTGAGCTTTTATGCTGCGTTAGTAATCTTGACGGTCTTCACACTTCGAAGCCATAAGTGGAATCGAACCCGGGTCTTCGCTGTGACGAGCTAACGATTACCCGTGTCGTCCCACGGCCACCAAAAACAGAATTATGAGGATCCGCTAATAAGTACTGTTTGTTTAGAAACTGAAGTCATGGCTGCTTTAGACATCTGACATTCACTGTAGCTTC